ACGGATGGACGGACGGGCGGCTGGGTGGGTGGGTGGATGGATTTTTAGATAGGTAGATAGATAGGCAGATAGTTTGACAGACAGACGGACACAAATAGAGAGAGAGAGAGGGAGAGATAGATAGTCAGAGAGATAGTCAGAGAGACAAATAGATAGACAGGCAGACGGATAGATAAAGGCAGAAACAAATGGAAAGAGAGAGAAAGAGAGAGAGATTCAGAGCCTCAGCCACCTTTCGGTCCATCAGTGGCGCTTTGCCGTCCATGCATCACAACAGCGCACCTCTCCAATAGGTTTCTTTTTTTTGAAACTTCCGCCACCGCCTTGTGCGGTACTACTGGTACAGGTGTTTCAAGGCAATCCAATCGCTTCCATTTTTCCTTTCTTTCACTCACCGCGGTGGGGTGGAGTTGATGGAGCTTTAGAGCCTTCAAGTGGGTAAAACTAAAGGATACTAAGGTCGTTTGTGAGGACGACTTGATTCCACAATAATTATTCTACAATATTCATCAAATATTCATTCTATATAGTTCTATATATTATACCTGCGTACGCTGCCTCCATATCTGGTCTTTTGTCATCACCAGCGCGGCAGATCCAGCGTCATGTGCGAACATATTTGGAGCGAGAGACTCTACAGATGATGGCAACCTCGGCTGCAAGAAGAGTGGTGTCGGCTTCAAATTCTACGAGTTGAATCATTTTCTTTTTGTTTCATTTTGTTTTCAATTTTTTATTATTGTCATATTGTCTCGATCAGTGACACTACTGCTGCTGCTGCTGCTGGTGATGGTGGTGGTGAGTGTCCCTGCTACGTGGTTAGGAGGGTTCCGGCTTAGGGTTGAAACTGACAACCGCAACCATCTAGTTTCTGATGATGATGACAATGATGATTATTTTTATCTTAGATTCTTATTTTCATTCTTATGTTCTTATGGCTATCATTATTACTACTATCATTTTCATTTTGTGAAGGAAGAGGAGAGAACTTTTCTATAAAAACTAAAGTCAGGCTGAGTAGTCTTTCAATGCTGAGAAGATGACAATGGGTTCGTTTCGTGGCCATGCAGTACCACTCCAGGCTAAGTTGCGTGGACAAAGACATGCCGCCGGGATACTCAACTGATTCCGTTTTTCAGACAACACACAAATAAACAACAAAATGTGTGTGTGTGTGTCTCTCTCTTTGCTTCGGAAGCAATCATCTTCGTCAATCATTGGATTGTCCTGAAAGATGCCAAGGTGCAGTGCTTTCGTAGAGTACTCGCCAGAAAGGATGCTCAAGTGGTTCGTAACTCAACCTTTGATCACCGAGAGTGCTTATGACTTGTCAATGTTGGTCAGCCATGACGGCTTCCACACACCAGGCCACAGGATCCAGACAGAACAGAACTGGAGATACCAAATTCCCTCAAAGCCAGGCATTGCTGAAACTCAAAGTAGTTGCAGCCAAAGAACTTTTCAAGGACAGCCTGGTTTGGCATTATGCCAATTGCGTTCAACAACAAGTGGGGCATTTGATATAGTATGTCCACCCGTGTCAAACCATTCCCCTAGCCGGATCTAGCTGGAGCCCCGCAGGACTTTATTCGAATTTGGGATGCACGTTGTGTGGTCGGCAAACTCCGCCATGTCTGGACCTTAATTTTGCATTTTCCAGTGCACAGGTGACAGGGGTACACAGCAAGGTGAACAGTTTCAGTGCAAACACAACGATGGACCAACTGGCTGCAGTGAAGACATTTCGACAACGAGAACAAAGAATAGAGCATTGAAAAGAAGCGAACCGAAGAGCGAGGAAAGAAAAGCTTGAAAAGGCAAGGGGACATGTGGCAAAAAGGACAGAAGGACAAGAGAGAAGAAATAATAAACCACAAGCAAAGCAAAACATATTTGAAGAGGAAGGACGGGCGGACTTCACTGCATGAACATGGTGATGAACATGGACAGATGGCGGGATAGCAGACTGGGTCGGTTGGGCAGATGGATGGAAGAGAGAGAGAGGCAGAGAGAGAGAGAGAGAAGCGAGAAAGAGAAGCGAGAAAGAGAGGGAGGGAGCGGCGGGAGCGGCGAGAGCTGCCTAGATACTTCATGACACTTCTGATTTTGTAGCTTGCGCAGTGACATAGTGACACTGATTGTCTACTGTGCGTTGGTTGACCGCTCAGGAGAGGAATGCCAGGCGCGGCGTGTTAAGCCTTTTGGATCTGTGACACGACAAAAGATTCGGATGAGGGACACAATGACATCAATGACTACATCTTGAATTCGAATCTCCGAGTTTTCATTGTTCTAGTAATTCTACATAATTCTACTATGTCAATCGCAAGTTCCTGAAACTTTCCTAGTAAACATTTATTGGACTTTGAGGTGGCTGCATTGTTTCCCACCATGGCCATCACATATTTTGCACATTCCATTAGCCGGTGTTTCTTAGCGTAGTGAAGTGTAGTGACATAGTGGCTATAAAGCTTATAAAAGAGTGTATGCCGCTGTTTGTCAGCGCACTTGCCTGAAAAAGATCAACGGTTTCAAAAATCAAATACAAGTTTATTTTCTTTTATTTTTGAATAAACAAGTGCAATTATTTTGGTTTTCAAGAGGATAGGCGCTATCCTGCGCCTAGGATTAGGGTCCTCAGTCCTGGGCGCTGAAACCAGAGCTTCTGAGGATGATCCAGACAATCACTCGTGGTTTGCCTCATTCTCAGTTTTGAGATGGACAAAGATGGAGACGAGTCAGTCTAGATTCTAGATTCGCCTTTGATATGCACCAATGTAAAACACACCGTGCGGATCAGTACCTTCGTTTTTGGTTTTCTCTGGACGACTTTGAAACTTTGGTGGAGTTCCATGGCACCGGATACTTTGGCTGGACGTGGCTCTGACATGTCTGTGACATGTTTCTGCACCAAGAAACCATCAAGCCCAGTGGCACTTGGGCACTTGAGGCTTTGTCGTCGAAAGTTCAAGCAGCTCTTGGTGAGGCCGGACTGGCTAAGAATCAAAAGCAGAGGTAACAGAGAGGCAGTTGGACTTACCATAAATTCTGACTGACTGACTGACTGACTGACAGACAGACAGACAGATAGATAGAAGTTTGTAGACTTGCTAAAAGGCTTATGGTTACATACTCCTAAGGTATGCACTAGAAAGATCTAGAAAGTATTTTGCCAATGTCCGAAGACGGAAGATGAAATGGAACAAACTCGCAAAACAGGGAGACGTAGAGCAAAGTGTACGTTTTCAAAAGTGTTTGTCCAGAAGTTTGTTCCCTGCATTTGGGCACGGCATCAGGAGGCGAGCGAATGCCTCCAGAGAACTGAAGGCTTACCTCGAGGCCGCTTGATTCACTTTGTGGAACCTTGACTCTTGCCGCAACTTGCCATTTGTTAGTTTGACTGTTGATTGCTGAAGCCTTGTTTGAGGTTGCGCTAGGGGTTTCTGACTCTTGCCATTCTCCATGACTTGATCATTACTCGACAGATCCAGGTACAATCTGTAGTTATAGTATGAACGCTTAGTTTGTGGAACAATGTTTGTTGAGTCGAATCAGGCAGTATTCTTTGGCAATATTCTTCCGTGAGGGCACTATATCTCTTTACCAGGTGAGACCTGATGGGACTTTTGAAAAGGGCTGCACAAGCTCTCTGGGCAGGCTGCGAGATGCCGCCTGAAGTTTGCAGAATTCCGGAGGCGGGCAAACATCGATGAAACAAATGATGAAACAAATGATGAAACAAATGATGAAACACAAGATGAAACACAACATAATTGATGAAACATGTCAATGTCTGGCTCAAGCGGATCAAGCTGCTCACAGCCAGACTTGCTCTCCATGCCACAGACACTTCAAAATGACCGATCGTGACCTATCATGATCATCAGGATCACGAAGCGTGAAATACACTTTTCAACATTGACTATGGAAGAAGGGAAATAGGGCAGCGTGGCCAACATGGTCTCATCATGTTTAAATTGCTTTCATGGGAAAAAACACGTGCCAGGCAGTGCAAGGTAGTTGGTTTACATATTATTTACATATTACAGTGTGGTTGTTTTGCTCTGCTGCGACATCTTGCAGGTGCGAGGGCTTCTACCGAGCTGGGCAGTTGCTCTCTGAGACGAAGTCGCTGAATAATCTTCTTGGTCAACGTAGTATGCACCTCAGTGGAAAGGGGCTTCAACCAGGAATGATTGTGCAATAGACACATTGTGGCGTGGCCTTTTCTCATGCCTTTTCAATACAGAAGACAGATGCCAGACATAATGTGACCAGGGGAAATCGAAATACATCGAAATACCAACAAAACAACAACAAGGATAGAACTCATTCAGCCTCGCCTGAACAACATTATTTGGAGTTCCTATTCTTTACTGAGCATTGCGACGCGACACGTCTTTGGTGCCAAACCTTTTCAGATCCAAAGCGTTTCTATGGTCTCTCAGGCCGCTACCTCCTGCGGAGCGCCTCTTCTGACGGAGCAACCAGACGTGTGGCCGTGCTGGCAAGTTGAGCCAAGTTCATCTTGTTAATCTTGAATTCTCGTGCTTCGAACTTGTTTGAACAGTCACGTTATCCTTTTCTAATCCTTTCAAAGCTTTTACAGTAGATCTTTATTGCGTTTTGGGATAATTTGAGACATTTTCGCCGAATTCCAGGCTTTGACCTTCGTTTATCATCGATTATCTTTGATTCAATCTGTTTGCAGCTCCAGGCAAGTCTTCAATCCATCAAGGAGGCAGGTTGCAGTATACAAGATCTTATACAAGCAACATAAGCAGGTGCAGTCGGTGCCCCCCAAGGCCCATCCCACAAGTCTGGCAAGGTCCTTTTGCACCCGAACTTGCCCCGCATTTCTTGCAATCTCATTGTTTTCATTTGTTTCCTAGCTAACTGGATCTAACTGGTTCAAGCCTCTACTGAACCATAGCCTTCCATAGCCTTCCATAGCCTTCCATTGCCCTTAATGCAGTGCCTTCTACTTTTCATATCTTTTCATGCTGCAGGCATCACCAAAGGCATCGCCGAAGGTCTCGGGTGCCACCTCGCCGTCCAAGACGCCACTCTCGCCCTCCAAGCTTGGCCACTCGCCGAAGAAGGGCTCGAGCGGCTCGAGTGGCTCGCCGTCCAAGACGGGGTTGCCAGCACCGCTCATATCGCCACGTCCACCAGCAGAGGTGGTTAAGTGCCTTGGAAGAAATGAGGATGAACAGTATCGAAAAGATTCAAAAATTGACAAAAGCGAAGCTGGTGAAGACGGAACAGACACGAAAAGACAATTGGCAAGTATGGAATATATTTAGAAGGAGAAATCAAATCAGTGCGAGATTGCAGTGACTTTTGTTATGCTAGCCCCCGAGCCGCTTTGAACGGGTTACTTCACCCCCTTAGAACGCTTAGAACATATACAATTCATCGCAATCATTCACAATATGATTATGAATCAATATCAACTGTAAAGATAGGAGTGATACAGTATGAACATGTATGAACTATTCAGCATGCAGAGGAAGGCAAGTTGCATTACTTGACACTGCCCAGGCTACTTACATCAGTGGCAGCGTAGTAGTGTAATCCACGAATATCATGTCAATCTCGGCTTAAAGCATGTCAAGTTGAGATCAAAACCGAGTTTTGCCCAAGGTCATTAAATATCCTCCAAGCAGCTGCGAATTCAATGAACTCAACATATGCTTCGTCAGAAACTCGGTGCTGCTTTCTTGAGTGTGCACGCGTGAGCTTTTTCCCGTGGTTTTGGATTTCGGCCAGCAGGTTTGACTGGATTCATGAAACGAAGGAATAGTAGTCTGCAGGGCAGTGATGGAAGCGATAAGGTCGGACAAGAACGAACATGTCAATATAACATACGTCAAACATGTCTTCACAAAGTCTGCCCTTCCACGAGTATCTAAAAGTGATGTTTGGAACTTGTATAGTATATAAATGTATATGATATAGTATGTGTGTCTACGACTTGCGTCCCAGCACATATTTGCTACGACATTCGAGGGTCTTTGTTTTCCCCCAACCATCCCAACCTGCAAAGGGCTTAAGCAACGAAATCCGGCATCTCACCCGTCTTGAACTCAGGCGGTCACAACCCAGAGGCACCCGCTGTGGTCCATGCGAGAAGAGATCTCTGGTGCACTTCTGGTAGCAGGAACACACTAATCACAACATATACATATATTGTCTAAGCTAGAAGGATCTACTTTGATTTTGCAAATTAACGCTTTCAGAACTCTGACTCCTCTTGAGTGATGCACAACTTCGGATGAAAATTATAGACCTTTCCGATTCCTTTGGTAAACTCAGATTCTGCAGGCAGCCCAGCCAGCAGTGAAAGCAGCCGTCGAGAGAAGCTTCCGGGTGAGGTGGATGATGGTGTGGAGTTGACTGGGGAAATGTGTGCGCCGAGATCCAAGCGTGGAGATGCAGCGAATGCAGGCACCGCGAACACAGGGACAGCCACAGGTAGAACCGTGGTGGCACAGAATGGGAACAGCATCACAGGCTTCACAGGTGGCAAATCACGGAAGAGCCTGGGGCCTTCGGGGTCTGGGCCTCCAGGGCCACCGAGCTCCGCCACCAGCTCTACCAATGAGCGGCGCCGTTCGCCACGACGGCTGTCAGGGTCAAGCGGATCAGGCACAGCTGACAGAGCTGACAGAGCTGACAGTGAGGGTCACGACATCAGAGGCAGCTCTGCGGCAGCTGCACGGACAGCCCCGGCGCAGCTGCGAAATTTCTTGGAGCGAGCGCACCAAGAAGCAAATGCACTCTACACCAGCGGCGCACTCAATGGTTTCAGGAGCAGGGTTGGTTTACATTCTAGAGCCTGTACTTTAGGATATTTTAGGATATTTTAGGTTACTTTAGGAATTTGTAGTGTAGTTAGCCAATTTTGCATGTTTTTTTTGGCAATTTGCTCAAGCCAGGAGTCCGCTTCGTGGTCGTCCCAACTACTTTGCGGAAATTGTTTACGATCCCAGGGCGGAGATGTTTTCTCACCGGTCCGTGTCACCTGCGCCCAGAGGTCCACAAGGGTCGTTCCTCAGCCCGCGAAGGCAGTCGAAGGATGAAGTCTTTAAAGCATCGGAAACTGCCACTTGCATATGTCTGGCAAATATTTGTATGTCAGTTAAGCCCCTATTCATCGTTTCCATCCTTCTCTTCAAGCGTCTTCAAGCGTCTTCAAGCGTCTTCAAGCGTCTTCAAGCGTCTTCAAGCGTCTTCAAGCGTCTTCAAGTATTATACATGCCGCACTGTCTGACATGCAAGCGAGGAAATGATACATAATACATCATAATACTGTAATTACAGTGATAGAATACATTGTGACTGTGTATATATATATATTATAATTATATAGTGTTGTGCGACATGACTCGCCCAGCCTGTTTGCATCTAAGGAGAGGAAGGCTTCGCTGGAAGTGCCAGGATCTGCGGGGAATGAGGAGCACGAGGGGCCCAGCAAAGCTGAGACCATGCAGGCAGAGCATGTGTCCCCTGCTCCCACTCAGTCGAATGACGTGAAAGAGGCACTGGGGATGACTCCGGTCGTGGAGGAGGCGGAACACGACGAACCATCCGTTTCTTGGAGAGTCATAGGAGGAAAACGCCATAAAATGCCTTTGTTAGTATTGCTACTTGCTACTTTGAATGTGTTCATATCTTTGCAATTCGTTGCACACTTTTTCCTTTTGCAAAGTATAGAAAGAGGTTCGACTTAACAGGGCGATAGCTGTGGAACCTTCTCAGGCTATGTCTCCTCACGAAGCTCTGCTGCAGAGTCAGTTGCAATCTACGCAGCAACAACTGGAAGAATTACAGCGGCAATACTTGGAGGTGTCACTTGGATTCACAGCGGATTCACTTGAATGACTTGGCTCAATTCGATTTTGCAGATTTTGAAAGTGACGAATCCAACCTCCCGACCCGCAGTGAAAGCGTCCATGTGTGTCTCATTACTACTTGTTACGTTACATATGCTCAGAGGCCGGAAGTGATCGGGAGTGGAAAGTTCAAATCTGCAGAGATCTTACTACACAATACTACACACAGATTACAAAGTCATAGACTCATACACACCTAAAGACACACCTAAAGGGCTGTCCATGGCTGTCCTGTTCTTGACTTCTCACGAGGCAAGAACTCCTTCGCCAGAAGAAGTCACACCATCTTGCAGGCAGGTTTGTGAATGCAACGACAGATGACATCAAGGATGAGAATACAAGATAATACAAGCATTTGTAGTTCTGAGATGTTCTGAGTAGTTCTGATCTATTTCGACTTGAGTCAGTCCCACTTCGTTTATTTCTAACCTCCCAACAGACAGTTGTGATCTCCTGCAGGTCTGAAGTGTTTCATCCACCTTCTGTCCCAAAGATCCCATGATATTCACTTTAGCACTGCATACTGTTCAATGACATTGACATGTGACATGGACCTTTCTCACAAGTTGAGAGGAGCATGCCAGAAACATTCACATGATGGAAAGGTATGTTATGGATAGAGTTTGAGGAGAGATCATCCCGTGTCATTGTCATCATGCTTAGATTTGCGCAGACATTATGCCAATGACATGCAATAACATCCCAATGGCATCCCATGTTTCCATGCACCTTGTCTTTTTGCGCTTCAGGACCCAGCACGCGAAGCCCACCACCTCGAGCAGGTCTTAGCGATGCGGAAGCGATGGAGGGAAGTAGTTGAAAGATGTTGAAAGTACAGTGCAGAGGATATCCCCCCATCAAGACGTCATAGATGTCTCACGAAGCAACAGCAAATATTTTAAATTGACATTGGACGTTCCACCTTTCGTGTAGTTGAAGCCTTTGTGCCACTTCCGTGTTGCACTGGGGTTTCTGGCCGTGATCCAGAATTCGAAGCCCTATATCATTTTATAATATTTTATATTGGTACCTCTAAGTCCAGTCTACCGCAACTTTCCTGCTTCACCGTCATGTTTCTATATTGCGATGAGATACTGCTTATTAAAATATCATATTGTTCGAAGCCTTAAAACTAACGTAAGGTTGAGTTTTACCCGGTATTCTTCATTTGTGCGCTATTGGCTATTGGCTATCGTCTACCAACACTAAGTGCCAGACAAAAAACTTGAAGCCTTCTGAAGCCTTATGAACAAGTGACGAAACCCTGCCCTACAAACCATTGCAAACCATTACAAACCATTACAAACCAGTACAAACCTATGAAAGTGTTGGTGCTGAAGAGTGCGCTCAGGGCGAATCAGCGAGACGGCCCGGCGGCACCAAACATCTTCACCCTCTGCGAGGCCGATGCGATGCAGCTGCAACCCGTGCAAAATTCTTTCAACCTTTAGGACTCTTTAGGCAACGTGCCAACTTGATCCATTTGATCCACTTGATCCACTTGATCCCACGTGATCCCACGTGATCCCACGTGTTTGTCGTGTTTGTGTCACACCACAACTCCTGGGATACGTGGAAGATGGTGGAAGATATGATGCTAAGCCCGATGTGCATGCCATCTGGTGCACCACATCCCTTGACATCCCACACTACACAGATGTTCACAGATGCTGCATGTTGCTACATGCTACACAAAGCTACTTGTGCCTGGAACCTCGACCCTTGCTCGGTCCCAGCACTGTTTGGCTGCGCAGCCAGCAGAGCAACTTCAATACAGGAATCCTATGGAATCCTGGAAGGTTCCAGACTGATCAATGAGACAGGGCAGCCATTTGCAAGCATCATGAGCCAGACAGGGACGAGATCTGTTCCAATTGATATCAATATTATCAATTGATATTTGCGCACTCAGTTCTCAAAGTCGGAAATGGTAGAAACATGCATGGTCAGTACTTTCCTTGAATTAGACAGAAACCCCGAAGTCATGCATTTCCATGGTTTTCGACGGGTTGAGCATGAAAAGCTTCAAGATATGTCCAATGAAATTCTATTGCAAGAACGTAATAAAATGAGAATATGTTGGAAATTGTTGGAATATGTTCGGTAAACACAGAAGCGCTCTGTGTCTCGCCTGACTCTGAAGTGGAGCTGTCCAGAGACTGCTTCGCTGTCTTCGCTCATGTCGTGGCCCGTGGCTTGCTGCGGTGCCGAGGGCGAACAGCAACTGGTGGACGACATTGTGCCTGGGACAAACTTCCACGGAGATCGGTGCAATGGGTAAAAGGCACAACCTGATGGAGCATCATGGCTTCGTCCATGAGATTCCATGAGTCCATAATCATACTCATACTCATCATACTCTGGATACTCTGGATCTATTGTTTTTTTTTTTAAAACCGTGTCGTGACCCGCCAGTACTGAGAAGGCGTGATGACGTGCATCTGGGGCAACATTGGGCCTTCAGCTGATCGACCTCACACAGTCAATATTAGAATTCTGGTACCCTGCCCCACCAACAAGTTGTCCTTTGAATCCAAAAAGCCTTGAAGGGATCTGAAGAAGGGATCTAGATACAAGTAGATCTCAAGGGCCCTTATTGCAACATGTGTGCTGTGTCGCAGGGTGACACTGCTCTCAAGAATAGTATATATACATATATATATACATTATATACACCCTCTTGTGAGCTTCGTCCGGCGCGCAAAGGTTGTAGAGCTGCAGAGGCATGGCTCAATGGCTCCTTGGATCTCCTTAGAAGCCTTAGATCTCCGTGGCAAACACCCAGAAGGCTACACAGAATTGTACATAATGATATCCGCCGACCCCGGCAGACGCAAGGGGGAGCGCGCCAGGGAATAATACATTCCCTGCCTTGCTGTTTTGGTGCCGGGAGGTGCTCTTGCTAGCAGCAACAGCAGCAGCAGGAGCACCAGCAGCAGCTTTCTAGGAATTCAGAAAGACGTTAGGGAGGAAAAAGTAGCTAAAATAATCCTTTTCTATGGGTTTCAGAAGTTACATTAGGGAGTTTTTGGTCGCAATTTTGATGCTTTTCCGTCCTTCACTGCCATGGTGTTTTCCCATCCGGGAGCTGTCTTTTGAACAGAAGGAGCAGCAAGAGCAGGAGCAGCAGCAGCAGAAGGAAAAAGTAGCTAAAAAATCATCCTTTTCTATGGGTTTCAGAAGTTACATTAGGCAGTTTTTGGTCGCAATTTTGATGCTTTTCCGTCCTTCAGGGCCCTGCTGTTTGAGCGTGGCGGAGGCGCCGTTTCTGAGCTTGGAAAGCTAGAAGATGGCTACTTTTCTTGTCTTTTGAACAGAAGGAGTAGCAAGAGCAGGAGCAGCAGCAGCAGGAGGAAAAAGTAGCTAAAATCATCCTTTTCTATGGGTTTCAGAAGTTACATTAGGGAGTTTTTGGTCGCAATTTTGATGCTTTTCCGTCCTTCACTGCCATGGTGTTTTCCCATCCGGGAGCTGTCTTTTGAACAGAAGGAGCAGCAAGAGCAGGAGCAGCAGCAGCAGAAGGAAAAAGTACTAAAAAATCATCCTTTTCTATGGGTTTCAGAAGTTACATTAGGCAGTTTTTGGTCGCAATTTTGATGCTTTTCCGTCCTTCAGGGCCCTGCTGTTTGAGCGTGGCGGAGGCGCCGTTTCTGAGCTTGGAAATTCCCATCCGGGAGCTGTCTTTTGAACAGAAGGAGTACCAAGAGCAGGACCAGCAGCAGCAGCAGCAGGAGGAAAAAGTAGCTAAAAAATCATCCCTTTCTATGGGTTTCAGAAGTTACATTAGGCAGTTTTCGGTCGCAATTTTGATGCTTTTCCGTCCTTCAGGGCCCTGCTGTTTGAGCGTGGCGGAGGCGCCGTTTCTGAGCTTGGAAAGCTAGAAGACGGCTACTTTTCTTGTCTTTTGAACAGAAGTAGCAAGAGCAGGAGCAGCAGCAGCAGGAGGAAAAAGTAGCTAAAATCATCCTTTTCTATCGCAATTTTGATGCTTTTCCGTCCTTCAGGGCCCTGCTGTTTGAGCGTGGCGGAGGCGCCGTTTCTGAGCTTGGAAATTAGGGAGTTTTTGGTCGCAATTTTGACGCTTTTCCGTCCTTCACTGCCATGGTGTTTTCCCATCCGGGAGCTGTCTTTTGAACAGAAGGAGCAGCAAGAGTAGAGCAGCAGCAGCAGCAGAAGGAAAAAGTAACTAAAAAATCATCCTTTTCTATGGGTTTCAGAAGTTACATTAGGCAGTTTTTGGTCGCAATTTTGATGTTTTTCCATCCTTCAGGGCCCTGCTGTTTGAGCGTGGCGGAGGCGCCGTTTCTGAGCTTGGAAATTCCCATCCGGGAGCTGTCTTTTGAACAGAAGGAGTAGCAAGAGCAGGAGCAGCAGCAGCAGCAGCAGCAGGAGGAAAAAGTAGCTAAAATAATCCTTTTCTATGGGTTTCAGAAGTTACATGCGGGAGTTTTTGGTCGCAATTTTGACGCTTTTCCGTCCTTCACTGCCATGGTGTTTTCCCATCCGGGAGCTGTCTTTTGAACAGAAGGAGCAGCAAGAGCAGGAGCAGCAGCAGGAGAAGGAAAAAGTAACTAAAAAATCATCCTTTTCTATGGGTTTCAGAAGTTACATTAAGCAGTTTTTGGTCGCAATTTTGATGCTTTTCCGTCCTTCAGGGCCCTGCTGTTTGAGCGTGGCGGAGGCGCCGTTTCTGAGCTTGGAAAGCTAGAAGATGGCTACTTTTCTTGTCTTTTGAACAGAAGTAGCAAGAGCAGGACCAGCAGCAGCAGGAGGAAAAGGTAGCTAAAATCATCCTTTTCTATGGGTTTCAGAAGTTACATTAGGCAGTTTTTGGTCGCAATTTTGATGCTTTTCCGTCCTTCAGGGCCCTGCTGTTTGAGCGTGGCGGAGGCGCCGTTTCTGAACTTGGAAATTAGGGAGTTTTTGGTCGCAATTTTGACGCTTTTCCGCCCTTCACTGCCATGGTGTTTTCCCATCCGGGAGCTGTCTTTTGAACAGAAGGAGCAGCAAGAGCAGGAGCAGCAGCAGCAGAAGGAAAAAGGAACTAAAAAATCATCCTTTTCTATGGGTTTCAGAAGTTACATTAGGCAGTTTTTGGTCGCAATTTTGATGCTTTTCCGTCCTTCAGGGCCCTGCTGTTTGAGCGTGGCGGAGGCGCCGTTTCTGAGCTTGGAAATTCCCATCCGGGAGCTGTCTTTTGAACAGAAGGAGTACCAAGAGCAGGAGCAGCAGCAGCAGCAGGAGGAAAAAGTAGCTAAAAAATCATCCCTTTCTATGGGTTTCAGAAGTTACATTAGGCAGTTTTCGGTCGCAATTTTGATGCTTTTCCGTCCTTCAGGGCCCTGCTGTTTGAGCGTGGCGGAGGCGCCGTTTCTGAACTTGGAAAGCTAGAAGACGGCTACTTTTCTTATCTTTCGAACAGAAGTAGCAAGAGCAGGAGCAGCAGCAGGAGGAAAAAGTAGCTAAAATCATCCTTTTCTATCGCAATTTTGATGCTTTTCCGTCCTTCAGGGCCCTGCTGTTTGAGCGTGGCGGAGGCGCCGTTTCTGAGCTTGGAAATTAGGGAGTTTTTGGTCGCAATTTTGCCGCTTTTCCGTCCTTCACTGCCATGGTGTTTTCCCATCCGGGAGCTGTCTTTTGAACAGAAGGAGCAGCAAGAGCAGGAGCAGCAGCAGCAGAAGGAAAAAGTAACTAAAAAATCATCCTTTTCTATGGGTTTCAGAAGTTACATTAGGCAGTTTTTGGTCGCAATTTTGATGCTTTTCCGTTGGCTATTACTATATTAATATGTTAACCTCAATGCCACCCTGACAGAAGGAGATACCATCGCTTCTGACAACTGATCAGCCACCGCCACAATATGCCACCTAGACACAGCTGCCAACCGTCGCTGCTCACAGCCGAAGTCCCTGAACACAAAGCCGCTCACCATCTTCACTGCCTCCGCATCATTCCTCCGCGCCGCTGCTTTCACCACCTGCCACCGTTCAACACCTTCTCTGACATCCCTACCAGGACACCAGTTTCAATTCCAACAAGCCACCCCTGAATACTCTTTCCTTCCCCATCTCTTTGCCCCACACCACCTGCAGCACATTGCACACGGACGTGTTGACACGATTGCCGGCCAGCCAACATTCCAGCACTGCGCTTGCACTCCGCAGCTGCGCCGGCATGGTTTCTAAGATAGCACCAACTAAGCTGGAGCTTTCTTGTCATGATAGCTTTTGGCAATTTGGTCTTATGTCTCTTGGCCCATATGCACATAGATGTGTTGTTGGGTTCAGAGTAAGCTTCTAATTCAACTGTCTCGTCATGCAGCCAGCACCTTACTGCAATTGATCCGAAAGCTGCACCAGTTACGCACATAGCCCTTCGTGCATGATCCTGCATGTGATGATGCATTTGCCAAAATTTCTCGTCACACAGCTTGCCTGTTTCACCAGCAATCCCCGATTCTTTACCGGGGTCGGCGGCAGGGGCGGCAGCCCTTAAATATAATGATACAGTTCTATGAGGTGCAACATGATGTGCAACATGTGGAAAGAGAGGATATCAGAAGGAGAATGAACTTCTGGACGGGACTTTCAATGCGTTTCTACTTTTGTCCCATTTTGTCCCACATCCAAACATAGCCTTTCTTTGAAAAGTGTGGCTGCCACTTTCTGCGAGAGATGCATGGACTGTCAGGAAGTCTCATTGATTTCCTCTCAATTCGGCCAGCGTTTCAATGAGTATGTGCGAGTCGTGGCCTCGGTTTCAGCATGTCAGGAGTGAATCTCGAAACATCAATGTGCAAGCATTGCAAGCATGACTCAGCAAGACTATTGCAGCTCTTTTGCTGAGTATTGAATAGTATTGTATTGAATAGTATTGAAACATATTGAAACATATTGAAACACATTGAAACACATTGAAACAACCAAAGATGCAATTGTTGAGAGCAGCACTCCAATTTGTAGGGTTGATTTGGTCGATCCTGCCAAGATGAGCCCTTGGTCTCCGTATGCTGCCGGAAAGCGAAACGATGGAAGCTTCAAGCGTTGGTTGCCTGGCCTATCTTGGACTCTACCAACTAGAATCGACCAGAATCTAGAAGAAAATGAAGAAAGACGACTAAGAAGATGCTCACCTACCATTCACCAACCAGTCACGAAACATTCACCGATCATTCACCAACCATAGTCAGCCATAGTTCATTCAGGGAATTTCAGGGATTTCCGGACCTGGCATGAGGATCATGAGGTTGCAACTTTTACCTATCCATCTTATCCATCTTATCCATATGCCTTTGGAAGTGCATGTAATGCGTTCACAGTTCACACATCATTGATCATACATTTTCACACATTATAGAGAACGCATCAACACCATTATGTATCAATTTGTTTACTGTAGTGTGTTTCGCAGAAGATGTTGATGAGCCCCTTCATCGACAGCCACTTGAGAAAACGTTTTATACCCAAGTCAGATCAAATCAGGAGATTTCAGGCAGTGCTGCAGTGCATTTGATTGAGACCCGGAGATCCGCAGTTTGCAGACGATTTTCAGACTTGCGTTATACTGCTTGCATCCGCAGCCGTTGTGAATCACGGTGATGTCAGAGACTGACAGGAGCATGAGGATGGACAACGAGCTTTCAAGATTCGGTGGCTTATTACTTGGAAAGCATCCAGCACATGACCACTTGGTTTGCTAAGCTACGCTACGCTAGGGAAATCTTTCACATGTCTTGACTGGACCAGCTGAGTTCCTTCAAATTTTCCAACTTTGCTCACCCTGCCAAAGTGCAGAGCATGGCTTGGCTGCGGACGGCTTTGCTGCGCATTGCAGCCATTGTGCTTGTTGTGGGGCATGCTTCGCCGCTGCTCACTGGACTTATCTTGCTAGCCCTTGGGCTCTGGGCTGTGAGATTACATCCGAGAAAAACCTTGGACATGAGCCGCTTGGCGGTATTCAGCTTTGGGACTTTGTCGATGCTCCCGGGCCTTGGGGAAGGCTTTGTGTGGTCAACACAAGAATACACAAGAGAATAATGTGTTAAATGAAGAAAACGCATCCAAGGTTGGATAGATCTTCTGGTGTCTTTAAAGGCCTGCTTTAGTCGCAAAGATCGACGCAGAGTGGAGAAGGAGCTGCAGGAGATCTTAGGCGCAGAGGAGATCGTCACCCTTTCAGTTCGCTCGGGTTTTGATCTTCTGCTGTCAGCAGTAGCATTGCCCAAGGGCTCGGAGGTGCCAGCGAGAGATGCGAAAGTCTTCCCATGACCGACAGATTGCAGACAAACAACAGCCGAACTATTCCCACGCCATTTGCTTGATTTCGCTTGATTTCGCTTGTCCACTAGATGTGAGTAGATTTGCGTAGATTTACACAATTCATCAGATCTTTATTGCAACACACTGTTGTGCGACACTGTTGTGCGACACTGTTGGAGGTGCTGTTTGTGCCTGGCATTACAATACCCTCCATGGTGCAGCTGGTGGAAGCTCATGGTCTACAACCTGTTGGAGTAGATCCTGTGTCACCTCAGAAGATGCTGCCTGCAACTCTGGAGCAGCTGGTGACGCCAAAAACCAAGATGGTATCTTGCCAAATCTTTGCCAAATCTTTGCCAAATCTTTGCCGATTGCAAAGACTGGCTCACTGGCTTAGTTTGTGATACTCTTCGGTTTCCCCGTCAAGAATCTATTGATTAGACATGATTAAACTTTTTGCCTCCAAATTGCCCACATGCAATCAATTCGAGTGCTTCCTCAGGCTGTATCGCTTTGGATAGGCACTGCATTTTCATTGCGATACTGCGATACGTGACGTACATGAGGCACACAGGAAGATAAACGATAATCCAGATATAGTGTAGACATGCATGGCGAACACGATTATAATATATTCTAATATATATATATATATTATACAGTATAATATCTTATAATATATTGTAGTCGAAGGAAGTTTAGAAGTCAAACTTCCGACAATATGGACAGATGAAAAGATTGAAAAGCAGAGGTGGAGCAGAAGAATAGAGAAGAGAAGAGCAGAAGAGAGAAGATCAGAGAAGAGAAAGAGTCAGAAGAAAGAAGATGCAGGTGCGCGAAAAGGTAGGAAAGTCGCGAAACACTGTGTTTTTCCAATGACTTGTGGCTCCAGAGGGTCGAAAAGTAGGCTCGCTAATGAGAGATGAAAAATTGCACGCCGTTGTGGCGCGAAGCACATGTCCAAGTCAAAATGTACAAAGCACCTCAGCTCCGGACCACTTTTGGAAGTTGAGATGTCGAACAAGTGCACGCCGTTGTGGCGCGAAGCGCATTTCGAAGTCAAAACGTACAAAGCACTACATCACATGCTCGGACCACTTTTGGAAATTGAGATGTCTTAAAAGTGCACGCCGTTGGCCGCCGTTGTGGCGTGAAGCACATTTCGAGGTCAAAATGTACAAAGCACACCAGCTCCGGACCACTTTTGGAAGTTGCGATGTCGAAAAAGTGTACGCAGTTGTGGCGCGAAGCACATTTCGAAGTCAAAATGTTAAAAGCACCACATGCTCGAGCCACTTTTGGACGTTCAGATGTCGTTTCGCGTGGCAGGCGCAAGGGATTGTGGACCTTGTCAAAAGTGAACAAAACGTGAGGGGTTTTGTAGCATTTCCAAAAACGATGGCAGGTCTGAAGAGGATCTGCAAAGATGCATTTTCCGTGGCAGGCGCGGTACAAGAGACATGTTCATCAGAGCTGTTAGGAGGTCTGGGCGCTGATTTACTGAGAGGGGTTGAATTTTGGAGCCTCAGATTTTCAGGTTTGCTGAGATGATTTTGCGTGACAGGTGCAGCACTTCGTATGACCTGGCATCACTTTTTCGTGGTAGGCGCAGTAGTTTAGACAGATGGACTGGAAAAATCGCAAAACACATTGGTACGAGGCCGTCAGCGTTGCATCCAACTTTCCATTTTTTGAAGGACGTCTCGCAGAATTGCTTAGTTTTTGATGTTGGCTGCTTAAAAAAAATAGGAAGTCTCACAGAATTGCTTCGGTTTTGATGTTGTCAAGGGGGAAAATTGACTATGATCGAGGAAGTCTCGCTGAATTGCTGTGTTTTTGATGTTGTCAAGTTTTAAAAACTGAGGAAGTCTCGCAGAACAGCTTCGTTTGCAAGCTTGCAGATAGATAGATAGACAAAGAGAGAGAGAGAGAGAGATAGATAGATAGATAGATAGACAGACAGACAGACAGACAGATAGAGAGAGAGAGAGAGAGATAGATGGATACATAGATAGATAGGTGGATAGGTAGGTAGATAGTCAGAGAAAGAGACAGAAAGAGAGAGAGAGAGAGATGGATACATAGATAGATAGGTGGGTAGGTAGGTAGATAGTCAGAGAAAGAGACAGAAAGAGAGAGAAAGAGAAGAGACCTCAACCACCTGTCGGTCCATCAGTGGCTTCGCTCTGCCATCCGTGGCTCACAACAACCAACTTCTCCTATAGGCTTCCTATTTTTGAAACTTCCGCCGCCGCCTTGTGCGGTACTACTGGTATATTATAATAATATGATATATCATAATAATATGATATATCATAATTATATATATTGTAATATATATAGCTATATTAGTACGTGTGAATATAACGCAGGCCGTGTGCAACTCCACATGCATGTATAGATCAGCTGTTTGGCCAGCCGAGGGTACAACTCAATTCATTGCCCGCAGTTTGGCTCAAGGACACCTTACCGCTGATCTGACAGGACAAAACGGTTGCTGCGCTCCGAGCTGCGGGATCCTTGCAACTTTGGTGAACATCGAATAGCTCACAGAGTACTACCAGACCTGTACCCAATCTCATTACGATATATCGTATCAATTTATATCACATTAGTGACCAGGATGTGTTGGCCCTGCACTCAGAAACTTTACATTTGAATCGCGCCCTTTGGGGATTCTGGGCGTAAACGGTTCACTCGCTCAGGTGGTCATTTCCCACTTGTTCGGAAGCATACACAGAGCTGACCACATCATTAAGGAGGCCAAGGATTTGGGACTTCTTGTGGTAGAGGATTGTGCTCAAGGCGCGAATACTTTCGATCTGCAAACGCGAATATGCATATATAGAATAGTCCTAGGTAATAAATAAGAATGAAAAAATACCGATGACTCAGAGGACATATCATTAAAATATCGAAAATCTAGAGGATAGCCATTGTTTGAACATGTTTGAAATCATTTCTCGGATAACAAATTGATCGACTTTGTCGCTTTTCCATACTTTTCCACACTTTTCCTGGATTGTTTTTTTGCCGTTTCGAGTGAGTCACAGCTGACAGGTTTTTTGGGTGCCATGCCGGCGAATCGTCGGTCCATGGCCTCTGCATGGCCTACGGGCTTTCGTGGGTCCCAGGATACCGATGTTTCCTTCACAAGTTTTGGGAACATCAAGACACTCACAGCCTTGGGTGGCTCAGTTCATGGAGAGTTTGAATTCTTGAACTGAAGTTGGGTTGAGAGAAATTGGGATTTCGAAGGATTCATCGTATATGCCGCAGATCCATGACCTACCTGATTTTATCTGACCATATCTGACCATATGTCCTTCATACTTGTATGTCAACTTGTGCATTGCCTTGTGCATTCAGAGCGTTCCTAAGGTGGGGGCATCGCCCGCGTCAAAGATGCTTCGGTGCGAGCTCGCATGCAGGAACTGCAGTCTGCTTGGCCAGTTCGCAGCACCTATCAACGCCTTTGGACAGTGCTGAGAGCGTTTGCATTCAAGGCATGTTTGACACCATGCCTTTACGGTTTGTTGGAGACCCTTTGCACGAAGGTCGGGTTCAGCTTTGACAATCTCATTGTAGCAGGTGTTCGTGGCTTTGCCAAGTTGGAATATGTTCGGCAGCAACCCTCCTTGCCATTGCTGCAGACCCTGCTTTGGCGACTTCAGACACAACACATGGCATGCTTCGACGATTCTTCCTTGCAGTCCTCCGTCGCCAAAAGGCGACGGTTGGCAAGAATAATAATAGAACGCTTGTCTGAGGAGGGCATTGAATTCATCACTCAAGGCGATGGCACCAACGGGTGGTGGCTTCTCCCTATGCTGTCCGATCAGCCCACGCAGATGGTCAAAGCACTGATCACACATGGCTTCGATGCTACCTCCACCTCCACACAGCTACAGCAGGTGGCTTCTGCAGCCACTTGCAAGTCAGCTGCGCTGAGAGCTTCTGATGGTAAGGCCTGGTTGGGAGATGTTGTGGATAAGCTGTGATGCAATAATTCACATAATTCACTAGGAGCAGAACCTTCGTTCTCTGTAAGATCAGTTCTACCACATGGGTCAAACCGTTTTCCTTCATGCTCATTTCATTTAGTAACGGCTTGGGCTGTCCTGGGGTCCGTTACACCAGCTAGAGGGAAAAGCTTTGCATGCATGGGCCTGCACATTTTGAATGATACAGACAGATGATGCAGAATAGAATGCAGGGATTTTGTTTGATCAGATACATCTGTCGGGCCGTTGGTAATTTTATCATTGGAACTTACTTGGCCGGCCGGTTCCAAATTGTCTCGGATCATTGAGAACCACGGACCTAGAGAGACATGTCGATGCTTTCGAGGACTTCATGAACCGCATTGTCTATTTGCCTTTGAGCCCGGATATGGCAGTAGATACGGCATCGAATATGGCAGAAGCAGTTTTGCAGTGCGCAAATGTTGAGAGAGGACGGCCAGGACGACGAGACCCAGGCCCAGTGGGGAGAACGTGAAGATACGTGAAGGATGAAAGACGCATAGACAGATCATAGACATGCATAGACTAACAAGAATGTGGCAAGGTCTCAACATGTCTCAACCATCATTCAGATATATTCAGGTGATAGATCAGAAAGCCAAGAAACAACTGAACGCGCGCCGAGCTCTATTCGTGTATTCATGTGAGGATTTCTATTTGGGTCAAGGTTTGTTTTGCCATTTTGCATCCCTACAATTGACCCTGAGCACAAAGATTGAACTCCGGAGGCTTTGGCTTGTTGTCCTGCATCCTTGGAAGCGCATTCCTCTTGATGCCGAATTTCATAAGCAATTTTCTTCCATCTTCATGGTTTCTTTTGACGGTTCTGCTGCTGGTCCTGTTGGCAACGTTCCTATTCGCTAAAGTTGCGCAATGGTTTGCAGCTGACTCAGACCTTCGGATGAACCCACGACTTGTAAAGGCGGGCAAATTGGCGGTGAAAATCTGGAATTCTTGGGATAGTGGCTGCAAAGGTCTTTCGAACCTTTCACATTTGAGTACGGGGTCAAATTTTGAGGTTCAAACAGACATCAATTTTTGGTAATTAAGTATTCATCATCCATGCTTTTGGACCCCAAGTTTGCGCCATACACATACAGTCACATACACATTTCTCATACGCATTTCTTCCTCATCGAAGCCGTGACTGGTAGGCCTTGCGTGCACCGAGCAGAACAGAAGGAGTGAATTTTTGCAACGATCGCCCTCTGAAAATGCGTATTGATGGAGCGGTGTTGCTGACCGGAGCCACCGGTTTTGTTGGTGGAGGAATCCTATTTTCACTGCTTGCAAGAGCCAGCGAGCTGGGGGTCACGAAGATTGTGCTGATGATCCGTCAGCGTTCAGGCAAGACCTTGGATGAACGCGTGGCAAAACTGAGAGAGAACCCAATGTTTGATGGGCTGCGTGAGACATTTGACAAGCTCGTTGTTGGTCTTGAAGGAGATGTGTCCCAGAGAAATTTTGGATGGAAGGAGAGTTCAACGAACTGGCCGCACCAAGAGACCTTGAAGGTTTTTTGGGATTTGCTTTTATCATCTTTTATCCTTTATCATCCCCTCTATGTACAATTTACAGTGCTTTGTTTTAGTTCCCTGAGGTTGGCTTGAATCGAATCAAAACCCTGAAAACTCGACTCTCTCCTTGTGAATGTTGTTAGCAAAGCAAGGCTGTCCTGCATTGTGCTGGAGATGTCAGATTCCAGCAACCAATGCAACAAGCTGCAGTCTCCTTGGTCTCTGCTACCCTGCAGATGCAAAAATTGGCAAACAGCTGGAAATCTAAACGCTTTCTATTTGTGTCCACAGCTTTCGTCCACGCTGTGCCTCCAACAAGCACAGAAGCGCTGCAGGAGAAACTAGCAACTGGCTTGAATGGCTTGAGCGAGTTTGTGTTTGGATATGTTTATGACATTTTATAAATCATTCACATATTTGGACACTTATATAGTATATTATAGTATTATACTTTGCAATCACCTTGATTCAAATGAATTATTCAAACATGTTTTCTATTCGAGGCTGGGAATAGGCTACAGGCTGGAAGCATCAACTCTATAGGTTCTATCAGGTTCTACTCTGTTCACGATACATGTGACAATGTGGGCCACGACTGCAATTTGAGCTAATTTGAGAAGCTCTTATTCAGGGCTAGTTGTAAAATGTTGTAAATCAAATCATTGGGCGATCGTATCTAATGTGTTCGTTTGCGTCCCTCAGTCTTTTCACTGGCACTAGAAGCTTGTGTGAGTTCGAGTTTTGTTTGAGAGGAATTTCAGCAAAAGTAGTTGGAGTCTCAAGGAAGAATTTTTCTCGAGACTCCAGCGATCTGTTTCCAGGATTCCACAAGCTATCCCAAGGCAAATGTATGCTGTGTTAAATGCCTTTCTACAATTTCCATGAATTTGCGTATTGTAAAGCTGAAAAACTGACCCACAGAGGTAGAGTTGCGAGACTTTGATGCTATGGAACTTTATCGTGATGCGATGTCGCATGGGAGCTGGGCGAAAACAGCAATGCGTGAACTGGGCTTCTGGACATCAAAGTGTGGCACTCTTCCTTTTGTTAAAGTGGTTGTAGAATATTGTAGATTCATGTAGACTCCGAACCAAGAACATCAAGGACCTTTGATATCCTTTGATTGAGACAGATTTGGTGCAGGTGAAACGTGTTGGGACCATTTGGAACCACATTTTGAAAACTCAGGCTTTCCCAATACCTATACGTTTGCCAAAGCCATCGCGGAGCATTTGGTAATCCGTGCCTGTGAGTCTGATGGCTTGGACGCAAGAATTGTACGACCTTCGATCGTTGGCCCAGCTTGGGCCTTCCCGTATGTTGGCTGGGCCGGAGACAAGCCATCCACGATCGTCGGAGCTGGGACACTCTTGGCCCGGCGCGGAGTGCGAGTTTTCCGTGATGGCTTTGACCATCCATGCCCAGTGGTGCCTGTGGACATTGTGGCAGATGTGACAGTGACACCTGCCTCAAAATTGACCTCCAAAGGCTAGGAAGCCAATACGATATACATCGATATACAATATATATATATAATTATATATATAATTATATAATTATATATATATAATTATATATATAATATGTATATATATATATACAGATTCCACCAACTTCAACATGATTTGCAATGCGATTCTTCTGTAACAACATTTAAATATGTGGAGGGCCGGCCAGACCACGTGGCCCCGGAGGTCGTATGAAATGCCAGTTCCGTTCGTACGTATGTTTCAATGGCTGTTCTCATATTGGAATCTGTATGTCTAAATGGAAGGGCGGGCAAAGAAAAATCTTCCCGGAGGTAGTCTAAAATACAAGTTCGTATGTTTGAAAACCCGTGTGTTCAAATGTAGTACCGTGGTAGGTGATTCTAGTGTTGGTGTGTATGGTATACATGTGTATACTGTATACGGATATATACATTTTTAAATCATTTTAGAATAAAATACATTTCGTGCATACACATGCATACACAATGTATATATATATTAGTATATTAGTAAATTAGTATAATTATATAATTATATATACATATATATATATATATATATATTATGAGATCCGACAAACTTATTGTAATACTATATAATGAGGTCTTGCTTCGCCTTGGCCTTGCTTAGGGGTGTGCAAGACCTTCATTACCGATAGGGGACGACCGTATACCGATGCATGAGACGCCAGAAAGCCTGAGAACGCAGAAATCCTCACTACCGATAGGGGACGACCCTAATAATCCTAATATAAATTTGCTTCATTATAGATACAGGGATGAAACATATTATAAGGACCTCACTGTTCTGTCACTGGAACAGTGGTTGATAGGAGTAACTATCCCACAAATTAGAATGATCCTATTTCAGGTTGGTGAATTATTGTAACTCACTCAGAGATGTACTACTTAAAGTAATTTTCTGATGCACATGTTTCTGTATGTATTCGTACTTATGCAAATACAGTATACATTTGGTTTGTATGCATATACGGTATATGTATATATATGTTATTCAGTACAGAAGACATATATATATATATAATTATATATATATACAAATAATGCAAAGGTATATACATATTTACATACGTACATACGTACATAGATGCATGCATGCATGCATACATATATATATATGCATATATATACACACATATATACACATACATATATACACATACAAATATACACATACACATACAAACATACATATATACACATACATATATACACATACATATATACACATGCACATATACACATACATATATACACATACATATATACACATACATATATACACATACATATATACTCATACATATATACACACATGCACAGATACATACATACATACAGACATTATTTACATATACATACATACACGTACGTACATACGTACGTGCATAACATAATATAACATAATATAACATAATATAACATAATATAACATAATATAACATAATATAATATAACATTATATAACATTATATAACATTATATAACATCATATAACATCATATAACATCATATAACATAATATAACATAATATAACATAATGCAACATAATATAACATAATATAACATAATATAACATAATATAACACAACATGACATTACTTTACGTTACTTGACATTACATACATAGCATACAAAACATACATAACATACATAACACACATAACATACACACAGTGCATAACATACATAATATACATAATATACATTAAATTAAATTACATTACATTATATACTGTACTTTACATTACTTTACTTATATTGTTTGCTTGCTTGCTTGCATGCATGCAGACAGACAGACATACATAGATACACAAATGCACAGATACATAGAAGATACATGACAGATATATAACAGATACATAGATAATACATGGACATACATAGATATCTATCTACAGAGATAATATACATAGATACTACATAGATGATAATACATAGATACTACTTAGATACTACATAGATAAAACATAGATAATGCATAGATAATGCACAGATAATACCTAGACAATACCTAGATAATAACATAGATGATACAGAGCGACATAGATACATAGAAACGTAGATACATAGATACATAGATACATAGACACATAGATACATACATAGATTCATAGATACATAGATACATAGATACATAGATACATAGATAGATAGATAGATGGACAGATAGATGCATCCATCCATCCATCCCTCCCTCCCTCCCTCCGTCCATCCATGCATGCATGCATGCAGACACACACGCACACACACACACATCCATCCATTCATTCATCCATCCATCTACCCATCCATTCATCCATCCATTCATGCATGCATGCATGCAATGCATGCATGAATGAATGCATACATCCATCCATACATACATCCATACATACATACATACATACATACATACATGCATGCATGATGCATGCCTGCCTGCCTGCCTGCCTACGTACATACTCCCAACTGCCCAAGTCGTGGCGAAATCCCAAAAATCTTGAAATTAGCTTGGGGGAAGGCTTTTGTGGAAGTCGTGGCGATGCGGCGTTTAGCTTGTGTTTAGGGTAGGTTGCTGTCTTACTATCTCATGTAGACCTAAAGTGGCGAAGCGGCGTTTAGGTCTTAGGTTGTGTTTGGGGTAGGGCGTTGTTTTACTATTAGCATAGTGCTGTAATCTTGCTAGTTGCGTTCTCATTGTGTTTGGGATGGTTGCTGTTGGGTTCTGCAGCTACTGGCGTCTTGCTGTTGCTGCGGCTGCTGGTTCGACGGCTGCTGCTGTTGCTGTTTCCGGGTACTTCTACACAACGCTGGGATTATCATCTCTACACTGCCATGGCGGTGTGCTGGGATTCTGCAAATTGTCATTGTTTCGCTACCAGTGATCCAAGGAAGGGCAGGTTTGCGGCTTGCGGGCCAAAGTCCATGTGTGTAGATGCGGGGCTTTTTCCGTACCTCGTTTTGGACCTCGTTTTGGACCTCGTTTTTTTCCTTTATCAGAACCCATCCTGCAGTATACAAACTAGGAAAAGGGCCTGCTTCGCGTTTTTGTTTGTGGGCGTCAACAGTGCCCACGAAAAAAGGCCCGTTGGAAACCGGCGTTCCGATGGGATTCGATCAAAAACGAATAGAACATAATAGAACCATGATAGTTTGGTCAAGGCTTGTTAAAGCTAGCGTTTCCAATGGGGAAAGGGGTTTTGCAAGGTCTGTGCCGGGACAGGGGTCGTGGCGAGCGTTTTGATTGGGAATAGCTGTCAAACGCAAACATTGCAAGGACTTGGGCGTATGGGTGTACATACATACATACATACATACATACATACATACATACATACATACATACATACATACATACATACATACATACATACATACATACATACATACATACATACATACATACATACATACATACATACACATACATACATACATACATACATACATACATACATACATACATACATACATACATACATACATACATACATACATACATACATACATACATACATACATACATACATACATACATACATACATACATACATACATACATACATACATACATACATACATACATACATACATACATACATACATACATACATACATACATACATACATACATACATACATACATACATACATACATACATACATACATACATACATACACACATACACACATACATACACACATACACACATACACATACACACACAGACATTATCATCCTCATCACCATCATCCTCACCATCGTCATGATCACCATCATCACCATCATCATCATTATTATCATCATCATCATGATCATCATGATCATCACCATCATGATCATCATGATCATCATCATCATGATCATCATGATCATCACCATCATGATCATCATGATCATCATCATCATGATGATCATGATCATCATCATCATCATGATCATGATCATGATCATCATCATCATCATCATCATAATCATATATATATATATATATTGCTTGTATGTGTTACATATACACAAAGACACAGACACAGACAAACACGCATAGACATACGCACACAGATACGCATACACATTCAGATACGCACACACATGCAGAAAAACACTTACTGTATATCTATATGATTTTCTGTTCCTGCACAAACGTTCTTGGTTGTTTGGACACGCAGTCTGTGGTTCGGTTTTCCTTCACCTTCAGGAGAGCCTTGTGTGGAGCCTACAACAATGACAGAGGGCAGATCTTGCATGCCTGCCTAGATGCATCGGAAGCTGACAGAATGCCATCCTTCAAGTTCTTCACACGCCATTTCTACCAACTTTTGGCACTCAAAGGCAGGACATGCTCCATGTCTATAAGGATAACTTAGAGTTCCTTTCATTTCCTGACTAGGGCTAGGGCTCCTTATACAAATCGAAAAAAAACAATCGGCACAGATATTTCTGCAGTTGTTCAGTATTGTGCCGTTTGCATACTGCATTTTCAACAAACGAGCATTTGCATATACCAAGTATACCACTTTCTAGCAATCCCTTGAGCTGATGTTCCGCGCCCGTTCGGGTGGAAGCAATGTAATTAGTGGAAGTACTTGTGGCCAACTATACAGCCCTGATCCAAAACGAGAGTCGTCAGTCAAGCCAGCATTGTTGGGGGCGAGTAATTGAACCCTTGAATTTGAGCACTTCTGGACACCCCGCTTTGCAGCCAAAAACGCATTCGCAACTCGATTCAAACAAATCCATCAAAACGATCAAAGTTGTCTAATAAGTCACCAATGCTGTGACTAACTTCAGCCCTTTTGACTAGAAATGGGGGTCCAGCTGGTTTTCATATTCCCTTTCTCTTGACATGAGGAATCCAACACGAATCCAACATAAACCAATTCCACAATACATACAGAAATAGCTTCTGTAATCTTCTGTATACTTTCGTGTCATTTGGAACTTCAAATGCTATTTTGGACCACCACTTCAATATTGCATGAAAGGGCGCAGTGAGAGCTTGAAATGTATTCGACTGACATTGTAAGTGACTGAGTCACAGCAAAGGATCCCTTACAGCGGAACTCTGAAAACGTGCCCCCATTGACAGGCACTCTGCCCTTGTTCGAGCTGGGCTTCATGACAAAACTGCTGAGATGGTGCAACAATGCAACAATATTTTGCTATGCACACGCAGTTCTAAATGTCCTTCCCATGCAGATTCTTGATCTTGTGCGAATGTGCTTGGGAAGAATTTTCTCTATTTTCGGCATGCGGTTGAGCAAGCAATTTTCCACCACAGTACGCATTTTAGCGTCTTGCTCCACCCTGCCAATGCAGTATCATCCATTCTCAAGTCCTTCTACACCTTGGCGCTTCAGATCGACAGTGAAGTTGCCTGAAGACTGGGACTTGTTCGAGTATTTGCTCATTTGTTGCAGGGCTGGCTATGCCTTTGCAATCGATCCCTTGAAAGGGCCTTCGCGGAACTATCCAAGGGAATTCTGTGATATGCAAATTTTCTCCCACGAGACTGCAGTGTCTGATGCCCTCTCTGCTTTTGCACACCCGCAAGCATCCTTCTTTTACTCGGTGGCAGCCTTCGTAGTTCGCTTGGGTCTGAGCTGGATGAGCCTTTCTGTGACGGTCGCGAATCATTTGTTTAGAAGTTTTGTATACAGTTTCAATTGAAAGGGGAGATGGATGGAGATGGAAAGTTGGCCCCACAATTAGAGTTTATCGCCTCATCCTCTATAATCCCAGGCTTTGCTTTCTGGCTTTTCTTTTTTGTTGTTGAGCCATCCAAGGTTGATGGTGCATCTTTGCTGTCTATCACCAGTCTAGATGCTCCATTGGTGCTGTGCCCACAACATCGGTCAGTCTTGGATTTTGTCATCATTGGCCTCATGTGTTTCTAGTCATTGCATCAGAAATTAGAAAGTCCCAGTTTGATTTCTTTTTTGCTTTGTGTGATGTGTGTTGTGTGTGTGTTTGTGCGCGTGTATTTGTGTTCATCAACTTCCCCAGCATACTGGTGGAATGGATCAAGAAAGAAACTGGTTGGATGAAGTTGGAACTAGCAAAGACATGTGCAGTGAGTCTGAGCTGATATTTGGATCCCAGTACGAACATCAGCTCTTTGTTGGATGTGCACCCGAGGTTTTCAGCTTCAACCGATTTTGCACCTTGCATCCAAAAGAACTGCTGTTTCACGAGAGGTGCGTCCCAAATCAGCTACAGTATTTCTTTTTTTTAGGACAACAAATTGTCACATTCATGGGCACCCTGAAATACCTGCAATACAATCCTACAATATCCTACACCTTTGTCAACTGCAATATACTAACCACATCTAACCACCCTTGTCATCCGTCCATGTCCAGGTCATGTCCGCATCCAAAAGCACAAGTGTCATAAGATGTCATAAGACAGTGCAGGATACAGTTCTCTGTGTGGGTCTGTGTGGGTCTGTGTGGGTCTGTGTGGGTCTGTGTGGGTCTGTGTGGGTGTGTGACCGCAAAAGCCGACAGGTTCCTGAAAAGACTCTCAACATCTCTCAACACTTGCGTTCCCAGGCCCTTGCAGCTGCCACAGGTAGCGGCAGATGCAGAGTTCTCCAACTTGCCATTCCTTGGATGGGCATTGAGCGGTTTAGGCACTTTGGCGAAGATGATCAACGATGTAAAATGATGTAAATTTCAATGTAAATGGTGCAAATGCTTTGTGCAGCCATGGAACTCCAAAACCAAGCGCCTGCCGAAGGCTTGGGACTTTGAAGTTCATTTTGTCACAGAATAGAAAGGTCCCTGTGTTAGGCTGTTGGTGCATGTTTTGTTCTTCGAATTTAGACTTCCGTCACAACACAGAAGCATAGAAAGATATAGATGATATAGAAAGTATAGAGACTAGTGGAGAATAGTAGAGAGGAGCTCAAAAACCAAGGTGCATTCTTTGTCCGACGTGGAGGAGGTGCGGTGCAGCCGGACCCAGCGCTGCGGGCGAAAGTGGGTCGCGTTTTTCAAAGCGGCCGCCCCTTGGAGGTGCGCCGCTTATGTCAACGAGTCAACGATTACCAGATACAGCACCAGAATGCACCAGATATTAGCAAATTGGTAAAAGTTACTCGTACCAGATGTTATGACATGAGTGGTGGTCGAAATGTCCAAGTTGGAGATTCTCACACCATTTGCCACAAACCGGAGAACATACTAGAACAGCTGGGTGATAGAGAAATGACGGATTCCTGGCTGCAAATCACAGGCGCCTAAATACAGCCAATTTCAGCTTCTTTTTTTTAAAGGGTCAGGAGGCTATGAAATCTGGCACAGCATGTACAGTATGTATTATGGAATGGACAGCACACCTTGCAGCACTGAGCACAGCGAAGGTCTTCCTGGAAGGACTGCGCAGCCGTGGCCGGCGACAGCTGCGCCTTCGCACCGGGCTGTTGAAAGCTCTTCGAGACATAGCGCAGCGCACTGTGGCGCTGGTGCCCTTGGCAATGTCCTATGAGCTGCTCCCTGATGACGATTCCAAGCTGAACATGACACAAAATGATCCAGACATGACCCTGTAGGAAGGGAGAGGAGTCTGAGACACCAGCTGCTTGAACTACGCTGTATCATTTTCAAGTCTGTCGTCATGTCCTAGTTCGATTGCCCACTACTTGTGAAACTGCAAGCCCTTCTTTCTTCTCGGTCTGTAATGGAACGGTTTCCAAGGAAAGTTTGTTCAGAGAGATGTGCGGACTTCCGCGAGATCCGCTCCGCACGTCTGACTTGTTCTTCTGGGTCTTGCGGGGCATCCGTGGTGAGCTTCCACCAATTGGAGAGGCCTTCATGAGGCAAGGCCCCTTTGGATCCCTTTGGGGCGGACATCACTGGTGACAGCAACGGACATTTTCAGAATAAACAAGGAGTGCAGCATGGGATGCAAATTAAGCATCTATTTTCATTTAGTTTTCTTCTACAAACCGTCATGATTCATGATGATAGATGCAGTCTGACTGATTTATTGTGATCAAGAATTGGGATGCACCTCGACGCCTGCAGGGTCCCTCACCCAGCCCAAAAGTTCAAACATGCATCCTGAACAAGACACTAGCTGGGTGCTTCAGTGCTTCATGGTGCTTCCAAAAATTGAAAAGTAATCGCAGAGTTGAGCAGGCCGTGCGGGTCCCTGAAAAAACATATTTGGCACGGTTATGTTTACTCTTACAACCACAGCATCCGCAGCTGACCAGTGAGAATCATTGGAACTATGAAGAGATACCTTCCTGAAGAATCTTTGAGCAGGTTTGGACACGCTCAAATTCTGGAGAGCTCGAGCGATTTGGACTCCGTGGTCTCCGCGGTGCAGAGGGAGTTGGTGTCCAACAACTCGCTGACCACACTACATTGCCAAGCCTTGCAAGAGGTCCTTCAGAAGCCGGACCTGGACAAGGCCGGTTGACCGGCAGTCAAAGATGGTCAAGGAATGTCACAAGGAATGTCACAAGGAATTTCATAAGTATACACTATCATACTAATATTGTATATTATAAAGATGCTAATAGTGTATACTGTATCTAATATAATACAATATAATAATATATACACTGTACTATTATAATAAATATAGAATAATATTATGTATTATAAGATATCAATATATATATATATATACGTATATATATATATAATTTAGAATCTATATCATATTATATTATATTACATATAGTACATATTACTATAAATATATTAGCATATATTATAGTATTGTACTATATTATTTGTATTATACAGTATTCTAAATTAAATTAAAACATATTATAAATGTGGATTAAAGTAACATATAATGTATTAAATTATATTTGATATGGGTTATAATCATTTATTTCAAATTACATAATACATAATATATTGTATTGTATATATATATATGTATATCACATATTATATAGTATATTATATATTACATATTATGGATTATATATTATATAAAAAAAATTATATTATATTATATATCATGCATAAAATTATATTATATTCTAGTGTATTATATTTTATTGTATTATATTTTTATGTATATTGTTGTATATTAATATAATTATATTGTTATATATTGTATGATATATATTGTTATTTGTTATCATATTATTACATATTTCTCTATATATCATTAAATTAAATATTATTATATATCATTATATAGTAGTTTACATTATTATACATTATTATATATTATAATATGTTATTATATCTTATTATATTATTATATATTATAATATGTTATTATATCTTATTATATTATTATATATTATAATATGTTATTATATATTATTTTATATTATTATACATTATTAACTATTATTACATATTATTAAATATTATTACATATTATTATATACTATTACTTTTTATATATTATTATATATTTTTATATAGTATTATATCTTATTAAATCTTATTATAGCTTACTATATCTTATTATATCTTGTTATATCTTATTATGTCTTATTATATTTTATCATATCTTATTATATATCAATATATTATTATAAACTATTATATATTATATATCATTCTATTTTACTATGTATTAATATATATTATTATATTACTATTATATTATTATATATCATTATGTATTATTATTCATTATTATTATTCTTATTTTAAAGATGTTATGATATATTACTATATATAATTATATATTATATAAATCAGGATTTAATTTTATATATTACTACTGTATATATTATTATACACTATTTTTAAATTGCTATTTATAGATATATTTGAGATACTATAATTTTGATTTAATATAAAAGAATAGTATCTATTATAATACTATATACTATAATACTATACATTATGATACTATAATATATATATATATTATATTATCTATTAACTATTATATTTTCTATTTTATTGTCGATTATAGGTCATTAATTTTTCATTTTGTATTTTGTATCATATGATATGTTATTTATAAATTAAATTAAATTATATTATATTATATTATATTATAATCATTTATTTTAAATTCAATTATATATTATATATTATATATTATGTATTATATATGATATATTTTATATATGATATATCATGTATTATTTACTATATATTATTATATATTATGTTATATTACATTACATTCATTATATTATATATGTTAAATCATATGATTATATTATAGTATATTATATATCGTCAACGTATGGGGATGTGGAGGGATTGGCTTTTGCCCCTTCCTGACCTCCGGATACCAGCTCAGGTGATCAAGTCAATGTCTGATGAGCTGGAAATCAGGAGCCACAAAGTGGGGAGTGGATCACCACGAGCCGGCAAGACATAGCATGATTTCCAACATTCAGGTACGTGGTGATCGCAGGTTCATTGCTGTTGGAAGATTTGAACATGACATATTCAAGCAAGCTTTCGTGCAGGGCTCGCATTCTACGTAGACTCGGGGCTGATCGGGATGAAGTCTGCACTCTCAAAAAAAACCCAATCCATCGAACTTGTGTGGATGCGACGACTCAAGTCGCTGGTGTCTTCTCATTTGAGGCTTATCTTTTTATTCTTCTTGAATTACGAGCCAATTGAATTGAACGGATTTTAGGTGTGGATGCCTTCCAGGTGAACATTAATGCAAGAGTACGTCTTCAGACTGTTTATGTGGCGCTTTCCTTTTTTCACTCAAACTTATCCTTGCTTTCTTCTCCTGTATGCTGTATACAGGCCTGATATACATATAAAAAGCTGTGAACTTTTTTTTTTGCATGTTCCGAAACTGGACTCCTTTTTCATCCAGAGGGAAGTTACAGAAGTCAGGGCATGGTGCTGTGCTGTGCTGGGTGGGTGCCGTCATGGAATAGTGCTGGCTGTGTGGCGCTTGATGCGATCTGCAGATGCTTTCGGGGCTGCCGTGATTGCTGTTTGTTACTGGGACTGCTGGACAAGGCTATGATTGGCGAGGATGAGGATGAGGAGGAGGAGGAGGATAAGGAGGAAGAGGGATGATGATGATGATGATGATGATGATGAATGACGACGACGACGACGACGACGACGACGACGACGACGACGACGACGACGACGACGACGACGACGACGACGAGGATGACGAGGATGATGATGATGATGACGATGATGATGATGATGACGATGGCGACGACGACGATAAAGACGACGACGACGACGATAAAGATGAAGACGACGACGATAAAGACGACGACGAAGATAAAGACGACGACGGCGATAAAGACGACGACAACGACAACGACGACGACGGCGGCGGCGGCGGCTGCGGCTGCGGCGGCGGTGGCGGTGGCGGTGGCGGTGGTGGTGGTGGCGGTGGTGTTGGTGGTGGTGATGATGGTGATGATGGTGATCATGATGATGATGACTATGGAGATGGTGCTGGTGATGGCAATGAAGATGGTGGTGGTGGTGGTGGTGATGGTGATGATGATGATTATTATTATGATGATGATGACGATGGTGATGGCCTTGATGATATTGATATTGATGATGATGATGATGATGATGACGATGACGATGACGATGACGATGGTGATGACGATGACAATGATGACGATGGCGACGGCGATGGCGACGACGACGACGATGATGATGATGATGTTGGTGATGATGATGGTGGTGGTGATGATGATGATCACGAGGGTGACGACGACCACCACTGTAGACAGTTCTATTCTATTGTGCCAATTGCATCCAATTGCACCAACAACTTCCATTCTATTATCCGTACCCCCTTGTCCCATCTTTTCCCTTGTTTGATTTTACGGTTCTCTCTGTTTTTTTCTGTGTTCCTCTCCCAGGAGCTCATGCTGCACCCCATTGGTGCTTCGCGACTGCGAGCGCTGGCCACTACTGATCCAAGCTGCCACCATGGCGCCGTTGCGTCGCCGTTTGCCACGACCATGGGCGAAATGGTTTGTGGAAGGGCAGGAGGAGTCGCTGGAGCCAGGCGTCATCGGTCAAACTTCCATTTGACAATGTGATTTAAATTTGAATAGAAAAACAATCGCTGTGTGATGAAATTCTTTCCCTCTCTCTCTCTCTCTTTTTTCTTTCTTTCTTTCTTTCTTTCCCCTCTCTCTGTCTCTCTCTCTCTCTCTCTCTCCTTCTTCTTCTCCTCCTTCTTCTTCTTCTCCTCCTGCTTCTTCTTCTTCTTCTTCTTCGCTCTATCTAGGTATACACTACACATCATATTGTGCGATCTATTGCATATTTGTACGTACATAGATGTACAGATGTACATAATATGAACATGCATGTAGTTCAATGTAATGTAATGTAATGCAATTCAATGAAATGCAACGTAATGTAAGTTGTATTGTAATATAATGTACTGCACTCTAATACGACATAATACGTATTAATATGTAATGCAATGTATGTAAATATACTTAGGTACTTTTGTACATATGCACAAAGAGATTTCAGGCTGCTAAGAACCTTTGCACACAAACTGTGCGACATTCTTTGCTTTGCAGGCGGTTTAATGCCTTTCGCATCCTTTCGCACATCCTTTCCCAACATGACAATACCACAACACAATTCAAAACTAGGGACAAGCAGAGCTTGCGGAACTGCTTGGCAGGCGATGCTCGGGACGCGGATGCAAATGGAGTTACTAAGAACGACTCGAACGACCAGCATCTGCTTGAAGGTGAGCTCGAATCCTTGGCGAGCAATCTGCGTGCTCACCTTGCTGCAGCTGAGCAGGGAGCCGAGAAGTGCCTCGCTGCCTTGCGCGCTAGCGGTGTCATTGAGGTCACCGAAGAGCATCTTGTGCAGGAGAGGCTCCTGGTCTTCGTCATCATCATCATCATCATCATCAGCATCATCATCATCATCAACATCATCATCACGATCATCTTAACCATCATCAGCAGCATCAACAGCATCATCAGCAGCATCATCAGCAGCATCATCACCAAGATCAACAGCATCATCATCACCATCACCATCATCATCATCATCATCAACATCATCATCACGATCATCATAACCATCATCAGCAGCATCATCAGCAGCATCATCCCCAACATCAAAAGCAGCATCATCACCAACATCATCACCAACATCATCACAAGCATCGCCGTCGTCGTCATCATCGTCATCATAATCACGACTGTCATGGTTTGAAACCGGTTTGTTTTCTCTTGTTAATCAACCAAACTAGCAGCTCGCTTTCGTTCATTCCCCCTGACATCAAATCAAACTTTGCTACCTGGGACGACCCGGACAAGGTTCTGTGTGCCTGAATTTCTAAGCCGTTAGTGCTTGGTCAAAGCTGGAGTAATACCTTCGCACTTGATGTTCGCTTGGACATGATTATGATGATTATGGGAATTGGTCCTGATTCATCTTCTTCTTTATTTGATCTCAACTCCCTTCCGATGGTGGATATGATATGTTTCTATCTGCATTTTTCTATGTGATTTCACATATTTCAATTTAGCTTTCAGAAAAACTGCAGTTGGCCGGAGGAGCTGCTGGCCACAAGTTCGTTGCCTGCGCCGCTCGCGCGAGGTGCTGCTTCAATTGTGATCAAGGCACCGTTTGGAGCCTTTGGCGGCGTGACGACTCTCATCAGAACAAGACAAGACAGAGGACAAGACGAGAAAGCCGAAGGCTTTAAGGTTTAAGGAAAACCCATGAGGAATGCATGAGAAAACCATGATGGCAGGATGTGATGGATGTTGGTTGACTTGATGGTTTCGAACTGCGGCTTTGCTCAGGAAAGGCAAGCCACGGGCTTCTCCCGGCTCAGTGACCTTGTTGTGGCCTACATCAGAAACTGAGCTGAAGGACGAAGAGTCCTTGGACCGCTGGGGCTTTAAGGACGGAGTGTCAGACTTTCGTCTCATGTGATTTACATTCGTGTTTCAGTGTTTCATATCGATTCATACTGATTCATTTTGATTCATGAATAATTTGCAAGATGTCCTCCGGAGTCACATTGTAGGTCTCAATCGCACTTGCATTTCTAGCTGCTAGCTGCTTCGCAGGACACAAAATTCATTGCTCAGTATGTCGATGGACGGCCGGCTGCGCAGATCACTTCTCAACGGTACAAAGCGTTGGGTAGACAGCCGCTATTTCGTCTTCTACAATTTGCATTCAAAGAATTTCCTCTTTTGAAATCTTTTGAATATGTTTTCTTTAATTTGTGCAAGTGCATGTCATTAGGTGGTAGTGTGACGTTTTTTATATTCTCGCAAGTCTATTCGATTCCATTTGTGCAAGGTCTGTGGGAGCTCTTCCAGAGACAGCTCAGCGTGCCACTGAACGTTCGAGACATGCTGCCAGAGCGAGCCATCCCGGACCTGCCAGCCCCTGCGCATGGCTTGGAAGAAGTCTTGAGCACCGCAGTACCAGGTGCTCGGCTTTGAAAGACACGAAACAAAACATGACCGAATCATACGAATCACATCGACTCCAATGAGCAGGTCTAACACCTGTTCCGCATTTCTCACATGTTTGTCCGTCGCCATCGCCATCGCCATCGCCATCGTCATCATCACTATCACCACCATCACCACCATTACAACCACCACCACCACTACAACCACCGCCACCATTACAACAACCACCACCACTACAACCACCACCACCAACACCATCCTCCAACTACTGCCGCCAACCAACATTTGGAAAAACCCACCACACCAACCACCACCACCACCACCACCACCACCACCACCACCACCATTACAACCACCACCATTACAACCACCACCATTATAACCACCTCCACCATTACAACCACCACCACCATTACAACCATCACCATCATCACCACCACCACCAGCAGCAGCAGCAGCACCACCAGCAGCAGCACCAGCAGCACCAGCACCAGCACATCACCACTCACCACCACCTACCACACAGCACACCACCACCACAATCCACCACCAGGCACCCATACACCACCACCACCACCTACTACACACACCAACCACCCAGCCAAGCAGTCACACCACCACTCAGCAATGCAGTCACACCACCACACGCATCACCACCACACTCGCTAGCGAAGTGCACCACCACCACCACCACTCATCACTCACCACCACACACCACCACTCATCAGTAATCACCACCACCACCACACATCATCATCATCACACCACCACCACCACCACCACCACACTCAGTCATCATGCACCACCACCACCACTTTTAATTCATAATAATCATTCATAACAATCACACACACAATCAACATCACCAGCGACCAACACCGAACTACCACATCACCCCCACCACCACACCACCACCCACACCACCACCACCCACCACCACTCATCACCACCACCACCACCACCAGCAGCAGCAGCAGCAGCATCAGCAGCATCAGCAGCATCAGCAGCATCAGCAGCATCAGCAGCAGCATCAGCAGCATCAGCAGCATCAGCAGCATCAGCAGCATCAGCAGCATCAGCAGCATCAGCAGCATCAGCAGCATCAGCAGCATCAGCAACATCAGCAGCATCACCATCATCACCATCATCATCATCATCATCGGCGGCTATTATTATCATTGTTACTCATTACATACTCATTGCATCTCAGTACTGATATTTTTTTGTCGTTGTATTACTGATATCATTGTTGTGATTGATAGTCTTAATATCTCTTAATGTAGTATTAGTATTCTGATTATTCTGTTCTTACTTGTCATCAAATTTCCATATTCTTGGATCAAGGGTTGCAGATGGGTGCAGTGTCTATGAGGACGCGTTCTGCTGGACTCCGAGTCGCGCCTGCGTGCGGGCACTGGACATGGCTTGGCGGATATTTGGCGACTGCGCACTCGTCAGTTGGAGCGCTTTCCAGATGCCGTGGTTCGACCGGAGACGGAAGAAGAAGTCCAGGCATTGGGATTTCATCCAATGACAGTAGGATCACAATGTTTAGAATGGGAAAAATGGGGTAATATGGGGTAATATGGGGTACAGCATAGGACGACATTGATTTTGGTAGCTTACTCTGGCTTACTCTGGCTGACTCTTACTCCTTGATTGCTTTTGAAAGATCCACCGCAGACCTCTTCGAGCTATGCCTTCCCATAGCCCACCCTGCAGGCGTTGTTAAATGCAGCTATGTCATACAACCACGGCCTGGGATTTGGCATCATTCCAGTTGGTGGAAGGACCAATGTCACATCTGCCACCAAGTGCCCATCTCAGGACCCAGGGATATTACGGATGTACAGAGACGAACTCGACAGATTCGCATGGGGTGGTCTGGCAAGTTTGAACAGCTAGAAGAACGTAGACGAACCAGGTTTTGCAATGTTTGGAGGGTGTCAGAAAATGTTATGGATGATAAGTGAACTAACTGTGTCCCTAGGACCCGAGGTCAGTTGAAATTGCTTGTCAGAAGTTTTCTCAGTTTTCCAACACTGAACATGTGTGAATGAAATTGAAGTTCTACGCTTAGTTTGTAACAAATGCACCTGACGGTGAGGAAGTGGATTCCAGACCGATGGTCTCCCTGGACATGCGCGGCCTTAGCAAGGTGCTGTGGGTGAATGCAGAAGATGGAGTTGCCATGATTGAGGCCGGCATCACTGGCATGGATCTCAAGAATCTTGGCTGGCTTTTAATCATCAAGAATCATCAATTGTTATCAAATAGCGTTTTGAATCTCATGAATGTGATCTCCTCCACCTGAAGCCGTCTCCTGGGCTGTCCAGCTGGTACATTTGAGGGTAAGCATGGTGAGCTGGAAAGCTTGTGATTTTTTTAAAGTGGACATTTTGAGCCTCGCGAAAAGAACTTGGGCTCAACATGGGCTCGACTGTGTCGATGAGACCCAGGAGATCGTTGAAGCAGCATGGCGTCACAATGGGAATGGAGCCGGACTCCATGGAGCTCTCCACTTTGGGCGGCTGGATTGCAACGAGGGCCAGTGGCATGAAGCGAGCGCGCTACGGAAACATCGAAGATATGGTCCTGGAGGTGGGGAGGAGACTCAACATCCTGAAACATTCCGAGACGGTAGAAGGTGGCAAAAGAATACGTGTTCGCTCTAGACATTCGCAAGTGAGAAACTGTCGTTTTCAAATTTGGACACACACACACACTTTCTAACCAGTTTTATAATGTTTTATACAGTACAGTGTGTTGGTGCCATTTGGACTTAGGGTGAACACACATGAGCAAAGCCCAAGTGCGGCCACACGCACAAGATCGCAAGGACACAGAATCACAACTTCAACGGAAGTTGCCAGGGTATTCACAGGACACTTAAGGACACTTCCCCAAATTCAACTGGAGTACATACAGATTATATCAGATTATAGTATATTAGAATATATTATAATAGATTATATATGATGATATATGATGATATTATATGATATTATATGATATTGGTATTGGATTCCACTCGACGTGCTGCCTTGCTTGATCGAGGTGCGCCTCATCACTCCGGGCGGTGCTGTTTGGCAGCGCCATGGTGACCCCAAGGCTCAGGCTGAAACGGCAATTGGTCGAGCCTCTACAAACATCGGTCTTCCAGCAATGGCACTCTGCTTCAATTTCTCCAATTTTCGCCACATTCTTTTGTGTTCTTTTGCATTTTAGTGCATTCCAGCAATTCCCAAATGAATTATTCTTAATTACGTGATGAAGGTCAGCAACAAACAACCTGTCACGTCCTATCACGACCAGACTCCAGACCTTGCCTTCTGTCTGCTGCAAGCAGCAGCAGGTACTGGGGAGTGAAGGTTGTCTGGGAATCATCACTTCAGCCATTGTGAGGGTGCGCCCATTGCCACAGGTGCGCGGGGCATGTAACGGGCATTTTGATATATAATATGCATACATGGGTTATCATGGGTTTGTCTAAAAACTTGCGATTCCCAAGTCCATTGGTTAATCATCATTATTCATATTAAAATTATTGAAAACTGCCATTTGGGGATATACTGCATTTTCAGCCACACTCATATATGTAGATTTATACATTGTTCGTGCAGTGGTTCAGAATCCGTTTGCACAGACGCAATGCTTTGATGGTTGCCAAAGTAGAGTGCGAACAAAGAAGTCCTCCAAATACATCTTGAGAATTCTCAAACAGGGTCCAAAATGGGATCCTCCGCTCAATGTTTGAGCCGGTCAAAACCATCTAACATGTTTGCAGTTCCAACTGCAAGATAGTGCAAGACATCTACTGAATTCGAACAGAACACAAGGAACGCGATATAAACCGATAATCCGGATGGGTCTGGACATGTTTGGACTGGTTTGAAGCTTTCGCGATGCTTTCGCCCTGTAGTCCAGCTGTCCAGCTGTCAGGTGGTGGAGTATCAAAGTGTCGTCTTCCCAGACTGGGACCGCGGTGCCAGCTGGATGAGAGAAGTGGCACGGATGCCGGCAGGTTTGCGGCCAGCCTCCTGCAGGACAGCGTCATTCCGAAACCCTTGGGAAGGAATGAAGAATGTCAAGAATATGAAGAATATGAAGAAATGAAGACTAGACCAATGTCCATGGTAGACCTCTAAAGTCGTATTGGAAGTGCAAGAATAGTCTTGGAATGCGTCTTTATCTGTTTTTTAAGTTTCTGCACCGCCAAAATCCACACTAATTGCTGGTGTTCCGGCGTCACTGATCCTTTTCAAAAGCACTTGTAGTTTTGATATGTTTTGATATGTTTTGATGCACAATCCGTTCATGAATGCTGCCCAGGCTGATGGATCAGAATCAGCTTCAGCTGGCACAAGCTTTGAAGGAAGGCTCTGAACAAAGCGGCACTTGGCACAGTCTTCGGGCAAGCTTGCGAGACGCCTTCCTCGCTTGCAAAGGTGGCATAGCTTTTTGGGAAATGAAACTCAGAGAATCCATGACAGGTGGCTCCAACTCAAGAGAGCGGAATCTCCACAGTTAACTGGAATCAGGTTGAATCAGGTTGAATCAGGTTGAAATCTGTATAATCAAAGCTGCTGGATCAAGTGTTCTCGTGATGCAAGGCTAGATTCTGAACAACTTGGCACTGACCCCACGTATGTTGTATTTTTGCATATGTCATATGTCATACCTTGCTTTTCTGTGCGGTGATATGCACTTGATATGCCATTGCATGCTCTTTTTTCGTTCTTTTTTGTCAATCCAGAATCCATATTATGTTGTACCTCCCAGAAAGCTGGGGGCCAGCATCCTTCAGCACCAGGTGTTTCTTTGCAAGAAGCTGCTGCAGTTACGCTCGTCTTCGAAGGCAATCGAGCAGAAGTGAACCTGCAGAAAAAGGACTGTCTTCGACATTTGTCAATCAGAAGATTGTGTTGGGAGTGCCATCCTTCTACATAGCTTGACATGTCTCCATTCTTTTCCTGCGTTGCAGTCAATAGCTTGTTTTGTAGTTTTTGTATAATTTTGTATATAAGCTTTTCGAAACTGTATAAATCATGAAGCATGAGAAGCTCTACGTATGCCGTATGCAGTCTTGCGATTGCCTTCTTGTATTGTTTGCACTTTGTTTGGCTTCTGGGTCATTCTGGGTCATGGGACGGCCTTTGTCAGGAGATCTCCAAGCTGGTAGCAGTGGCTGGAGGTATTTGGGGCGGTGCAGCGGGAGGCGCCGCAGGCTACACGCTGACCTTCGCAATTGCCTACCTACGAGACTTCGGCCTGGACTATCGCATCCTCTCTGAATCCCTAGAGACTATGGTTCCATGGTCGATTCTGCTTTGCATTAGATTGGTTCTAAAAAATTCTTTGAAAATCTTTGAACATCTTTTAAGTAGATGGCTCACTAAAACGGACTCGACCTGTGTTTTTTTTTGCAGCCTGATACTCTCAGTGCTGTGCCCGAAACTCAGGAGGAAATTTCAAGTAAATTAAGCAGCGAAAGCATGCGAAATGCTGGTATGAATCTCATTTTGAGAGAAAGGAATCTTAACCCGGTTGCATGACGCACCAGGACAAAAGGGATCTGTATGAGTGTGCAAACATGCAATATACTCCACATACACATACACATACACGGAATACATGTACTATAGTACTGTGTACATACATGATCATACATGTATATATCAACATAATTATATATATATATATTGGCTTGATTCAAAACATATGAATTCATATATGGTGCCTCACCAGCTGCGGGGTGCGCAGCGCGAGCGCGCGAGCATTTAACACGTGCGCGCGCGAGGTGCGCGAGCAACAACAGGCGCGCGCACGAGACGCGCGAGCAAATAGAGGCGCGCGCGCGAGGTGCGCGAGCAAGGCCAAGATGCGCGCGCGTGCTCGCGCGCGCGCCCGTCCGACACGCGCGCGCGCAAATAAGCTCTCCGCGCGCGCAAATAAGCTCTCCAAATCGCAAATAAGCTCACCAAATCCACTTTTGGAGAGCTTATTTGCGCGCGCGCGTGTCGGACGGGCGCGCGTGTTCGCGCGCGCGCGCGCATCTTGGCCTTGCTCGCGCACCTCGCGCGCGCGCGCCTCTATTTGCTCGCGCGTCTCGCGCGCGCGCCTGTCTGTGCTTGCGCACCTCGCGCGCGCATGTGTTAAATGCTCGCGCGCCTGCGCGCGCACGATTTCAACAGGAAATGTTTCATATGTTTTAAAAAATGACAATATATATATATATATGTATGTATAATGTAGTATGTAGATATATACACAGCACATTTTTGCACTGTTTCGATCTCGTATTGTTTTTTCCCTAGGTCTACTATCCGGGAAGTCTGGCCAGCTGTGAAGCTGGCCGTGCAGAGTAAGCACAGACAGCTTCGCCTACCAGGAAAGCCCTTCATGTCGTGCAGAATGACTCAGCTGTACGACGAGGGAGGTGTGCTGTACATGTACATTGCTATTTGCACTACAGGCTTGGAGCCGAAAACAGCTCTAAAGGCCTTTGAGAATTTGGAGCATGCCGCGCGGTGTGCCATACTCAATGCAGGTGGTTGCCTGAGCCATCATCATGGAGTGGGGAAGTTGAGGGCATCACTGTTGCCCGAAACACAATCTCCTGTCCTGACGCAAGCGCTGAGAAATTTTAAGATGGCTTTAGATCCTTCCAATATCCTGGCCGCCAGAAACGGCACCTGGTCCACCTCTGCTCTAGCTGAAGACTCAGAAGATGCAGAAGCGGAAGAAAACCCACGGTGAAAAATCTCAGTCTCACGATATCTCACGATGGAGCAATAGGGGCCTGACTTACAGTGTTGCAGTGACCAACTGTTCTTTGACCAAGCGGTGATTGCAAGATACTGGTACCCAGTATTGCAAGATATTGCAAGTGAGTAATAATATTTCATTGTGACATCTCAACTGACTGTTGCTGGCGCAGAATGTAGGACCAAAAAGTTCACACACATTTAGTGTATGAGTTGACTTAAGCTTGTAAGAACCCAAGTGTCATGCAACCTGCTGAATGTTGGGACATGGACGTGGAGCGTGAAAATGCCCAGCTGTCCAGTCCATCTTGAGAGTAAGTGCCGACCTACACCACTGGAAAGACACTTTTTATCACTTTTTGATCTTTTGGATACTGTATATTATATTGCGGAGCGCAGCGGAAGGTTGCAGCTTTTTCACAGCCGCAAGGCTTGTGTTTCCCCACACAAGAAGGGCTTCTCGAGCCCACGTCCGCTGACACACAGCGAAAGGTTGAAAACTGCAACAGGCTTTGTTCAAGGTGGTGTTCCCTATACAAATCCACATGCACCACAACTTGTGTTGAACAAAGCATGTATTTCAACTAGTCGTTTGTAGCCCGTCTCCGTTAAGGACCATTTTCCAAGGTGCATAATTTTGCTGAGGAACTTGGGGGCCATCCTTTTGGTAAGGGAGTCGGATACCATGTTAGTTCCACCGACCCAACGGACCTGGCCGCCAGTGGTCTCAAGGTCGCCTTTCAGGATGGTCAGGTCAATGGCCGTCCTCTTGTCGTCGATGTGCGCCGACGTGTTCCTGCATTTCGTGATTGTGTCGTAGAGCGACCGGGAATCTGTCACAGCAATGAATGGCAGCTTACCAAGTTGTTGCTCCCAGTTCTCCAGTGAAAGGTCCTTGGCTAAAACCTCTGCCAAGAGGAATCGATGCCAGTGAAGGTTGCCAATCCCCTGCAGCATCGATTGGCATTCTGCTGATAAGGTGTTAACGGTACACCTCTTCAACTTGTAGCTTTTCCAACTTGCAACTGTGATGTTGGCCATGTCGTCCGTGGTCTCCAACTTGTCGTCGTAATAGATCAAGAGGTAGCCACCTTGGCTATGCTTCCTGGCAAGTTGAAGGAAACGCTCGTTGATGGGTTTCCGGGTCTCCTCTTCGATCTCCGTCTTCAGAAACGTGGTGGTTCCTGTCCATGGTTCGTTGTGCTTCTCCCTGATGGCCTCCTTGTCATCCCAATTGTCCGTCATCTCCTCGTTGTTACAGGTCGTGGATCTTGTCCTCGAGATCTTGTGTAGATCAGGTCCATGAGGTGCAGCACCAGGATGGAAGAGCAATCTTCTCGGCAGAAGGTGATGTCGTATCCAGCTGAATTCCGTCTCTTCCCAGTAGTCCTTGTTGTTCTCTTCCATGTAGTTGCCTCCGGCATTTCCCCAGCTGGCATCGGTGACGACTCCAACTCGAAGTCGCTCCATAGGAATCGGTTGTATCAAAATCCCCAGGCCAGGGTCCTTCTTCAGCTCCTCAGCCACGGCATTGGCCTCAATGATATCTTTGACCATTGGAAGTGGCATCGACTGTTGGAGCAGTGCCACTCGGCCGGCCACGTCTGGCCTGGTTTCTTTGGCAACCCATGCCAGAGCTCCAAGTAGAGTTCGGAGTTGGTTCACCTCGTTGGCTGAACATGTCGAATACCTTTGTCGTTTTCGTTCTCGTTTCATGGGGATCAGGTTGACCTTCTCCTCGATGTAGGTTCTCTGGTGTAAGAGGATGGCACCACTGGGTTGTTGTTCAATGGTCTTTCCAGTGAACTTTCCGTTTCCAGTGGTATATTTGCCCATCTTGTATTGGGAGCGGAGCCATTCCATATGTTCCCAGTGAGCCTCTTCTCCGCCATGTAGCATGTCATCCGTGGCCAAGGCGATGATCCCGATGAGCTTCTGTTTGTCTTGGTCGAACAGCTGAAACAGGCACGGATCTGCCCGGCTTCTCTGGTATCCCCTGCTTTCCAGCACCCGGGAGAGGTGTTGGTACCATGCATATGGACCATCTGTTAATCCATAGCATGTCTTCCGAAGTCGGAGTAGTTGCCGTGGGTGAAGGCCAGGGATGCCTTCCGGAGGAAGGGAGCAGTACAGCTCTCTCTGGATCTGGTCTCCTGAATGGAAGGCCTGGGTGAAGTCGAGGTGACCAATCTTCCATTGATGACTGGCCAGCATCTGAAGCGTGAACATCACGGTGTCCTTGGCCACCTGTGGCGTTGTTGACTCTAAGTTCTCGGCGTTAGCCTCCGAGTATCCCTTCATGACATGACGGGCTTTGGCCTTCAGCAGTTCGCCGGTTTCGTCATCTAGTAGCAAGCCCTCCTTCTTTAGGACTTCTATTTCGTGAGGTTCAACGGCCTTCTCAGTGAGGACGTACCTGCTTTTCATGATCAGGTCCCCCTTTTCCCTTCTAATCCTTTCAGATTCTTCTCGGTTTAAGACCTCATAGGCTCCTGACGTCAGGTTGTTTTGGATCTCCTTGGAAATAGCTCGGTCGAACTTCTTCTTGTTGTTCAGTTGTAGTCGACCGTAAGATACTTCCTTCCTGTTCCTGGTCATCGTGATCTTCTCCAGCTCGTTGTAGAGGGTCTCCAAAAGCTCCATTCGGTGCCGTTTAGCGGGAGGTTCTCCTTCTTCTGGATGATCGGCATGTCGTACTTGTCCACGATGATGTTCTTCAGCAGGAGGTAGTGCATCGTTGTCAGCTCTTTCATCTTCCGTCTCATCCGGTAGCGGTGTAGTGGGCACCATCTCTGGAGAGTCAATCTCTGGCTGTTCTTCAGGATCATCAAAGATGCCCTCATTAGGCTGGATGTCCTCGGGGATGGCTTCAGTCAGTGGCGGTTCCACCAAAGTGCTTCTTGCCGGTTCCTGTGGATTCAGCTTCTGCCGCTTCTCGTCATAGATATCTGGTTGAAATTCCACCTCGGCCGCCGCATGCTTTCCTGTCAACCTAAACTTCGGTTTCTGTGGTGGGATCTCCTCGTCATCCTCAATGGCCTGGTCATACTCAGGGGGTTTCTCATCGAGGACGATGTAGCCCTTGAAGTCCTTCTCCTGAAGCTTCTTCTTGGTCTCCACGAGGTCCTGAATCCAGTCGGTGATGACAAACTTCTCCTCGTCCACTGCTGGTCGTAGATGTTCAGGACTTGCTTTCACGATGTGGCTGCGATGGGATACCCATACAGTGTTGGGCAGGTTGGTCAGGATGACCTTTGCCGGTCCATGCCAGAATGACGGGTTGTCTTTCTTGGCTCCCTGCATGCCCTTTTTCCAATAGTACACCGTTTGACCTACCTCGTAGTGGTGCCATTTCCGGTGGCCAGCATGTAGTGCATTCCGTAGTGCCTGGTCGCAGTCCGCCTTGTGGTAGGCAATGGCTGCGGCTTGTCGTAGGTCTGCAGAACGTTGTACTTGGAGATCACCAGCCTGATACCTTGAAGCGGTGGCGTGGTCATTGAAGCCGCCGCTCAGGTTAGTTCCAGGAATTCGAGGGCTGTACCCCAGCATTCTCTGTACCGGACTGAATCCTGATTTGTTGGCCAGCCGGTTGATAGTGGCCGTGGTCACGTCAACTGCCTCATGCCATTCTTCCCAGGTAGTACAGGTCACTTCCATAAGTGTCTTTGAAAGCACCTCCTTAAAGGACTTGCCGGCCCTCTCAGTAATGGACCTCTGGGTTGGTGTTTCTAAGGCCCCGGGGTCCAAGACAATGGATTGCTGGTCCATCATGTTCTGGAAGCATCCACGGAACTCCTTGCCCAAGTCACTGTATATTCGTTCGGGAGGTCCAAAGATACGGATCCACTGAAATAGAGCACGTGAGGCTGACCGTGGTGTGTGGTCTTCCAGTGGTATCACCAGTTGAAACCTGGTGGACCAGTCCACTATGTTGAGGGCCATCTTCAGTTTGCCTCCTGCTTTCAGACCTGGTAGATGTACTGTGTCCACCCCTACTACTTGGTTTGGAGTGAAGTCTCGTGGTGGTGCTGCAGCCCTGGCAGGGGCAATCCTTTTGTGCTTCTGGCAAACATCACATGTCAGCTTCTTGGCATACTCAATGGCCTCCTTCTTGGCTCCTGCGTTCTGCAAGATCCTTGCTAGCTTGTCGTTTCCGATGTGACCCAGTCCACAATGTGCCCTCCGCACTAATTGGAAGGTGTTCAGGCCTCGCTCTCTTGGTAGGCGTCGTCCAGGCAGATCGGCTTGTCCTTCTGCTGGTTCCTCAATCACTGCATCCTCGGCAAGGGCGTTCTCGGGCTGTGCGTCGGCATTCTCCTCAGGGTGGTCTGTGGCCATATACTCATGAGCTTTCAAGTTGAAGCACTCGAGGAGGACATTCTCAGTGCGGTAGATCTCGTTCATCAGGCCATCCAAGGTGACAACATGGATGTGGTGGCGCACGTTGTGCTCCTGGTCGATGGTGTCGGCATATGCCTGCAGGATGGTTCGTACCAGTTCGACTGGGTATTCCTGAGCCTGCTTTGCCCTAGAGCCACCAGGACCATTGCCAAACACTGGTCGGTGAACGTGATCCTTGCTACAGACCCTTGAGAGCCTTTCGGCAACAGTTCTGTTATTGGTCAACCAACCGGTCGGCTTCTTGTACCTTTCACCTTCAGGAGCCTTCAAGTTGAACATGCATTGATCATTCCGTACCATGAGTGTGTCATGTGACTGTGCAAGCAGCTGGACCCGTGGCTCTGACCATGCTTTGGAAGTGAGTGGTTGCTCAAAAACAAACGTTCCCCCGTAAGCCCTAACAAGTTGACAGACTTCACATGCGAAATTCAGCAAGACCTTTGCCTCAACAAGCCTTTTGAGAAATTCCCTATCCTTTTGGGGGTCTTCCCGGTACTTCTGATTGAGGTTTTGAAGAATGCTGAACATGGTGCAAGGTGATGACACAAGCATGCAACCCGGTTTCACACTCTGAACATACCTTCGGACCTCTTGCCTGTTCTTTGCTTTCAGGAGATCATGTCCTAAGGTCAGATCAAAAGCCATGCCTTGAGTAAGACCTACACCTGTTGCCTGGGGACCAAACCGTTTGGGATTGAACACTTCGGCAATCACTCGGGCTTGTTTATTTGTCACGCCCATCAGTCCCGCAAGTCGGCGGAGAGGTTTCTTATCCTTGATCCTGGTTGGATCAGTTGGATCAAAAATTTCAACAGCGTACTGTTCAAACACTTGCTGAGTGGTCCGGTCGGGACCTTCGCCAAGAAGGGTTATAATCTCCTTCCACATGACTTCGGTCTGTGTCAAAGCAGCCCCGGCTTTCCGAAGCAGTTGTTTCACACCCCTACTTTTCAGGTCGACAGCCCCCTCAGCATTCATGCTAGTTGGGTCACTCAGCGGTTGACTCGGGATCCTGTCCAGACTCCTGCCGGTTCCAGTGCCTGGGACCTCTTCCACTCCAAGAACTCCTCGTAGGTGGGCTCGGTCGGCTCCAGCTTCTTCTTGCGGTTCTTCTCGCGTTCCTTCTCCTTCTGGATGCCGGCTTCGGTGAGCTCCTCCTTGGTGATCTTGCCGCAAATGGCACACTTCTCTTGGATCTTGAAGTGATTGGAGCCCGACTTCAACACCTTCTCGTGCTTGCAGTGCTGTTGTGCCTGCTGTAGGAGTTGGGATGCCGTAGAGCTCTTCCGTGACGTAGTGCTCCTCCGGGTTGTAGTTGATATCACCGTCTCGGTGTCCATCTCCTCCTCGGATGCCTCGATGAGGTTCGTGTTGAGGTAGGGCTGGATCAGAGTCCACATAAAGGTTCGGCACTGCTGATCGCGGGGACGTGGGCAGCGCCAAAACAGCTTGTGGTAGTTGGGACCCTGCTTCTGGCATATGAAGAGGCGTGTGGTCTCCCCATGCTCGCACTGAACTGGTGGCCCCACCATCCGAAGGATCGCATCCGTGATGAGCTCCTTCCCCATATAGGAACTTGCCTGAGACCTCTGGCTCTTGGCTGGCGATGACGGTGGGATCAGTTCGAAGCTGCCCTCTGTCGGCGCCACTCTGGTAGTTCTCGGTTTCCCGGACGAAGTGCTCTGGTTCAGGTGATCTGGTTGAGGACGTAGAAGTCGTAAGGCCAGCGCGCTGACACTCTGCATGATGCTCATCACCCTCACCAGAAGCATGTGCCACGCTGACAGGATCTTGAAGCTGTTGTCCTGGGTGCGGTTGCGTTTCCTCTCGGTCTCCATCATGGTTGACAGCACCGAAGGTTAAACCTGGAACGGTCGGGCTTTTTCCTGGGCCAGACTTGGCGGCAATATTCGGTACCTCAGGTTCAGTTCTGAAAACTTCGAACTCAGTTCCAACATTGTTGAGAGTTTCTTGAGTTTGTTTCAGGTGTTTGATTTGTTCATGTGAAAAATTGCACAACGGAATACGCAATGCACCAGTGGGACCTAGGTGACAGTTCACAGAAAAATTGAATTTCTTGAAATGAATTTTCAAACCATTTTGGGGGTCCAAGTACAAAACGGCACGACAAAACATCAAAAAGGGTAACGAGATAAGAAAAGGGGCATGTTTACTCTCTTCATTTTCAAACACCGCAGGTTTTAAAATGCTTCCCTTCTTACCCAGTCCTGTTGGTACTGCTGCTACATGAGTTGTAGATGATCTTCCATGAACAGAACGGAACCGATGCTCTTGGGGTTGAAGTTGTACACCTAGTTCTTCTGGAAGATGTGGGGAGAGTCGCCGAAGAGTCTCATACCCTATGGCCATTCTTTGACATCCAGTGTCAACTGTTGCACATGCTTCTTCCGAAGGGTTAGTAGAAACCAACTTGGTATTAGACAACCCTTCCCCAAAAAGAATCTCCCAGTCCTCATTCCCAGTAGTTCGGTCCTTATACGGGGACGTGGGCTGGCACTCAGCTACGTTGGAATTGGGCTCAGGTTCAGCTACCGCAAAACTTCCCACTGGTGGGGAATCTAAGCTGGCTACTGTACTCATGGCTTCTCCGGTGGTCTCATGGTCTAAAAGACCGCAGAAAACAGCTTCTTCGGTTTCCAAAAGATGTTGATCACGTTCTCGGGGAGGCTCTGGGCACTCGCGGTGCCAATGTCCAGTGCGGAGACAATTCCCACAGCGAGTGATCTTTTTGATTTCTTCTATGGTCATCTTATACTGACCTGTTTTCCAAGGAGGCTTGCCGGTGTTGTTGACGGTATAGGTGTTCTTGCCTTTGCCCTTGCTCGGAAAGTTGCCAGACTTGTATCCTCTGCCAAGTTCCTTGCTCTTCTTCGCCTTCTGGGTTTGGACGAAGCTGCGCTTCTTCGTCAGGATCGTGTTAAGGATCTCGGCTGCCTCGTGCTCGTCCAGGATCTGCGTCTCCTCATCCTCGGTGCCACCAGGTTGATCGCTATGTTGTTCTCCACCTTGTAGTTCCATGATCGCCGCCTCGATGGCATGAATCTCCTCCTCGTCATTCTCGCTCTCTTCCTCGGCGACGAAGAAATTGCCGCTCGCCTTCGTCGAGCTGGCCTGGTTCTTCTTGGGGTCAAGGCCAACCTGTGCCACTTGTAACTTGGTTTCATGTTTCCTGACCCAGTCCTTGATGTCAGGTGGCATGATGCTGCCACGGGTATAGTTGAGGAGCGACTTGATCTCCGGTTCGGTCAGGTTAAGGGCATTCACCAAGAGGAAGCCGATGTACTTGTCCGGCAAAAAGACCTTGTGTTCGGCCACTTTGCGCATGGCAGTCTCCCATCTGTTGAAGAACTGCCTGTGCGCCTCCTGCTTCTCCCTTCTCACATGGTAGGTGATCTTTGCTAAGGCGCCTAGCAGGTCCTCATCTCGGTCGTCACCGAAGTACTCGGCCTTGTCCATCAGGTCTATGAGGTCCTCACCATTGGTCTCACTGGCCATCCACTTGCGGTCCTTGGCCAAGAACTTCATCGTCTCGAAGGGCACCTTAGCTAGTCGTTGGAGTAAGAGAGGCCCTCTCGTGCGGGGTTTTGACCGTGTTGTAGCCAGCCATAACCTCGCCTTTATGGCGTAGTCCTGGAACGACAAGCCATCGCCGTCCCATTCCGGTGCGGGTCCTGCATTGGTCCTGTTTCCATCTCCATCTCTGTCTCGGGAGCCATCACTGCTGTCGCGACGGCGATCTCGGGTTCGTCGTCCTCCAGCTCGACTCCTGTTTCTCATCCATTCTCGAAACTCTTCACTGTCAAACCCATCATCATCATTGTCCTCACCATGGACTTCATGTGCCTCATTTGAGGCTGTGCTCGGTCTCGAGCGTCCAGGCCTGCCTTGGCCCACGGTCGCATGACCGTCATTTGGTGCCTCGTCACTGCCATGTGACGACGGGGGCACCGGCTGATCCATGTCCAAGCTCCGGTTACCACTTGCGGAGCGCAGCGGAAGGTTGCAGCTTTTTCACAGCCGCAAGGCTTGTGTTTCCCCACACAAGAAGGGCTTCTCGAGCCCACGTCCGCTGACACACAGCGAAAGGTTGAAAACAGCAACAGGCTTTGTTCAAGGTGGTGTTCCCTATACAAATCCACAATATAATATAAGATATATATATATATAATATAAAAAATATATATATATATATAATAAGATATATATATATAATATAATATATATATATAATATATATATATATATATTCACCCATCTTCACCCATATTCAACCCCATGTTCTGATGAAAAAACTATACCGCCACGTTTCCATGGCGCGATTTCAGCCTGCAGGAGGGTCTCTTCTCGGTCCTGGCCACGGTGGATGCCCCTGACTTCACCTTTTCGGATACCACGGTGGTGGCTGGGATGACATATCGCTATAGGTGGGCTGCGCGGGTTGGGAGCTTGAGAAGCACCAAAGATATGAACATTTGGAGTCCAAAAATGGACGAAATCTCCCCAAATCTACCCTCTGGTAAACTAACATAGCTATTGAAAATGGCCACAGAAATAGTGGATTTACCCATTGAAAATGGTGATTTTCCATAGTTATGGGACAGTTTACCAGAGGGTAAGTGACAGATATTGAAATTCCCATGGTGACTTGGGGAACTTGGTCCCTTGGCCCCTTGGTGCAATGGCAGGATCCAGATCCAACACGAGCAAAGCTCCTCTGACTTCAGCAATCTGGCGACCTTTGTGGCTGCAGGTGGCCATCTGGTAATGTGGATAGCAGCTTGCTATGGAAAACCACTAGAAATAGGCAAAACATGGCAAAACATCCATAAAATGATGCACCATTTTCCATTGGTATCGTTTATATATTGGGCCCACAGTGATACCATATTTTGGAAGATTGGGAAAGCTGCAATTCCGGTGAATCTGAATGGATCATTTGACGAATTCGCGGCAGGTCTTCCATCGCAACCGAATGCAGTGACTTTGGTGTCGCAGTCCAAGACGAACATTTCGGTCTCATGGACGGTGCCCGACAACAATGGTGCTGACATCTATCAGTCGGGGCTCTTGGTGCTTGGGCGGAGTTCTGGGGAAGCCTAGTAATTTCACACTTGAATCTTTTGAAATAAATGCAAAGGAATATCATATCCAGCTATATTTATTTGCAGGGATATGATCTAAGTGTAGCCATCTTGCTGGGTGATTTAAGCAATTGGAGCAATACAACGACTTCTTCTCTGGGGTTCGAAGGACCACATTTTTTGGGGCGCAAAAGTCAATTCCAACCATTCCAATCATTCCAATCATTCCAATCATTCCAATCATTCCAATCATTCCAAGCATTCCAAGCATTCCAAGCATTCCAACCCCTGAAGCCAAGATGACTCTGCTGGCCCTTGCACTTTGCCCAATGTAGGTTTGTCTGAAAATAGGGGAATATAATATACTCCAATTGGAACCTTTTCTGGGGCATCCTATTTTCAGACAACGCCATATATCATATTGTTGTTAATGTTATATATATATATATTCCATTCAGCTCCATGAAATCCCATTCATGTACGATTTTAATGTCCATTCATATCCCAAAAAGCCTCTGGTAATTTAACATATGGAAAACGGTCCATTTATCTACTTCGATGATTTACCTATTAGTGCAAAACCGGTTCTCCCAGGTTCATTCTGCGCAGGGACGATGGCTTGGGCGGCGGCATGACGCAGATCTACCGTCCCAACGCACAGCACCAGTTGGATCTTTTTTTGGGGAAAGGGGTGAACCATGTGGGCCAGTTGCGACCACCAAAATTTGAGAAAAATGCGTGTTTTTTGTGATTAAGAATCTTTGATGAACGGTTTCAATATCCCCTATGTCATCATTTTTGATATTTGGCAATTCATATATCCATCAATCCATCAATATTCCATTAATCTCCGTTCATCTCCAAATAAATCTGAGGATATTAAGGTGATAATGGATATAAGCTAATACCCATCCCATTCATATCCCATATAAATATCCATACATATCCCATATACTGTAGATATCCCATATTAGTATCCACTAATAGATATATATATATATACCAATTAATATCTCATGAATATCCATTGAATAGAAATATGTATGCCCATTAACAACCCATAGAAATATCCCAGTCATTTCCATAGACATAATATTCAATGGATTGGCTTAAGGGAAAATCGAGAGGTAACCATGATCATTAATATCCCATGAATATCCCATTAACATCCCATATAACAATTAATATCTCATATCCCATTCATATCCATTGAACAGAAAGAAATTGGGATATCCAATAGATATTCTGAGGGTTGTTTTCTGGATATATGAATGAAATTGGGATATCCAATTAATATCTCATAACTATCCCAGTGAAAAACATCCCATAGAAATATCCCCAGGTGGTGCCGCCACGAGTTTCCAGAGCAGCGACTTGGCGACGGGCCGTGACTTGGCTGACTTGGTGGATGGTGAGCCAACAGGTTCTCCGGGAGAAAAGGTGGATTGAAGGTGACTTACCAACCAATCATCATGGGAAATCATGGGAATATATATATATATATATCTATATCATATATATATAACACATGTATATATATATATATATATGGGATTTAACTGAAGATGAAGCAACCAAGAAACCAAGAAATCAAGGGGAGATTTTGGGATTTAACCACCGCTAATACGGATTTTGGGAGGATTTCAGATGATTTGAGGCTTGCGAAAAGATCTGGAAATCAAACCTGACTGGGAAATCCCAACATTTTTTTTCGGTGAACATCATATCATCGAACCGAGGCTAACCGCAGGGATAAAATGCTCGATGAATCAACGGGTTAGCCCCAAATTTCATGGTTTTTCACGCGGGACCTTTACGAAAGGTGCCAACAAGATGGGGGGCAAATCCGGCATTTTCAGACAAAGTCAGCTGATAAATGGCTGATAAACTTCAACTGAACCATCTGGATTACGCTGGTCAAATTGATAAGATTTTGCAGAACCCCATGAGTATGAGGCTACTATACCTTCTCTGTAGCTGCGCGGAATGCCGCAGGCAGGCACTTGCCGGTTGATGTGTCACATGTGTCCCATTGTTTGGGGATCGTCCACATCCCCTTGTTGATGATGATGATGATGATTATGATGATTATGATTGGTTTCACATCCCTACTTCATGGCCAAATTATTCTTACTTTGCCTTTTCGCCAGCCATTTCGCCACCCGTTTTTCCACCAGGGGAAGGTCCTGAGAGCGTGGGTCAACGCATCCTGTCGGCCTCCATGCCCAGTCCTGTGGGACAGCCGGGAGAGCCCAGCAGAAAGGTTTGGGGTTGGAACATTTAGTGAACGTCACTTCAGCAAATTCCAAATCCAAGTCTAAATTGTCAACATTTTCCGAAAACATCTAATCAGATCTAACCCGCTTTTTTTGGGATATTCATAGTTCATCACCTCAAAATAAATCACCTTAGCCATGCCACCAGACCCCCTGGACCCCTTTTCAGGCCGGTGCTCATCAGCAGCTCTTGCTCCGGCGGGTCAGTCACTTTGAAGTGGACGGTGCCTGAGGACCCCCCAAGAGATGCCGAAAAGTGAGATGGATCATAGATGCATCACACTGATCTTGAGATTATTGAAGTAGGATTTGACTTTTCGATCTTTTTTTTGGATTGCTATTTGTTTACATATATATATATATACATAGCCCGTTGTAGTAGTCACCTTCCCCCTAAAAAAAGTGAGCCTCCACGGCCAGGACGATGGCGGCTGCCCGGTGACGCGCTACCGCATCCTGCGGGACGACGTGGCCACCGGTACAGAGGTCGCTAGACACCAACGAAGTTCGCTCTAGAAGTGATCACATCGTCATGGATTCTTATTACTAGTGATTATGATATATTATATATATAACTAGTGATTGATTATTAATGATTGATGATTCATTATTAACTATTATTAATGATTGATTATTAACTAGTGATGATGATGATGATGATGATGATGATATATATATATATATGTATATATATATATGGGGTCCCATTTCCACAAGATCAATATAGATCATCTAGATCTATAGTCAGCTGATTGGTGGTTTGGAGCGTGGCTTTTATTTGTCCATTCAGTTGGGAATAATCATCCCAATTGACTAATATTTTTCAGAGGGGCTGAAACCACCAACCAGTAATTATTGATTATCAACTAGTAGTTTTATGATATATATATAATATAAATTTGGTTTTCCATCCCTCCAAATCAGTACCAGAAACGCCAGAAACTCTATGGGTCAAGGGATGTCAAGGGTTGCACGGCAGGTGCCATCGACCACCATCAGCTACTTCACTCCAGGCCGCTGAAGACACACCTTTTTTTTTGTGGATCGGATCGCGACAGATCATCTGGCAGATTTTTGGCAGGTTTGGAATGTGCCACCACATATCTCTGGAGCATTCAAGCAAAGCTGGGCGCTCAAATGTGGGATGCTTCCATCGAAAGCGGCGAAACCAAAAAAAAATGCCACCCAAAATGTGACTGTTCCAGACCAGCAAAGGGGGGCAAAATCCCAAACGGTGTTCATCAGGATACACTTTGATACCTTTGGTACCCGCTGTTTTTTAATCATGCCGTTTTCATGGGGGAATGGAAACGGACGAGGCCATGGATGGAACATGGAAACGAAGCACCTTCAGTTTTTTCTTCTGGAAACCATAGGTTTCTATTTTGTGGGGGAAACATGAATCACTCATACTAAATCAAACATAGCTAACCAGTGCAAATCGAAATAGAAAGGACGCAACAAATCACCCAATTTATTGCAAAATAGTGAAAGTCATGATACCCTCTGGTAAACTGTCCCATAACTATGGAAAATCACCATTTTCAATGGATAAATCCACAAACTAAATCACCATGTTCAATAGCTTTTTGTATGTTTACCAGAGGGTAAATCATCAGAATCTTCGAACAACTCACATTTTCCCATGGCTTTTTCCCAATGGTCCAGGAATTGCCTGGACACCTGGGGCAGCGATTCGCCTTACCTGGAGACCTATACGGCCTCCTTGCCGGGGCAGGTCACCGGCTTGAACGCCGGGCACGCCCAGCTACCCCAGGCGGCTGTTTTTTTTTTTTTTGGTGATCAACTTGTTGATATCCCATTTTGGATGGTTTTGAGTAATTTTGAGTATACTTTACTATCTATAAACTGACTAGTGACACTAGTCATGATGATTTACAATGAATTCTTGTACCAAAAAATCATGATCAAAGGTACCATCCCAAGCATTCTGAGCCATCTCGAAGCTTGCTGAGGCCACCCACGTGTCATCCACAGAGTTGCTCTTCAATTGGCTGCCCCTTCTGGGTGCCACCGAGTGGGAGGCTCAAGGTTGCGAATTTTGCTGGGACTCGGGGTCAACAAATAAAGGGCATTTACGTCTAAAAATTATGCATGGTTCATTATTTAATATTATTTATACATGTAAAAAAAATGTCACAGCATATACCTATAGATCCACCCCCATATATTTGAAGATCCATATATTTCCCGAGATTTACCAACATCCGTAGAGGTCTTGATCCATGCCAGGATCGGTTCCACGGATTTCTCCATCTTGAAGGGTTACGAGCTTTGGATGGACGACGGCCTTGGAGGTGAAAATCCCCATGGGTTTTGATGAAGCACCATGGCCATGTGGAAAATGATGTGCATCACAGAAATGATTTGTTTTTTTAAAGATCGCAGCTGAATTTTTGCTGGAAATTTGAAGGGTTTGGCACCTGCCGTGAATTCTCTCTTGAGCATTCGACATGTGAACAGTGATCAACATTTGTTCAGCAAGGTCTTTCGCCTTTCAACCAACCAGTGACTTCAGTGGTCGCAGGAAAGTTCAGCCGAAGCTATGATGGCTACAACAAGCCCTTCGAGACCTACTTCGTGGCCACTGGCCTGGTGTTGGGAGCCTCAGTCCCCAGCTTCGAACGAAAGGTTGCCATTTGCATCCTATTTTTGAGTCGCACCGTTCAAAATAATGATGGTTCCGCTATACTTGTCCACGCTATTCCCATTGTATTTCCATCATGTTCCAACAAGATGTGGTTGGGCTTCCCATGATCTTCCCGTTAGATTCCCATCATCTTTCCACATGACATCCCACTATAGCAATGAAATGGGTGGACTGTATCCCGCAAGGTGAAGTCCCCCCCAAACGATAGCTAAGTTGACGCAAATAACTTATGGTTAACGTTTGGGTTGAGGGGGATGTAACGAACTAGTTAATGGGTTTGTAAACCATCTTATAACTATATCCATCTATATCCCACATGATCCCACTACCTTCCCACACAATTTTTCCACCATCCCAGCGATTTCGCAGGCCAGGGCGTGTCTACAGATCCTACGTGCGCGCCTTGAACCTTGTGGGGGCCGGTCCTGATTCTGACGTGCCGCCGGCGAAGTGGAAAGGGACGGTTGGGATAGGGTTGACCACTTAAAAAGATGAGGATTCTGTGGCGATTCTATGGTTATATATGATTATACGATTATTATGTGATTATATAATATGATTATATATGATCATATACATGATTATAGATGATTATAATATACATGATTCATGATTATTTGATGGGCAACTAATCACTAACAATACTCAACACAGGACGATGGATCATTGATAATTCCTTCCAGAAAGCGTGGTTTTATCGGGATGAAACCACATGTTTGGGTCCATAGAATGGGGGTGTTCAATATTAAAAGTGACTGATTCGTAGGATTTTAATGGTGTTTTAACCATCGACGAAATAGAGGTTTCAAGCGTCAAAACGTGGGGAGGATTTTTTTCATACACTCCGGTGTCATCCAACTGAACGGTTATTTAAATGGGAAAAATATACTACCATCATCTACCATCTGGTTATGACTAACATAGCCATGGAAAATCCACCATTTTTAATAGGTAAACCCAGGTAAACCATCTATAAATGGGCCATTTTCCATGGCTATGTTAAATAACCAGAGGATTTCCAGCAAACCATGTTTGATTACCGGAGGGTACATTCTATCATATGAGCGTCACTCGAGAGTTGTCGGATGTCTTGTTCCAGTGGTTGATAATTCATGTGGACCTAGTGTTTGTTCCTCTTCGTTATAAGGCGGCACGCAGGCAAATTCAACAATTCTGCAAGGCAGCGCTAGCAAATCGGCTAGTTCTGCGCTAGGCTTGTTCACATTCATGTTCAAAGATTCATTTTCCAGTTCCTGAATGCTTGTTATTTCAACATATGTTCTTCATAGGATGGAATTCTGAATAGATTCTCTTTGTTAAAGCCCAGTCCAAACAGGTTCATATTGTGGAAAATCCACAATTTTTTATATACAGTAGATGGTTTGCTAAGGAACACTGAAAGGTTTTCCATATCGATGTCAGTTTACCTCGCAGCATCATCATTTTATGTATCATCCAGCCATAATAGGTACGTTATAGTAGAATATGGTTAAAACCTCTGCTTACCCAAAACTATAGTTATATACTCTGCTTAAAACGCTATGATTTACCACCATTTTCAGGGGATGAAGATATAAATGACACACCTTGTTTTGAGCATCTTGCATAAAAGCTATTGTGGACCATTACCGTCCGAACTACAATTGATGGTCATTTTTTTTTGGGAAAACCTGTAACTCCCAGCGATTTTGATTTTCGCCAGGTCCTCTACAGAGCCATGGCGGTAGAACCTTCAGCACCCAGTGACTTGCAGGCGGGCTGCCCCAAGATTTTTTAAAGCTGTTTTTGGATGCCGATAGAAGGCTGAAAGGTGCCTTTTTTCCGTCTTGGACTTGAAGCTTTCACCTTCCTGGCCTCTGCAACTATGGAAAAAAAACACCGGGCTTTTCCTAGGTGGGGTCAAAACCACTTCAGGTAGGATCTTCTCGCGGATCAAATTGCTGATATTTTAAGCCTCACATTGCTGATATGTTTTAGTTTTTTTTTCCCTTAAATACAAATGTTCGGAAAGTCAAAAATACAAACCATCATTTTTATTCCTATATAGCCTATATAGCCTATATTTGTATATATTCATTATTCCATTGATTAATATCTAATATAGGGGCGACGGAATTTCCATAGCAGTTTTAAGAGCAAAGTGGTTGGTGCCTTTGTCCACGGCCAGGTGGTGACAGCAGGTGCTGACACCGTGCTGTGCAGTTGGAAGCCACCGCAGGACAGTTGATCAGTTGATCCCGTGATGTCGAAGGCGAAGATGTTTCATTTAGACTGCCCTGAAACCTGGAATTATCATGAATTACCATCTGGTTATTTAACATAGCCATAGAAAATCACCATTTTTAATAGGTAAACCATCTATAAATGGGTCATTTTCCATGGCTATGTTAAATAACCAGATGGTATCCGTATACCTGACTGGTTCGTGGAAGTGTCATCAGAAGGTGCCAAAGCTGGAATTTTCGATGTAGATTTTGAAGACATCTGTGACATGTTTGATGAGGATGATGAGGATGGGCTTCAAACATTGGCAGATTCAAAATGTGCCCATTCGCCTGTCGTCGCCCATCGAGGACAATGGTGGTGAGCCGGTGCTGCATTACGTCTTGGAGTATGCCCCGGAGCCGCTCTTCAACACCTGGCAGGACGTGGTCAAACACTGCGACCAGTGACCAACCAATGTGGCCAAACAGGCCAAGTGTCTCAGTGTCTATATGTGTCATACTTAAAAAACTCTGACTGCAACATGTTTGGACCCCACCATCTATCACCATCTATCACCATCGTTTTCCGCAGGAAGATGGGCCTTACCCGGACAATACCCAGCCGTTGCCTCAGTTGCCTCAGAGACGCCGGGACGCCGAAAAGAGCCTCAGCCTCTGTCACAAAGATCTTCCGAGGTTCACCAAGCAGATCTTCAATCTGAACCAGGGAACTGTGTGATCTCCCCAGCTGCTGTGATATCCCAGGGCTCCAAAAAAAGGGCGATGACCTGGGAAAGAGTGTGCCACTTTTCCCGATTAGAATGGCGATTTTGAATGATTTTGAGGTATACCCACCATTTCTGGACAATACCATACAAAACCCAAATGATCCAAATGCCATGATCAATTGTTGGTCCTACATCCCAATAAAATATCCCATGAGCTGCCACACAGACTGGTTTGCTTTCCCCCATTTTCCCATGTTTGAAATTGATGAAGTTGCCACAACTTGGGCGGGATGCTTCGATGGCAGGTACCAGTTCCGAATCAGGGCAGTCACCAATGCAGGAGGCGTGGGAGGGAACTTGGGGGATGCGGTTCCCTTGCAATGGTGACAGGGTGGGTAAATCTCTCACCAATCATTGAGCTGGATTGAGCTGGAAGTTGGACAGGTGGGACATCTGTGGATACCATGAAAAAAACCACATGATTTACCACATGATTTAATCTCCATGTTTTTTTTTTTGTGATTTCCCCAGTTGCGCACTGGTCCAGTTTCTCACTGTCCAGTGGTCCCATCTCAGGTGGCTCCTATTCCAACATCGTGTCCCAGGTGGTTGGCACCGCTGCAGCCTCAGACGACTTGAGGGGATAGGATTTGGGGGAGCGATTTTGTATAGCGCAAGTGGAATGACAAACAAAAATCAAAAATGGAAAACACACCATATATATATAATATATATATATAATATTATAAATGCCATTTAAGTTTGAAACTATAGATTTTACCAGGAAGTCGAATGCCTCCAGAGTTTTAAGAGTTGTTCTATTCATGTCCTGGTGCTGTGTCCAAAATCAAGACAGTGAAGTGAACAGTGACCAGTTGTCCCTAGTTGGTTGGTGGTTCTATGACTTTGCTTCGAAAGTAAAGACCTTTGGAGCAACATATTTTCTGCAGATTCAACAGCAACAACTCACACGTATTAACCATCCCATTTCTTTTTCTAAACAGGGGTATCGGTATCCATTTTTTTGACCAACCAGCCTGTGGGCCTTCAATTTTTGGGATCCCCAGATGACATCCTTGAGGCGCCCACCATGGCCCCTAGTGGCCTCACCCGTGCGTCTACGACCTCGGCTGGGGAGCCCTGGGGTTGACCATCGAGCTGATCATCATTTTTTGAAATGAAATTTGTTCAGGGTTTGGACCTCATTTTCAGACATACACTTGGAAACATTGGGGGATTGCTCGGTCCTGAATTTGAGCAGAGAACCCAAGGTTTTTGACATGCTTTAGATGGATTTTTTTAAGGGATCATGGCCGGAAAAATGAGGGTCTTTATGGGGAAGATATTCATCAGATCAATGATTACTCCGTGGGAGTTGGATACCCTCCGGTAAACTGTCCCATAACTATGGAGAATCACAATTTTTCATGGGAAAATCCACTATTTCTATGGTCATTTTCAATAGCTATTTTGACATAACCAGAGGGTAGTGATTTTCCCTATCCTGATGGCTTGGGGTCAGCAACTCAGGTATCTCTTACCTGGGCCTGGCTGCCACTGGGTGTGTCAGAGGCCACTGAACTGTTGATGTTCGGAGCGTTGTTTGTTGTTTTTGAAAAGGCCCTCCGGTAATTCAACAGAGCTATGGAAAATGGCACGTTTATAGATGATTTACCATGATTTAGTTATTTTGAATGATGATTTTCTATAGCAACCTTACATTACCAGAGGGGTAGCCCCAATTTCTTCAAACTGAATGAGCACATCCGACATCCATGTGTAAGATAGGCCAAACTTCGACTCTTCAGAAGATCTTGTTTGATTCCTCCGAAATTCTGGTCCCAAGTCCTGGTGACGACTTGGACTTCCCCGCAGACTGGTGGTGCTCCGCTGGGTGGCTATCGCCTTTACATGAACACTGGTCGCGATGTCGGGGGACCTCAACCACCCTGCCAACAACAAAACCGTCGGGATGGTGACCAGCCATCGAAATGGTGATTTTGGGGATGATTGGGTGTACCAAGGTTTACCACATCTGTTGGCACTGTTTTTCCGAGGCGAATTTTGTGGGGTCCACAGGTTAGGTGTCCATTTGGTCTGGGTTTCCAAGACGATTTAGCTATGGCAGCTATGAGCATGCCGGTTGTGTGCCTCCAAGGACGTGACAGCCTTGGTCTATGATGGCAGCGACAAGCCTTCAGTGGGAGACTCTGATGGGCCTTCGGTGGCAGAGATTTAAAAAAGCAAACTATTCATCCTACCGATGATGATATCGGTATAATTAGACATAATTACTTAGTATAATATAATGAGATGAGCATCTATTCGCTATAGATTTCGCAGATTCATATTCACATTTATATATATATATATGTATACTATATATATATATTATGGTATATATATTATGGTATATATATATACGGTATATATTTTATATATATTCATCAACCGTCATCAACCTATGTGTGCCATACTCACTGTTACAACTTGACCCCACCTGGGATGGTGATCCCAACACCAACATCTACCGCCCAAAAGGCCACGGAGTACACGGCCACATCGTTGGTGTGCGGGCGAATCTATAAGGCCCTTGGTGAACCAAGGGGGTGAATCTGAGCTAAGCAACGGATGCGGCAACAGTTTTCCATGGTTTTCCATGGTTTTCTGGGGATCTCTGGGGATCTCTGGGGATTCTGAGATATGGAGGTTTCCCAGGTCATCAAGTCAAGGATGTCATGGTATCCCCTCAAATCATCCGTTTTAGATGGGGATTTTCCATGATTTTCCATCAACTAAACCATCCAGCTATCGGGGTATCCCCATTGAACCAGACGTCACCAGGCCGAAGTGTCGGCGGTCACCAGCATCGGTGAAGGCGCCAGGGGCGAACCGTTTTTTTTGATGTTGGAGATGATCCATAGCTCATACCCTCCGGTAAACTAACATAACTATGGAAAATCACTATTTTTGATGGGAAAATCCACTATAAATGGCCATTTTCAATAACTATGTTAAATTACCAGAGGGTAATTTCCAGGTTAAACGAATTTCTATTCGATTCACACACACACACACATTTAACTGTTGAACTAGTCAAAGGTGGGAGGTTTTTGTCAAATTTTAAATGGACTCAAGCAAAAGTCATGGTATACTCCCCTCATCCTGTGAGTAGCAGTTGCTATGACTAGACCTTCAGCCTTCGCAGCGTGATCCATCAGGTCCCAAAAGTGCCATCGCAGCCTTCAAGCTGGCGCGCACACCCTCGCAGCCCGGGGAGCTCAGGGAACCTGAGATGAGCTGTAGGATGCTGTAGGAATCTCCTTGGGCTCAGCAAACATGTCCATCCGGATATTGGAAGCTTTTCCATACTTTTCCATGATAGAGTCATAGAGTTCTATGATTTGTATGATTTGTTTATATTTGTTTTGGGGCGGAAGGTTACCATCGATATTTTGCTATTTCTACAAGCGAGCTGCTTAGGCCCCGTTCAGCACGGGTGGTGGCAAGCAGCACTGGCTCCATTACGCTCGTTGGGGAGCTACAGTTGTGGTGATTCGTTGAAAAATATGAGAGGCCAGTTACAGCAGAACGAAATATGGTGCACCATATATGTGCTATTTTGGTGGTGAATCACTGGGTCGTTGTCTGAAAATGGTGTAGATGACATGGAGTTGAGATTAGGTCCATTGGGTTCCTTAATTACTCCAATTATTGGTTGGTTTTCCTATGTTTTCCTCATATTCACTGCTAGGTTATACTCTTTCGCAGCAGGAAGAAGCTCCCACAAACAGTGCTAAAATTCGGTGAGTTTGTTGATTTTGAGTCCCATTGGGTGTGGGGGTGCAGTAGTAGTGAATTCCCAAGCTTGGTACATAAAGACACGTTTGAGGGTAAAACTGAAGGTTTCTTGTAGATTTTGTGAAACAACTTGAATCTATTGATTCGAGGTGGCTCAAGCACCAACCAGCTAGCAGTAAACTAAGATAGATATGGACATTCCATGACATTCCACTATGAAAGTCGATCATTTCCAGGGGAAACCACCATGGATTTCTATGGCTACACCTCCATCCTTATCATTTCGGCAGCAAAGACCGACCTGGGGGGATCGGTGTCACCCCAAGGCATGGGATATTCCAGAGAGCACCGGATGTACCGAGCTGCAGTTGGGAAACTGAGATCCCGCTGGGATTTCTGGATTTCTGGGTGCTCCAGAGATGATGCTGATAAAATCCCGTGGCTGGCAAGGGCTGGTAGTTACATGTAGTTACTATAGTTAGTGTTTATTTCATTTTATTTCTTAGATTTGCTTTCAACCTATATTTCGGATGGCTTAAACAAATTTATGTACCACCCAATACAGGTGGTTGATAGCAAACACGAAACGCTTTGTGGGTCCATTGATACCCCTTTCTCAACCCATACCCACATCAACTTGCTGGTTATATCAAGTTATATCCCACTAACAATCGCTGGGTTGTAACCCCATTTTTTTGCTCGCAAGCAAACCAAGCAAACCAAGCAAACCCATTGTTTAACATGTACAGATGTTCAACACCCTACCATATATCGATATCTAACCATACATTTGCTTCCCTATCTAAACATACACTTCTTTCCCTATTAAAGAAGAAACAACATGGATAATCCCTCAAACTTGGATGGCTTATGATGGCTTATGATGGCTTGATATACGATCACCGGGACTGATCTTGGGGCACTCCCCACGTGAACCGGTCAACCCCCATGCCTGGCTTGTTTCAGACGGCATCGAATCCTGGCCATCGAGGTACTACCGCATCGAACGCGATGCTGGACAGGGCTTTGAAGCCATTGCCAATGTGACCACGCCTGTCCAGAGCTACACCGATGCAGACTCCTTGAGGTTGGAAATAATGCGAGATAATGCGATAGCGCTGTTCATTGGTTATGCTGTTGGGGTTTAAAGATGTTTGAAGGAAACAGTTTTTGATTCAACCAGATCTGAAGTTCACTGGGTTGTTTGGTTATAATCATGTTCAAACCCATAGACATCGGGATTAAACAAACAAAATGGAGACAGATCCGATGTTGCATCGCATCGTTTGATGGTGGATCTGACATTTGTTGCGATGCAAGGTAGATTTTCATTGTCCTTGCATAACTTGGTCGTATGTTTGCGTTATTTTTAAATCTGATCCCCAGAATTGTAGGGAATTTGAAACAGTAATCCCCAATCAATTTGGGGTTAATTTCACAATGCTTTCCCAGATTTGGTGGTAAAAAGTAAAAACCATTGTTTCAACCATAAATCATGATCTAACAAACCAATCCATTGAGAGATACTGCCAGCCCTTGTGCCAGTCCGGGACAAATGTACATCTACCGCATCGCTGCTCGCAACGATGCCCTCGAGTATTTTGGGCCTCACAGTTCTCATGCGGCTGCCTTAGAACTGGGAAGTTAAATCGCCAAGGGCACAGGGGATGATATAAACGATATAAGCTATTCATGATATTCATATTAGTAAAGCAATAGGATCCACCATCTCCAGTTTTACCATGTTCATGAGTGGTATAAGCCATCAAAACATGGGTGGTTTAAATTATGGCTTTACTAACACTACATTCTCGACCAAAGCAGATTTCCAACTGGCTGTGGCAGATGCCTCGAGGTGACAGCCTTCGCTGCCTCTTTGCCGGGCATCACGCGAAATTTGGGCTATGTGGCCTCAACCAGGCGGGTTTACAGGGTTTTCTCCCGACTTTTGGATGGTTGGATGGTGGTTGGGATGGTTGTTGTGGTTAAAAGGTGGGAATGTGGCAAACTCGATCACCGCCCCAGACGGCTTACCCTCTGGTAAACTAACATACCCATGGAAAATCACCATTTTTAATGGGAAAATCCACTATAAATGGCCATTTTCAATAGCTTTTTGTATGTTTACCAGAGGGTATCGCTGTGTTTGCCACCCGAATTTTGGCGAGTCAAGCCTTTCCAGGACCTCCATCACGCTGATGTGGGAACCTCCAGCTGATTCAGGAGGAGTCAGGAGCTCAACCTTAGTGGACCATGGATTTTTTTTTGGGGTGAACTGGTGTACATCCATAAATCCCTGAAAAACCTAAGACTAAGACTATCCCCGCAAAGCAATGATAGGGGAATTTACACAGAATATTTGGGACTGGGATGTTTATGAATTATGAATTGGATGGGATTGAGATGGATTGGGCAAGGGGATATTAAACTATGATATAACTAACAGATGACACAGCTATAGCAGCTGACCATCCATCGGTGCTGCCAAGGCCTTGGTGGATTTCTACCGCGTTCAAGCGGACGATGGCTTGGGAGGAGCTTTCCAAGATGTGGCCGTGGTGGCGGGCACCTACACCACCGTGGAGTGCGGATCCCCTGTGGGAAATCATCCAAGGTTTACTGGGAAAGCCATTTACTATAGATGGGGGGAGATTGAATTGCCATCTTTACCAGAGGGTAACAGTAAAAACCATGGTCGGTTTGGTAGCTTTCTCTGAAGATGTAGGGGAAAAACAACGAACCCAACGTGGTCATTTTCATGGGGGAACCACGATCCACGGATGTTTTTTTTCGGCCCCCGGGCCCCCGGGCCCCCTGAGGTACCTGACCATGGGCCGACCCTATCGCTTCCGGGTGGCAGCAGAGACGGTGGTGGGCACCGGGCCGTACACGTCGGTCTTCCAACAGGCGAGACGGTGGGGTTACCGACACGAACCATTTGACGGAGATATTTGTATGGGGATATAGTGATATTAAGTGGGGATGTAGTGGGAATATTTGATGGACATATGATTATATATATAATCAATTATAAATATGAATATATAGATATGAATAGATCTATTTGAAGTTTGCAACTATAACTGACAAGGCTTCATCTTACGGAGGTTCGGTTTTTTTGTTTCCTCTTTCCAAGTGACCAGAAGGGGATCACATCGGATGAAGCTCCCATGGTTTTTTTTCGCTCCAGAGGTGGTAGCGGCAGTACCTGGAAATCCTCAAACTCCCTTGGTGGAAGCCTCATTTCGCCATAGATCCTGAAGTTGGAAGGCTTTCTGTGGTAAAAGAAGTATAGGATAGTACAAAAAGTATACAGACAATGGCGATTTGGGGATGGTTTCTGCAGTTTGGTTTTCCAACCATTCATGATATTCACGGCATTTCACGGCCGTTTTGGGGATTTGGGGAGAGTTTCCCTCGATTGAATTTTTGGGACAGTTGAAAGACCTCACATATATCACAGGCATAGGATTTTTCAACTGCAGCCAGACATCCGCCAGCCGAAACTAAGGTGGAAACGGTAGCTGGATACACGGAGTGCCGGGATGTGATGCGGTGTTCGATGATCTTCCCAGCTACAAACCTTCATTTGGTTCGGGGATTTTCCCTCTAGACACCTTTGATGACACCAGAGGGTATCAAAAAAATATACCCATATCTTTTGAATTCTTTCGCTGGTTGAAACCTCTATTCAGTAGATTATTTTCCCAACAAGAAAGCCGTAGAACACATTGGATCGCTTGAAACGAACTGGGACTCTCCCTTTTTCTGCCTATGGCATGGTTTTTCAGTAGGAAATTATCTCTACAGGGTGGTGGCGGAAATTTAAGTTATAAGTTGGTGTATAATCCCCCTAAACTATAGAATACTATAGATATATCCACCATAAACCACAGTTAACCTGGATATAAACCAACTAATCTATCTAAATCCCATCGAAATCCCAGCAAACTACCATTAAATCACCATGAACTCCTGAGAAATCCCATTGGGTGACGCAGGCTGTCACTATCCCCAGGACCGTGTGAAAGTGACCTGGAACGAACCCCTGGACAACGGAGGATCCTTGACGCCCCGGGGCCCAGATGGAATGCTGAGGAAGTATTGAAGCCACCCAAAAATCGAATAAAGACCTAAGAATCAAGAGTTCCATGAAACACATCCCAAAAAAATCACCATGATCCAGCCCAAATCCAGAATTTCCCAGAATTTCTGTGACTTTCCAGCCCGCCCTGCGGCTGACGGCCCAGGTTGGGGTACAAGGTGACCTTCGATGGCTTGTGTGACCGCTACGACGGCACCAGCGTGTCGGCCTTGACCTCGATACAGATCATCTGCAGCACGGGGCAGTGGGGGTCCCAAGGATCCTGGATGGTGGGAACATTTCTTCGAAAATGGTGGGAACGTTTATTCTAGATTTAGGATGATTTAGGATGATTTAAGCATCTAAAAACATGGGGTTCTAAGTATCAAAACATGGGGAAAATCAATGATAAATAATATCATATATCAAACCTGGCTGGGAATTCCCGAACGAAGTTGGCATGGAAGTAGGAACATCATCGAAGTATTCCGGAGGGTAATTTGAACTCGGGAGGGGATGATTGGAATATATCCTAGGAATGATTATGATTAAAGGATTATGAATTGTGATTGTGATTGATATATCAAGGGAACTAAATCTCATCACGAATGAAAAATGGTGGCCTCACCATGAAAGATGGAGATTTTTCTCGGTTTTACCATCAAGCATGATCAACGTCGGAGGTTTTGCGATCAAACCTGGTGGTTTCACATGGTTTAATCATCCTGAAAAGGGGACATGTAGCCAGTATACTATTTAGATCTATTTAGTAACTCCCATATCGACCCCCCAAATGAATAGATCAGATACTGAATCAGGTTTCTAGGAAGGATTAATTTTGGAATGATGGGGATGGGGTGGAGAATCGTGGCGAGTTTGATCTTGGAAATTGGAAGCGTCATTTTCAAGGGGGGGTTGGGTTGAAATGGGATGGGATAGGTATAGTAATTATTCTCCCAACGATTTTTTTTTGGGGGATTGATGGCCATGCCAGGCATCACCTGATTACTGTGTCAGCCCGGAACATCGTGGGCCCGGCGCCCCTGATGAACAGCTCACTATCATCGTTTCGAGTCTTCAACCATCAAGGTGGGTAGGTGTATGCTGGTTTGTCATAAAATGTGCCAGTAATCACCAGCAAACATCTCTACACATATAAATCATATTATATATACATATGATAATACATATATATATATTATACATACTATAAATATAATACCATAATTATATCCCATTATTATATCCCCATGAAAATCCCCATGATATCCCTGAGGCTGGGGTGGTCCGAGCCCCTCCGTGTCGCGTGTCTGTGGCGCGGAACCTTCCGTCCGAGACTCAGGGCGCTGAAGCAATTGGTGACTTTTGGCAACCCCCAAAAAGGATAGAAAAGGGCCATCCAATCCTAAAATTGTGTGAATTCACTTTTATATAGTTTTTTTTGGGGGGCGGGCCGGGCTAGTATATGTACATATAATTACATATGTATATATATATACATATATGTCAAATGTATATGATGTCTCCATACATTGGTCCTTGTTTTTGAACCCAATGCACAAACCAGCGAGGCACCCGTAGATCTGCGGCTCCAGATGAACACGCCGCTGACGTGGGGTTTCCCGGAGGGGGGTAACCAAGGGATCTCGGTCGCTGGATGGCCCCCATCAGTGGATTGAAGGGAACGTCTTGAGCAGAAACCATGGATTTTCCCATATTACCGTCTGGTAAACAAAAAAAAACTATGGACAATCACCATTTTCCTTGGGTAAATCCACTATCAATGCGCCATTTTCAATAGCTATGTTAAATTACCAGAGGGCAATATGGGGGGGGGTAATTACTGTCAATTTTCTTTTCAATCCACTGATCAAATGGTTTGGATTCGTCGGAATCTCTGTTGCTCTAGAGTTGAAGTCGACGTCCCCAGTTTCGCTGCTGGTTAGTTCAGGAAACCTCCGAGAACCAAGCCTGGCAATTGAAAATTCCTCATTTGTAGAGGATTCTCCTTTGTTCTTTCTCGTGAAATATAGGGGATTTCCAGTACCTGTATCGGTTACCAGAGGGTATATATATATATGTAGCATTTCAGCATGAAATGCAGAACAATAGGAATGCAGTTGAAATGGGAGGTGGGTGGGACCACTGCAGTTGATGGGCCCAAATGACCATCTCAGTGGGATTTCAGCCCCCCTGTGTATGTGAGAGCGCGAGTTGCCATGTCCCTTTTTGGCCGTTGGAGTGACCTCACACAGTTCCAGACGGTCACCGATGTCCGCACTCACTTTGGGGTAACTGATGCTCATTGGGCCGCCTTCACTCGGACAGTGGGTGATTTTCGTGATGATCTACGTGTTTTAGCTGCTTTTCCCCGAACGGGGTTGTTGGCAGGGGTTTCACAGTCACAGTTTCAGGACGGTGCAGGGCTCACTCCGGTTCAGGCAACTCAGATTGGACTGGTGTGGCGCTTGGCACGTCGAGTAGCAGCACATGGTAGCGGCTTGGACGAGACAGAATTCCAGGACATAGACCCATGGCAGGAGAATAACACTCCTACTGCGGCGAGACAAAGTCCCCCACCTTCCAGCGTCAAGGAGAAGGTTCTCAAAATGTCGACATTGATCGACCAGAGCGACGAATCTGAACTCCTCCCTCCAGGGTCAACAGAGATTAATACGTGGCTCCAAAACTACCACGCGGTGATGGGGGCGATGCCTGAAGAAGCAGAAGAACCTAGTCCAAATCAACTTGCTGCACTTTCTAAGAGGGTCCATCGAGATGACGCTCCACCTTACGTTGATTTTGCGGTCTTTGGGCCGTATGAAAGGAAGTTAACAAAGGTTCAGAAGTGCCGCATCTACACACCACTGGGTGATGGCACTTATCTCCAAAGAGATTTGCCTGGCCCCCCAACTTACCAAGGTTGGGTTGCAGCTTGGCGGGTGTTGAAGACCGCGTTGATCATGCTGAACGTGGCCTCCTTAGCGTCCCTCGAGATCTACGGCAAGCACATCGAGAAGATGGTGACCCAATGGCCGTCAGCTTGGGGTTTGATTTACAGTGCTGAGGACTCAGCAAGGGCAGAAAGGATGGCAAAGTTGAGACGCTACTTCACAGTCGAGGCGGGGTTGGGTCGTCAAGTTCCTAGAGATTGGGACCCGAGATCGCCTTGGAGCTGTCTTTTCATACAGTTGGCCAAAGACGACACGTACTGGGCGGAAAAGGTCCACATCCCTGCAGCAGCTTGGGTTGCAGCAGGTGCCAAAGGTCAACCTGTGGTCGCAACCGAGGCAGCAGTGAAAGCACACGTGCCGGGACTTCAAGATACAGTTCCACCCGAGCATGATTCACCAGATTCCAGGAAACGGCAAGCAAACAGAGACAGGAAACAAGCGAGGAAGAGAAGACTTCATTCAGACATGGAGGAACTTCGAAAGTTTCGTCAGACAGGTTCACATCACCAAGGTCAAAGCAGTGGATCCGGAGGCAAAGCTTCAGGAGGCAAAGGAAAGTCCAAGTCAAAGGACCAGGCTGGAACGCCCTTGTGCTTTTCGTGGGCATCAGGATCTGGGGTTTGTGGTGACCTTCCACCTGGTGCTGACTGCAAGGGCCCGGTGAAGAGAGCCCATAAATGTAGGAAGTGCCTTTCACCAGCACACAAAGATGCTGACTGCCCCAAAGCGTGAATCGAACGCACCGACTTGAACTTCGTCACTGGTGAAACTTTGGTTGAAAAGGACGGGAGGACAGTCGTGTCGGTCTGCCGTTTTCTTTTGCTGTTTGTTTTACTTGTGACTTGTTTTGGTAGGTTCAACTTGTGCGCATGTGATTCAACTTGTTTTCAACCCGTCATTTTTTCAAACACATCAAACTTGGATTGAACCAAATTTCATGGGACCGTTTTCAGTCATGGCTGAGTCAACAGGGCCGGAGCTAGAAGCCAGCCCTCCTTCGGTGGACTTTGGGGGTGGCAGCGATGAGTCGCCCCCCCCTGCCGAGGGATCGACCGTAGTGGAATCGAGCCATGCCGGTCCTGTGGATAGGGAGGCAACTTTCCAAGAGGGCGTGATGCGGCCTATGAGAGTCCACAGTGCCCTGAAAAATTCGAAGACCTTTGAGGAGTTCCGGAGAAATAGACCATTCAAGTTCCTCCACTTGTACTCCGGTCCCAACGATCCTCTGGGTGAAGCTATCAAGGTGGAAGCAGCCAGGAACAGATTGGAAGTGGTCGTGCTGAGCCTGGACAACAAGTTGGACCCCACCTTAGATTTGTCCAGACCCGCGAGTCATCAAACGATGATGCAAGATGTCGGCAGGGGAGAGTGGGACTACATCCATTCAGGTTTTCCCTGCGGCAGCTTCAGCATGGCGCGTCACCATCAAGTTGCTGGGCAACCTGGTCCGATTAGGGATAAATCCCATATCTATGGGCTGCCAACCAATGACGAGAGACAGCAAGCCGAGGCTGACCGTGGCACTAGGATGGCAGTGCAATCGGCAGAAGTTTATGAAAAGCAGATCAGAGCGTGTGAGGCGCGTAAAGTTCCCCCTCTGGCAACTTTGGAAAACCCCCCAGGAAGTGAAGAGTCGGGGGGCGCTTGGGATCTGCCTGAACTGCAACAGAAGTTGGAAGCCACTGGTGGATCCAAGGTGCCTTACAACACGTGCGCCTACATGACCAAGGAAAAGGCACGGTTCAAAAAACCTGGCATTTGGGCTGGGCGCTTGGAAAACATCAGAAAGCTTTCGAAGGTTTGCAAGTGTCCAAATTGGGTGACACACATTGCACTGGTTGGCAAGCATTTGACAGCCAGCGCGGCACAGTACCCGGCGGCCTTGGCCGAGGCAGTGGCGGTCGAAGTGGTGGGAGTGTGGAAGAAAACTCTCAACTTGGAATGGTGGCGATTCAAACTGGAGACAAAATCGCAGGAGGTGAATGAACTCCAGAAGGCATGGTTGGAAAACGAGGACAAGAACAAGGGCGAGACTGAACGAGCCCCGGCGTCCAAACGAGCAGCATCGATGGCCTTCAAGATAGACAACATCGAAAGTGATGATTTGCCGTCGGGGTCAAAGGGAACTCCATTGAAGAAGATCAAGGAGGATCACAACTTGATCGCAGTGGGGGGAATGAGAAACCCAGCTAGGAGTGTCCGAAGACTCACACAGCTTGCGGACGTGGGCAGGAGAATCGCTTTCTTGTGGGAGGAGTTCATGGAATCACACCCATCAGCAGTCCAGGTGGCCGCAAACTACGGCAAGCCCGACAACTCCTTCGATCATGAACTGGTACAGCTGTGGCGCGAAGCACTCAAAGACCACCTGGCGGAGATCGTCGACAAGCCGATCGTGGTGAAAGAGAATTGGGAATTGTGGCAGGCGTGGGGAGCCGATGCGGGAGACCCTGACATATGTCTGCCAGACTTCATCAGGCGGGGAGTGCCTCTTGGGATGGAAGTTCCAATTCCGCCAAGTGGAGTTTTCCCGGCAACAGTGGACCAGGAGGATGTGAACACCGATCCAGCTGGGGAGTTCGAAGCCCTCAAGTTCCAGCGCAACTACCAGTCGGTAAGGGACCAAACAACAGAAGCTACGATCGAGATTGACCGCTATGTCAAAAATGGTTTTGCAAAGCGGGTAACTTGGGACTGGGTGAAACAGACCTTGGGAACCACCGGCACCGTGTCCAAAATGGCCCTCATCCTGAAGGAGAAGGAAGACGGATCAGTCAAGAGGAGAATCATCTTGGACATGAGGAGGAGTTTTGGCAATTCACGGTCAAAGGTCGACGAGAGAATCGTATTGCCAAGACTCTCTGATGTCGTGACAATGCTCCAGGACATTTGGAGGAGACGAGGCGGATCGAAAGCCAAACGCAGAGACACAAACACTGATGATTTTGAATTTTACCTCATCGATCTCAGCGATGCCTTTTGCCATTTTGGCGTACTGAAAAGTGAACTACGACATTGCGTTACACCAGACGAGCACGATCAAGACGCCCTGGTTTGGTGTGCAATGCTTTTCGGATACCGGGCGGCACCGCTCCTCATGGGTAGGTTGTCATCGGCCTTGGGCAGACTTTTACAGTCCTTGGTGTGTCCCGAGATGACGCAGTTGCAAGTCTATGTGGACGACATCCTTGTTGCAGCGCTGGGAGACAGAGTTGCCCGGGAAGCTCAACTGGCAATGCTGCTTTACACGGCAGCAGCCTTCGGAGTGCAGATCAGCTTGAAGAAAGGTGAAAGGGGAAGAAGAGTCACTTGGATTGGTTGCACCATAGAGGTCCCAGTGGTAGAGATGGAAGAGCCGGAGGTAGTGGTCCTGGGCATCTCAAAGCACATGATAGAACAGGTGGTCACAACTTTGAGATCCTGGACAACCGGTGGCATGGGATCCTTGAAGGAACTCAGATCGACGACAGGACGTTTGTCATGGGTAGGAGGTGTTTTACCTCGCTTGAGGTGGACGGTAAATGTTCTCTATGCCACCTTGAAGGAGGTTGAGAAGGACCAAGAGGATGGCACTGAGGATCGAAGGGCCCAGATGAGACAAGACTCCCGGAGTAAGAGGGGCCTGTTTCCGATCAAGAGATTGGGAGGAGTGCACCTCTGGCTTCTGAAGCTGTTCGAGAACCCGGTGGAGCACCTCATTCGGGTGGAGCGCATGAGACGACCACCAATCACCATGGGCATCATCACTGACGCCTCCCCCAAAGGCTGGGGAGCAATCTTGGTGAAGGTGCAAGATGGTGCTGAGAGAACGCTGCTACCGATTGCAGCCGTGGAAGGTTTGATTAACCAACAGGAGGCAGAGTTGCTCGAGGTGGAATGGGGTGAATCGTCATCCCAGGCAGTTGTCGAAGCCTATGCCATTTTGAGGGCATTGGAGCTCTGGGCCGACAAGCCGAAGATGAGGGCTATCATCATTCGAGCAGACTCATCGGTGGCCCTGGCGATGATGAAGAAGTTGGCTTCATCGCACAAGTCCCTGAACTTCATAGCCGCGGAGATTGCATTGCGGCTTGAAAAATATGAAGTTCAAAGGCTGGCCCTTCACCATCTGAGGGGCTCCTGGAACGTGGAGGCCGACTGGTTGTCCCGGATCACGGAGAGAGGAGACAAACCTCGTCCAAAAGGGACTTGAGGGAGTCCATCTTCGGAGGGCAGCCCCGTGGTCGGCCTCCAAATTCTGGCTGCACGCTCCAGGCGACGCAGCTGGTGGTGAAGAGAAGTTCACCCCCCAGGACAACATTTTCGAGCACCTTGCCGTCCGGTAAAAATTGTCGGACGTTTTTCTCTTCAATCAGTTGTCAAGGTGCTGTTGTGTTGTCCTTTTCTGCTTCTCTTCCCTCGGTTTCGGGTTTTCATGCGACGTCCTGTTGGGGGAGGTTTGGACTTAAAGCTTTCTTTCAATGTGATTGGTTTGCAAAGTTTGGGGTTAGGACCGCAAGGAACAACCTGATGTCCAGAACCATGGAGGTTCAAGCTCAGGATCCCGCCTGGGTCGAGCCCCTCGATTCTGGGGCAGACGTTCTGCAATGGATCCTTCAGATATGGGTATGTTCCCTGGTCCTAGCGTTCCTGGCGGGCATTCAGTGCTGGCGGCAATGCTGTTCGCGGCTGCGCCAGATGAAGCTGGATTGTGGCGAACGGACTCAAATGATGGACTGGGGGCCAGGGGATCAGGAGGAGATCGAGCCCTTGAGTTTCTCGAGCCCTTCCCCCTCAAGAGTGAGAACAAGAACCAGCCCCTCGATGTCAAGCAGCAGACAGAGTCAATCTTCGTCAAAGCGTTCCAGCAGGAGCTCAAAGCAAAAGAAGCCATCGAACAAGCAACCGCGAGGCCAAGCTCCACTAGAAACACCAGCAAGAATCAGGGGACGAGTCAGCGTGGCAGAAAGAGGAAGAATCGTGTTAGAGGCGATGGGAAGCGGGGCAAAGACACCACTCCTCAGTCCACTGGCGCGAAACAGTCCTTGAGAGACATCGTCCTGCTGGCTGGAAACCCAAAGTGGATCGAGGGTGCAAAGAGGAGACTAAAGGAGAGGCTATACGCCGCCTCCACCATGGCGACCAAAGAATCAAAACGGAGAAAGATCATGGAGATCATGCAGAACTGCGAGATAAAGATCCAGGGCAATGGCCTATCAGTGGAGGAACTGGTGACAATAGCTGCAGTGTTGGGGGAGTCCAACATCAGGAGCGCTGACCAGTACCTGAGCGAGGTGAAACTACTCCAGTTGGAAGCAGGCATTTCTTGGTCTGACGTGATGGAAAGACAAATGGCAATGGTGAAACGGGCCCTCAAGAGGGACGTGGGACCGGAAAACCGCGCCAAAGAATGCGACCCTGCAACCATCAGTCAGGACATGTGGGAAGCCCAGACTGGTGATGGAGGCAGACCAAGAAGAGTTGCCTGGTCTTATGCGTGGGCGGTCGTGTGGATGCTGAGGTCTATCGAACTGGCTGCCATGAGACTGGGAGACGTCCACATGGAGTTCAAGAAGAAAACGGTTACCCTTTTGATCAGAAAATCCAAGACTGATCAGAAGGCTTTGGGCGTGAAAAGAACGTTGGTGTGCTGCGGACTCCCCAAGTGCATCAGGCTATGTCCGTGGAACTTGGCACTTAGGGTGCTGGCAGACCATTACGGCATCGACGAGCACGCGCCATTGTTCCCAGACAAAGATGGGAAGTTGGTACCCAAGATAAAAATCATCAAGGCCTGGATGGAACACATCGACCCTGAGATCACGGGCCACTCTGGCCGTCGAAGCGGAGCCATGTGGTATGCACGCAGAGGCTTACCTGTCCACGAGATAGGCTTGTTGGGGAGGTGGAAATCCTCCGCCGTGTTTCGATATATCGAGGAAGCGCTCCAGGAGATACCTTTAAACGCGGGTGCACACAAAGTGGAATCCCTGGAAGGTACCTGGGCTGCACCTTCCACTCCTGCGTCAACGCCCCCGATCGAGGTGGACAAAGATAGGACAGCTCCAGTTCCAAGCACACCCAATACAAAAGCCGTCAGCGTCAAACCTCCTGGACCAGATCAGTGCTGGGCAGTTTCAAGTGGCAGGAACGGACGGGTGTCTCACCGCATCCGCAAGGCGTCCTGGAACGTCAGCCTGGCAGCTTGGGACACTTGGTGTGGTTGGCATTTTGCCGAGAGAAACGTGAAAGTTATGATCACGCCCAAGTATCTGCCAGGAACAAACAGATGCAAAAAGTGTGAGGCAGCTCACCAGTCGCGCGACAAAGTCACTGGAGGTGTTAGCTTGGCACAACTGGTGTCGTTGAAAGATGATGCAGCCAGCAAACAAGGTTGCAAATGACACATTTGGCAACCAGTACAGGCTGGCTGCAAAATCGATGAAACAGGCTGCTGTGGCAGCATCCACCACCATGCAAAAAAGGAGCCTCGCGCTACTGTTCCAGGTGGGTGGGTGGGACTGCCAAAACCTGCATGACGTAATTGTTGTAGCATTTCAGCATGAAATGCAGAACAATAGGAATGCAGTTGAAATGGGAGGTGGGTGGGACCACTGCAGTTGATGGGCCCAAATGACCATCTCAGTGGGATTTCAGCCCCTCCCTCCCACCTCTGGCTGAAATCACCGAGGAGGGAGTACCATAGAGGTGTTAGCTTGGCACAACTGGTGTCGTTGAAAGATGATGCAGCCAGCAAACAAGGTTGCAAATGACACATTTGGCAACCAGTACAGGCTGGCTGCAAAATCGATGAAACAGGCTGCTGTGGCAGCATCCACCACCATGCAAAAAAGGAGCCTCGCGCTACTGTTCCAGGTGGGTGGGTGGGACTGCCAAAACCTGCATGACGTAATTGTTGTATATATATATATTATACGTATTATCCTCCGTGCTTGATGTAGTGTTTGCAATGTTCGAAAGTTCAAACATCAAGACATACTGTAACAACTTTTGAATATTTATGGCTGACATCCCTGGGTTTTTGCATGTTTTTGCTGCGTTCCACAGGCCCTTGGATATGGTGGACCAACGGACTCCCAGCTCAATGACCTTGACCTGGGACGTAACTCGGATGAAGAGCTGGGCTGTTTTTTTTAAGCATTTGAATGTGGTAAAGCCAATTTGGAGGATATCTACATGGGATATCTTTAAGGATATGTTTGGGATATCTATGGGATATTTATGGGATATCTATGTAGGAGATGTTTAAGGATATTTTGGGGATGTTTATAGGAAACACATGGGATATTTGGGGGATAATTGTGATAGATCAACCTCAATTTTACAATAAATGGGCATCCATCCCGGAATGAAAGGTTCATAATTTGTTTTCCATATTAATGAATGGGAAATCCCGACGTTTGATGGGAACATCATGTGCAATTTGATTTCGAACAGGAACATCATCTGTATCAATCTGAAGTTCTTCATTGTCAGGTTGATCCAGAGGATAGTCACCAGAAAAAAACCTACGTTCTGGGGATGTTTTGCTGGAAAATACTTACTGGTGCTTAGTAGGGAATGGATGGGAATGGGGGAATGGGATGATTATTGATAGTTATTGTGGATCATTCCCGAAAATTCCCTGCTAAGCACCAGTAAGAATACGGACAGGTTTTCGGCATTCACCAACAATCAATGATGGAAGCAACTCACTGGGTCACCTCTCTGGCCTCCCACGAGGTACCCACGGTGGATGGCGGAGCCGCTGTGAAGTCGTATCAACTCTACCGAGATGTTTGGAACTCGGAACAGGTGGAACAGGTGGAAGAGGTGATTTCTCAGTTGCAGCATCTATTCAACTTCATGAAGTGCTTATTTGGGAAGGGTAACATCAATGTGTTTTTTTCGCGAAACTGCGATTGGTTGTGATTGCTTATCCACTGTTTGAGAGAGAGATCCATCTAATGGAAAATGCAAGTTCTAGGCGAGTTTAGTGCAAGAAGGAGGGTTTTTGAGAACGCACTTAGTGCGTTCTCACAAGCAAATCATCGGTCGATTGGCTGGTCATCCCATGATAAGTCCCAGGGGATCCCCTTGCAACCCAGACCTAATCTGAAAATCCATCATTTGTAGATGACGTGCCTCCACAATCCATCACTTTTCCAATGGCGAAAACCTATGGGCCATTCATATTTGGGCAGCATCAACAGCATCAGCATCCATAAATCCCAGCGATTTTGTGCTGAACCTATGGGGTTCCATGGAGGTTCACCCCCTTTCCACCAGGCGGGAGATGCCTCTGGTATTTATACCTTGACCTATGTTGCGAGCTGAGCTCAAGGTTCAGGGTACTGAAGAACTTCTGGTTGATTTTGGATGACTTAAAACTTTTGATGCCCAGTCAGTCTGATCGGGCCACTAACAGAACCAGGTGGGAACGCAGAGAAGTGCCACCATTGGGTCATTGACCAATGGACGCACATATCGCTTCTATGCAGTGGCTGTGAATGATGTCCGAAGACCCAGCGGATGAACTGAGCTGAAGCCAACTGCAGGTGAATGCGCCCAGCTACAGCCACTACCCCAAAATGAAGATCCTCGGGCGGGTCCAAAACCTGCTCTTTTCTTGCTGGCCATCTCCATTTTCCCATTAAAACGCCATAAGCAATGCAATTTTGGGAGATGACAAGCATAAAAAGGTTCAAAAACAGATTCTATGAACATCTATGAACTATGATGATGTTAATTTCGAGATTCATGAACATCATATACATCATCATTTTCCTCAAAAAAAAATGGCTGCCTTTTCCCGGGTCGAAGTCCCACTTGTCCGGCGAGCCCGGCGAGCCCGGCGACCCAGCTTGCCGAGGTGGGCGCGGGCGAGCGCACCAGCGTCTTTGCGGCTGAGATGCGATGCACTCCGAGAACCCTGGTGGCTTCACCCTACAAGGTGGACATCCAGTGGGATGGTGGGAGAAATGGGTTTTTTTAGCTGGGAACATCATCGAAAATGGAGGTGCTGATGGGAAAATCATCGAAGTATGATCAGTTAAATTATTGTCCATATTTTTTTTTTGTGTGGTTAAACACATTGATAAATCAGGATAAGTTGTAATTAATCATTCGGCAACCTGAAAGGTTTGGTCATTTTGGGATAGAACAAATCCATTCCTCTTCCCATCATTACAGGGACGTCGCAGGGGTCGGTATTTTTTTCATCCAAATAAATGCTGGATTCTCTGTATCTCACTCACAACGGTGGCTAGCCCATTATATCCAATTGTATCTCATCATATTCCCATCACTCTTTGCTTATTATTTAACGTAATTAGCTCTGGAAAGTAGCCCATGTATAGATGATTTGCGTTTTACCTATTAAACATGGAGATATTAATCACTAGTAATCTTACAACTGATTCGATCATAGATTCATCACTAGTAATTCATGAGAAATCATCGAAATGGGCCATGTTCCATAGAGTGTTTACTCTAGAAACATTCTAGAAACTCACACTTAGAGGGTATATTCCCACATTTAGTTCAATGATGTTCCCATATTTTCCCAGCTATAACCTCCATTTAGTTTGCTGATTTTCCCATCAACACCTCCATTTATAGATGATTTTCCCAGCTAAAACCCTCCTTGTCTTGGGAGATTTTCCATCTTTGACTCGGCCAGGTCTCTGGAAGTCCCTGGTCCATTTCTCTGGCCTGGCCTGAGACAGCCGACAACTGTGGTCGAGCTGTGTTGGGGCGACCTGGGGCGACCTGGGGGTCTTTTGCTGGGTTTTTTGGGGAGAGATATTTGGGGGAAGTAAGTTTTGAGATCATGTTTTTGGATGTTTTTGGATACCTCCTTGCTAACAGTCAGACTCCATCTTGCCACTGAGGTCGGGATACCGCGTGTACCGTGACAGCTATCTGATCTATCCACTCTCCAACGGCTTTGTTGGAACACCAACGGTGGTTGGAATGTTAGGCCAGGCAATGTCCAAGTGTTCTTTCTTTCGATTTTTTGGGATAGCGTCATATTTTTTCTGGTAGATCAACTATAAAATCTATAAATGATTATAAATGGATCATTTATAACATCTATAATTAAATGGATTATAAATGGATCATTTTCCATAACATATTCAGCAGCTTTTTTTTTCGATGACCTTCCCAGGAACCGATCAAGTCACGGTGGAGTTGACGGCTCAGAGTTCAGGATCCACCTGGGTTCGGGGCCTCGTTTGGGAAGTTTCCGGTGGATGGGTCGTTTTCGGTGGATCTTTATGGGGGGAAACCACAGGTTGCAGGACTTTGGCTCAGGATGGAAAAAAATCATCACCTAAAACAAGTCATGACTCCAACTGCTTGAAAAAAATGGGGGAAATTTGGGGATCTATCCTCTGGTAAACTCGCACTCACACAGCTATGAAAAATGATCCATTTATAATCATTTATAGATTTTATAGCTATGATATAAATGGATCATTTATAATCATTTATAATCATTTATAGTTGATCCTACCACAAAAAATGGTCATTTTCCATAGCTATGTGGCTATATGTGGCTATAATCTGACCAATGTCCCGAGCCGTTGAAAAGGCCATGATCGTGCCTGATGATGTGGGCAGCCCAGCAACGCCGCACCAGTTAAGATCCAATTTCTAACGGGGAAAATGATGGTACTCATTGATACTTCGATATTATGATATGATATATATATATAATATATATGTATATGTACTTGATATAATCCATGGGATTTTTTGGCCTCCTCATTTTTTTCAGACAAACCCTTCACCCATCTGTTTCGCATGACATCCCAAAGTCCAAACCCTCCACCAATTGATGTCCCAACCCGATGGTTGTTTCTGTTTCGCCAAAGTTTCGGGACCCGATTTTCAGACACACCCAATATGGATAGAAAATTCTGGATTGAAGTTGATCTGGTCAAGTGCTCAGATTAGAGTTGATCTAGTGAATTGCTCACTGAAGGGCCACTGAAGATCGGGTGAGTTTTGCATGTTCTTTTCACTTTCTTCATGTTTTGCTGACTTCAAGTTGATTTTCATCTTCCATCCATCTTCCATCCATCTTCCATCTATCTTCCATCTATCTTCCATCTTCTATCTTTTTTTTTGGCTCCAAAAAGGCTCGGCAGAGCCTTTATGACCTTGCCATGAACGTTGACCACGGGCACGCGGGACGATGCCCCTGTGGCTGCACCCTCTGCACGGCGAACAGAGCCCGGGGCGGCCCAGTGCTCTGAAACTCAGCGGTGATGAGCGAAACTTGGAATCTGAATATGGTTACCCTCTGGTTATGTCAAAATAGCTATTGAAAATGACCATTTATAGTGGATTTTCCCATTAATAGCATGGTGATTTTCCATAGTTATGGGACAGTTTACCAGAGGGTATTTAATCTTTTTAAAGGGGATTTCTATATACGGATCTCTTAAATAAACATTATTTATTATTTGTTAACCATAGCGTGGATTTTTATGATAGGGATCATTTGATGGGGAATTCCTATATATGGACCTTTATTTTTATTTTTGCTGGATTCTCTTTTTTTTTGGGTTTCTCTACTAATCTTTTTGGATGCCCAAGTCACATAGGCGTCACTACTAAGTCATGGTGATGTTCTTGGATGATTTGGGACCGCATGGATGGGAAACCCTAAAATCTAATATAATTATTATCACTTTCCATATGAACATAGCCATTTGTTTTTTGTTTTCGCCGATTTTCAGACACACCCATATCTCACCCATAATGGTGGCTAGCCCATTACATCATATCCCATTTCCCATTAACCTTGGTTATTTAACCATTTTGAGATAGCTATAGAAAATTGCCACTTTGTTTCGAGGATTTATGATGATTTACCTATTAAGACTGGTGAATTTTCATAGCTCATATATCGTTTTTTTTTCTTCCCTTTGGGGGGGAGATTAGTTGATTTTATGCACTCCTTATTATATATTACATATATATATATATATATATATCGGGGGATTAGTGTTTTTTTTTTTGTTGGGGGGTGGTTTAGCAATTTCACCAATCAACACGGGGATTTAATGGGATATTTTCATGGTGAACACTGGCATATATATGGCATGTTATTAGTCATTTTATTGGGGGGTTAGTCATTTTCCGAATAAATATGGGTATCTAATGAGAGATTAAGGTTGATATAATCTAATGGAATATATGATCTAAAAACCAACTACAATCAAACGGTGGATTATGTAGCCATATTTTGGGGATTGTCATCAATCCATGAATTAATAGAGATTTGCATGTTCAACTAAATTTGGCGATTTTCTGCACTTTTTTCTGTTTGTTAAAGCCAATGTTTTTTCGTTTTCCCATTGCTTAGTCATTTTTTTCCATGGTTTCTATTTCCTGGGAAAATATTCAGCATCGATTTCCCATGATTACTGTAATCATGTTTTCCAATTTGCTGATGACCTTTTTTCCCCCCATGAGAGTCATTTGATGATCTATTTCCGTCTATTTTCTCTCTGCTTTTGTTCCGATTTTTCCGAGAAATCTAGTGGAAGGAGGATTTTTCATGGTGGCAGAGCTAAGGAAGTCGAGGAGAGAAGATGAGTAGCACCTTAGCCCATGTGAAGCAAACCGGGCAATGCGATGGCTTCAAGGACTCTGAACTGGGGGGGTTGGGGGTGGGGGAAATGGTTCAAAGTTTCAGTTGCCTAAAAATGGATGGTTAATGGATAGAATATGATAGAATATGATACTAAAAACACGAACCATTTTGCGGGTTGCATCATTTTCGAGCCGTAGCCGCTATAGCCACGCCATAGTCATCCGAAGTTTTTTTGGATGGCCAAAACCTGGGATGGCCAAAACGTCCCAGCTTTGATCGAAATCCCCATGTCGGGCCGGATGCCATCCGTGGCATTTGCAGACAATGATTTTTCGGATGTACAGACTACAGATGGTGATCTTTTTTTTGTTGAAAATGAGGCATCTCCCCATGGCCATTGGAAAAGGATGAAAAAGGATGATCAACCACGGGAATCACGGGATCTGGGAGTTCCACATTTTTGGATACCAGATTCTTGTCGAAAGGAACAGCTGCGAAGCCGCAGTTTCAAGCCTGTTTTCCATCGCCAAATGAGAGACTTTATCCGTATCCCCAATGTCCAAACCACTCGCCCAACATCCGGTGTCTAGGCATGAAACGCATTGTAGTCGTGACTTTCTCCAGAAAAAAACACCAGTACCATGGAAAATCACCATATTTTTGATAGGTAAATAATCACACATCATCTATAAACAGGCCATTTTCGATAGTGATGCAAAAATTTCCAGACGGTATATTTCGTGGAAAGACCATTTTTTCCAATACTTTTCAGGTGTTCGATTCCGGTCAGGACAGAACATCTTCCTTGAGCCTGCTGAATTTCTCAGACGGGCGCCTGGTAGGTGATGGAGTATCCATCCCCTTGCTCTGCGCAGACCTGCTCTGGACACAGACAGATCCTGCGGCGTCGACTGTCCAGGGTCCCTTTGATCGCCTCGACACCGAGGTGCGGTTCTGCCATGAGACCGCCATGGTTCTGGTGGAAGTGGAGAAAAATGGCCCCATTTTGAGAAATGATGAGAATGACGATCAACTTGAAGGGATTTTTGGGGTATCATTTTTTTTTCAGAGAATCCGAGCGTTTTCCAAAGGAACCACTTGGTGCATAGAAATTCCCCAGCCACGGGGGTATCCAGACAGAGCGCAAAGGCTCACCAGTGAATTAACCATTTCTGGGATGGCATCTAGATGCAGAAACTGTCAACATTGTGTGCTTTGGCGTCTCAATTTTGAAAGCTATAAGTATGTCTAGATGTATGTATATACATATATATATATATACACCGAACAATAGTCAATAGTGAACAAATAACATATTGTATTATGTATATTATATATATATATGTATCATTTCCCCATCTAACAGCGCTGCTCTTGTTTCAGCTAAAAGCTAAAACAAGCCGTGGTTTATCCCCCTCTCGTTTTGTTTAAACGCGCCAGGAGGTGCCATACTTCAGGAGCATTTTGGCTCTGGCACCTCGCTGGAGGTGGCGATCGCAGATGGGAATCCTTGAAGCGATCGAGGACCCCCGGAGCGATGAACTTTGGATCATTGGCGTGTCTGGGCTGAGAAATTAAAAAGGGTGGGCTAAGCTGGAAGTTGGGGATTCCATGGGATTCCGCGATAAGGTGAACAATGACGATTTGACTCATTGTTATGATTATTCTTGTTATTACTATTGTTGTTGCTGTTATTCTTACATTTCTTGCTATTCTTATGAATGATTTTTGTTAGGCACTGAGAAAATGATGCATCTAAGAAATCTATGACGTCCGGAGAGCAAACTGATTGGATCGTGTTTTCTTCGGAGCTGTTTTCGGGACCTCGGGTGGAGTTTTGTGGGCCGAGGCAAGCTTGGTTCCAGGAAGTCAGGAGATGGCTCGGTGCCTCCAAATGCTAAGCAAGCAAGGAGTGATCAGGTGGGAACTGCCAAACCACCTGATGATCAATAGAGGGGTTAGTGTTTTTTGTACTTTCCAGATGGGGTGGATGATGATACATGGTAAAGTTTAGCAAACCGACCCATCGATTTTTCCCCAAAGCCAAAGGACATCATTTTGAGAAGATCATCCGTGAGAATTGGGAACCCATGTTCAGACAAGTTTTTCTGGAACAAGCTGTCCCCATGATGAAACATAGCCGTGAAATTTCCGTGAATTCTATCATTTTCGATGCGGAAATCTGGGTTTTCTGCTCATGGACGGCACCTAAAACGCCGGTTTTCTCGGGACAGGTGGGACATCGAGAAGGAGTTCCTCTTCCACAAACACGTCATCGGGCGGAGCGCTTCCGGTATCACTAGATTAGGCAAGGAGTGAAGTTGTGAAGTTAATGGTACTGTATATTTGATGATATTGACGATAGTTGGATGGTATAGTCAACAACTTGGTTCTTCATCTCGTTGTTCTTTCTTTTTCTTCTTGATCTTGATCATCCTCAGATCCCAATGCCAGTGGCCAGGTATGCAGAAAAATAGTTTCTGGTCAATCTCTACGATGAGTGATTCAGAAGCCCTTTCAGAGGACTCGAGCCGGGGACCCGACGGGCGGGCCGCACGCGAATCACACATGGCAATGTTTCAACCAGTTCGCTTTTTACAGCCACAGGACGAATGCCCGGAAAGTGAAAAACCAGTGGCCATTAAGTTCATCAAGACTCCTGTTTCTTGGTGGATTAAACTGATTCGAGTCGTTTCAAGGGTCATTTTTTCGGGACCAGTTATAAATCTGAACCATAATCTATATTGTAAGGTAACATCTAAGTGTAATCGAATTTAATCTATATCACGTATGTCGCCAAATGTCATTTGCTCTTGGCTGGATATAGCTTGGCAAGGCATGGGTAGGTAGGTTGATACTTTAGTTTGTCGCCATAAATGGGTAAACACACTATTGTGCTGAAGATAAACATCTTTTCAGCAGGGCACTTCAGCTTGGTTATGTCACGATGACGGATGTTTGATATGAGGCTTTTAGTTGTTCAGTTGGGATGAATACCCGAAGTGCCAGCATCAAGCACCCAACCATATGCCCAAAAAAAGCGCGAAAGCTGGAGGGTTCACTTTTCACTATCAGGTCAATGAGGCGCAGGCCATTCTCATGGTGAATGAGATTCGGCACCTGGCGAACTGCAGCCATCCCAACGTCTTGTCGCTTCTGGGGACCTTCTTCGCTCCAGCTTCAAGGAACCCCCTGGCTGGACATTCAACGCGCAGTACTTGGCTACTGGCCTTTGAGTTTTGCACTGGGGGTACTCTCTCGGAGTACGTGTCCAATCATGGGCACCTGGACCTCATCGCAGGGTGACCTGGATTGATATCGGCTTGTCTGAAAATGGAGCCCCCAAAATCACCAAAGACCATTTGAACATATTAAATAATATTTGGAAAATGAATATGAAGCATGACATGTTGTTTGGGGACACTATTTTCAGACAAGGCCATGTGGTGTCTTTTTGCTTCACTGATTCCCCACGGCTTTTTTATCCACGATTTGATTTTTCCATGGTCATGAGGGGGATGGGTGGACGACCATGGCCCCAAAACCATGGCTTTTGACCCTGGCACAACGGGACCTCCATTGGGTTTTCCCAGCCGTGTTTGATTACTGGAGGTAACCAGAAATGACACCTTTGACTGAAACCATCTATAGTACCCATTGGCCCATAGAGGTTACCCTCTGGTTATTGAATATCGTTATGGAACATGGCCCATTTATAGAGGATTTTCCCATGAAATCCATGAAATTTGTAGGGTTTCCCAGCCAAGCACGTTTGATCACTGAAGTGTAAGTTATTTTCCTCAATCCTGGACGGTCCTAAAGCCCTGCGGTTGACGTCAGGCAAGTGATCTGCACATCGCTACTGAGTGCTGCAGCCCATATCCATAGCAAGCAGATTTGGCATCGAGACATCCGACCACAAAACATCTTTTTGGACAGAGATGGAAAGGAATTGAGGCGAAAACGTGGGGCTGAAAATTGCAGAAACTTGGGACCAGAATCCCACGACATCCATGGCGTCCCATGACATCCATGGGTCCAAGTGATTTTGGGGAAACTTGGGACTGGAAAGGGCGAACTGGCAACCCCTGGGTGAAAACCGGGCATTGCTTGGGGAGCTGTGTAGCTGTTTGGAAAACTCAACGTCAAAATCCTTGATGCGTTTCACCCATGAGAGGAATCAATATTTTTTGAAAACAAACTTCGCGTCTTCATGATGCGGGTCTGTCTGACAATTTTGGGACAAAGCCCAACACTTGATAGTGAATCAGCGTTTTCCTCCAATCAAAGCTATCATTTTATGGTTCTCCCAGTAATCCCATTTCCAGACACACCCAACTTGTTGATATTCCCATTCATATCGCTTAAATCACCATTTGTCATCATTTGTCATGATTAAATCTGATGCTTGTTCCCGAAAAAATCACTGCCATGCTTCCAACAGGCCAGTGCTGGCCAGTTTTAGCCGTGCCACACACGCAGACGCCGAGTTGCCCATGGGGCGACACACAGGTCATGGCTGTTACTGTGCTCCTGAAGTTTTAGACTCAAGCCTCTTGGATTTGCCAATGGTTGCCATGTTATTGGGGTCAATGAACACACTAAAGTCACTAAATACATCTAAATACTACATAGAGTATCAGACTTAGTATCAATGTCGTACTAATGATGACAATTTGCGCTTGTCGCTGATGGAAAATCAACACATATTTCCCATAGGTAAATCCAGCAGAGAACCAAGGACTTGGAGTGCAAGGTTCAGCAAGCGACATCTTCAGTCCTTTGGCTGATTTTTCTCAAACATATGGGGGTTTCCATGGTTTTCTAAGTCATGTGGGGTACCCAAAAATGGATGGTTTTATAAGGGAAAATCCCAATCCAAAATGGATGATAAAAAAGGGGGTAACCCGTATGATGGAAAAACAGGGTTCATTTGGGCAAGTCCCAAATTCCAGGTTTGCTGAGATTTTTGAGTTTGCTAATTACACTAATTATCCTAATTATTGTAATCACTTAGGATAATTAGAGTAATTAGAGCCTTTGAAAGGCTAATGATCCTAATTATCCTAATTATGCTAATTAATTAGGATAATTAGAATAATTAGGATAATTAGCCTCCCTAATTAGGATAATTAGGATAATTAGCCGCCCAGAGAGCCTTTGGAACCTAATTATCCTAATTATTCTAATTGTTGCTCAAGCCTCCAGGCTCCAGACCTTTGTTGCTCAAACAACCACAAGAAGAGGACTGCAAAGCAAAGGCAGCAGTTGAGAAGCTGGCCTAGCAACAGCAAGTAGATAGTCACAAGACATCAAATGTAAACGTGAAAGAAGAAAGTGATAGTTGATTATCGGCCAAAACTTTTTTTTCGAGAGAAACCGTTCCAACCCAGAAACAAGAAGAAGTAATGATACACACGAAGTGCAATAGAGGGGAGGTTGTTTCAAGTAACCTTTGCCCCTTCATCTAGAGTTGTCCCTAAAGACTGTAACCTGTAAACCCCAGCGCCAACAAACAAGTACAAGAGGAGGAATGCAAAGGAAAGACGACACAGCTGAGAGAAGCTGACCCCATCCCCTTCGAAAGCCCTTTCACGCCGGGAACAGTAACGACAAACAAGACAAGAAAGGTGGAAGTGAAAACCTCAAAGAGCAACCTGTCCACCTCAGAAACAACAAACAACCACAAGAAGAGGAATACAAAGCGAAGAGAACAGTTGAGAAGCTGGCCCAGCAACAGCAACTAGATAATGATTTCTACCCCCAAAACAACAAGGAGATACAATAGACAAGAGGTGCAAAAGAGGGGACATTGTTTCAAGTAACCTTTGCCCCATCATCTAGAGCCTGGCTAGGTCAAACAAGTTTTGCCGCATGGTCCCTAACAAGGGCAACCTGTGAGAAGCTGGCCCGGCCCGCCTCAAAAGAATTTCCACCCCAGCAACAGCAACTGGAAACCAGAGAAGAAACATAAAAGAGAAAAAAAGGAAATTGAGTACTGATTCTCGGCCGAACCTTGCGCAGAGAGCAAACCCTTCCAGCCCAGTAATAAAAAGGAGGTGCGAGATACAAAAAGTGCAAAAGAGGCGAAGTTGTTTCAAGTAGCCTTTGCTGCATCATCTAGGCTTCTTGGAAGAATCGTTGCCTCATACTGTAGTCCCTAAAAGAGCCAGGCAAGACATGTACGCGTGAAAGGTTGATTGTCGGCAAAACTTGTTTAGAGGGAACTTTTCTACCCGAGAAACACAAAAAACACACAATAAGTGAAACAGAGGGAAGGTTGTTTCAAGTAAACTTTGGCCCATCATCTTGTCTACCTACAATGAATATGTTATGCTGGTTTTTGATCGTCATGGCTGAAAAAGCCCGCTGCAGGGACGTGCCCAAATAGACATTGTTTTTCCATGCCACGGGGTAACCCCCATGACTTAGGAATCCCCCATTTTGGGACTTCAGGGGGCGCATTCCTGGTCTCTCCCATCTGCCCATAGTACAGATCATGAAAAGCGCAGATCCGATGCTGCGTCTCCCAGATATCTTCCAGATATATTTGAAATCTCTGCAGATATCATCCAGACATCCATCATCCAGATATCCTCCAGATATCATCCAGACATCCATCCAGATATCATCCAGACATCCATTCAGACCAGATTTTCTCAGCTCCATCGCTCAGGTTTAGGAGCTGTGATGTTGTTTCTCCTCACTGGCCTGGAACGTGGATGTGAAGTGTCCAGTGTCGGAGCCTTAGAGAAATTGTCAAAGCCTGAGTTTTGAAGGGTTTCGCTGCGGAGATCTCCGAGATTTGCTTGGCCCGGTATGCCCTCTCTCGGATGTTCATTTCTGATATTCCCTTGTTGGATGTGTTCAAACGCAAAAAATCACATACATCATGTTTTGAAGCAACAATCACTAGTTAAAGATTGACTATCTTATTCCATCCAATGCGCTAAGACCTCATGAAGATGGCCCAAACTGATAATTTCCATCCATTTTCAGACACACTCATGTCTGCTTTTTATTGCTTAGCATCTAGCATCTACAGGATCTTACATGGTTATACAATGTTATACAGTTATACATGGTTGGCACTTTCTACAATGGATAACATGGGATCACATTAAACCCAACAAAGAAGTGGCCCCCCTTTAGGTGGCCGTTTCCATCCTCAGGTCACGTGGCAGCCATCCCTGACCGGCAATAGCCGATGTGATGAGATCGCCCATCAGAAGCTGACGGAGACCTTAGTGCGCCAGTTGGGGGAGCGCCGGTTCCGGGGGGTTCCGGTTCCTGGGGGGTTGGAAACGGCTGGGCATGGCATCGCCTGTCTTGGGACCCGCTGCCAGGTGGATTTCCTGCTGCGTTTCTTGGCTCTAAATGCTCGAAAGAGACCTGCAGCCTTGGAGGCGCCATGGGGCACCTGAGGTGTTCAGATCCTGGTTCCCATCTTCCCTGCGACAACCTGGGACAACCTGGGACAACCTACACGCCAGGCATGTCGGCTCCTTTGGGAAGAAGCTCCGGAGGAAGTTCAGGAGAGCCACGTTGCATTGAAAGCCATGGCGGCTTTACCCCCCTCAAGTGGCTTGGACCGGTGATCGAAAGGGAACTGGTCAGTTCCCAGTTTTTTTTGGACAACGTGGGCTTGAAGAGGCTTCATCGAAGATTTTGGGTAATCTGTCAATTTCGGAAATCGACATGTGGTTTTAACATGTTTTAACATGTTGTAACATGCTTTCAACTGATCATTTTCCCCGATTGAAATAGCACATGTGCGACCTCCATTTTTTGGGGACTTCGTCGTCTTCGTCGTCTTCGTCCATGTCGAATCGTGTCTCCGTCTGCCAGTCAAGCTATCAAGCTATGGAGAGCAATTCTCTGAGGCTCAAGTACCGCGGCGATGCCTATCATTGCAGAGACTTGTTTCGAAGATGTCTTGGACGACTCGCGCCGGGAAGATCCACGAGGTTCCTGGGATGGGTCTGGCGATGTCTGGATGAATTGGAAACCTTGGAGATTTCCATCAATATCATCAATGGGTACCCGAACATGGATGGTTTATGATGGTTTATGATGGAAAATACCATTCAGAAATATAGTTGGTTTGTGATTTTCCATCATTTATAGTTGATTTTCCCATTAAACATGGTGATTATCCATTCAGAAACCCAAGCGCAAATCCAAGAAATATGGCTGGCTCTGGATGGGTTCCGCCATGGCTTCAAAATCGCAGCACATCTCGGTACTGCCACTGGCCTTGTGTGTCAGATGTGGCGAAAGGGAAAGTGAAATACAAGAGATTTAGGCGGATAGGTTTCTTTTTTGTCCGTTTTGGACACCGCTCAATGATCATGTTTTCATTTGTTTTGCAGTGTTTCTCTGATGTGTTTTCCAATGTTTTCCCATGATTTTCCATGGTTTTTCCCATGATTTCCTAGAAAAAACATCCATAACATGGGATTGCTCCGGCGTTTTCCATCAGCCCAGGTGCAAGCTTAGGATATGCTCCATCCTCTGCTCCAGCTGAAGGTTATGCCCAGCTTCCAGCAGGCCACGCTATTTATATTTGTTTCATATTTTCTTTTGTATAAATCAATATGAATCCTATTTACACATTTATTGATAAAGAGATTTGATCATTTTTTGTGCATATATCTGAAGTATTCTATAATTATACACATTCGCGATATTTATCGATCTACTGCTTTGTTTTTAGCTTGAAAAATTGGGATGAAGTTTCACGAGCGCTTTTTGAATGATCCCAAGTCGATTTCGCAAAAATCATCTAGTACACTCAACCCGTCACTCAATATGATTGGAAACCACACAGGAACACATTAAGATTTCAACTCTTACATTCTCTTTTCTGAAAAAATGCAGCCACCAAGCAGTTCTTCTAAGCATTTTCCCAGCCCTTTCCCACCATTCGGTCGCAGGAGCCTCCCCGGTGATGAAAGTGTTGCCCCCACCATCTCCACCGATCACGCCCAGTAGGGGAGACCCAGGGGCCATGGTTCACCTGGATTTGGGTAATTTTTTCCCCAAAAAGATGTGGAGAGTTGCAGCAAAAGTTGATGTTTTACACATAGAATCTAAAAAAACTAATCTGGAAAACACTCACCCTCTATAAAACTAGATGTTTCCTCATGGAAGCTCAAAATTTTTCACAGATCCAATGGGGAAATCGTCTGGAAGAGACCACGCTGTTGTTTTGGTGTATGGATCTATTGAATCTATGGGTCTTCATTCACCCAGACATAAGGCATCGGGAAGGTCGTGTCTTGGCGGTATGAACACACCTTCTTTTCCTCAGGGGGAGGGTGTACACACTTATCCAGAGTTCGTTTGATGATCGGAATTTCACTCCGATCATCAAACGTGGCAATGGAAACAACATGAAACCACCACCTTAATTTATAGATGATTTCAATGATTTCCCCATTCAAACCTCATTTATAGGGTTTTTTCCATTGCCACGTTTGATTATCGGAGGGTAAAGGGAACAATTCTGAGGCCCACGAAAGGGACGATCTTTCTTGTCTGCGAGATCGGCGCAGTCTGATGGGTGATGCCTGTGAATTGCTGATGGGTTTGTCTCAAAAATACGCGATTTGCGACAATTTATAGCCATGTGAATGGTTAAAAATATGGGAAAAGGAAGTTAGACACCATGGAATTCTCAGGATATCTGGTTTAAATATGTTTAAATGGCAAATATTCGGGATACCGAACGTATTATTCGAATTCAAATGGTTTTCTCATACCAATATATACTTAATATAATATAACTATGTATATAATATAACTATATATATATATATTATAACTAGTTATATATAAATAATAACTCTATATATATATATATACATTGATAGTTTATTCCCTTTTGGACAAACCCAATGGCTGATGCACCTGGTTTTTTTTGGTTAAGAGGTCTGGAATCACATGCCTTGGGAATCAGTGCGGAAAACGCACTGATTCCGCACCATTGATGCGCCCTTGATTGGAGGGCCGCACAACCAGGTCCTGACGCATATCTTGATCTGAAAACAATCGATAATCCAACAACATCTGCCAATCCTCCAAGGCTTTCTGATTTGTTTTTTGTGTTTGAGAAGAAAACATCTGTTGAATTTCCCTAAAGAAAACTTGTAGATTTCCTGGTGACGCTTGCTTGCTTGGATGTCCAAGTCGAAATTAAACCCGAGTGTCGTGGTGTCTCCATAGGAGAGTGGAACAATATCGGTGGCAGCAGTCCCTGCGTTGGCTATCCAGGGTCTGTCTAATTTTTTGGATTCGGAAGATCATAATCCTGATTTTTTGCAAGATATTTGAGAGATTGGAGGAACGAACGAAGAAGAGGTGACAATCAATTGGCCTTGGGATCCCAGTGGGACTGCTGCCATGACTTCAGCTTCCCGGCGATGACGAAGTGGGTAGCCGTTTTCAGTTAGGCTTTCTTCAATGGATGGACTTCACGTATTTTTTTTTCGGAACATCGAGAGGACAAAAATGGGGTGATCCTACAGGCCTGTAGATTTTCCCAGGTTTTTTTTTTTCGGGATTCTTGCAAATCTTCCAAAGCATCAAGAACACCATGCCTTTTGGGTGTGTCTTTCTGGAAACCATAGTCCGGAAAAACTCAGAATTTGATAGGAGCTCCAACACCCACTTCGCCGTTTTTTTTCAAATCCCAAAAGAGATCTCAAAGAGATGCTGAACTGCTGCGGTTTTTTAGCATACAAAATGCAATGGCAGTTTTCGGACAACAGTGACACAGAAAGGCCTGGTCTAAAAGCTCGACCTACTCAAAAGAACGTTCAGTACACGTCATCTACATCTCTTCACAACGAAATCTGCAAAGCGTACACCGTTTGGTTCCTTTGGATGTTTCAAAGATGCTGTTCAAGACCAGATTATCCCACTCAGTGGAGAATGTCAGAGTTTCCAAATGAGTGCAGCTTAGCTTTAGTGATTCTTGTACATCAAAGAAATCGAAATCTCGTGATCATCAAAAGCCAAGCTGAGCTTCGAAGCTGCACTCATCGAATTTCACCTTTTTCACCTTGGTCCTGGACCATAGGGTTTTCCGCCTCAACATTGGTCTCGCCAGTTGGGGCTTCCCCAGCGGCCCCTGGGGACGACACCCAGGCGACACGGCGGTCGACCAAAAATGTTTGAAGAGGCAAAAGTGAAGAGAACGTCAGCTCAGCCAGGGTGGTTTGGGTTCAATGTTGGAAACGTGTTTGATGTTGACATGACACAACTGAGCGGAAACTGACATGGAACGGAACAACAACTCCGCAACGTTATCCTTCCAATCTTTGGGGGGTTCCATGTGAGGAGTTCAGCATTTTGTTCAGCCTGTCACCGGGGGTTGGACAGCTGCCAAAGCCCGGCCTCAGGATGATGTGTACACCCCAAGCCCGACTTCAACACCATCGAAGGCCACAGAGCCCAGCAAAGTTCCAGAAAAGATCCACATCGCCAAACATCCAGAAACATCCACACATTCCTGAGAAAATGTTAACAAATCATCAAATATTCCCCCGCAGTCTCATGATATTTAAGGGACAGTGATGGTAAATCGCCTCTTAAGAAACTTGGACATGCGAAAGTGATGGTGGTTCCTTCGCAGCTGTCGGACTTCTTTGTTCTTCTTGGCGCTCCCGAGGACGTCGTGAGTGTCTAAATCGTTGGTGGTTTCAAATGAGTTTTTTTTCCCCTGGGAACAATGGAGGTGTCCTAAGTCATGGTACCCCAAGTCATCCAAGTCGATCATGTTATGGTGACTTGGGGATCCAAACCATGATTTAGGAAAGCCCCAGATCCATTTTTTTGATTTCAGTATGATTCGTTCTATTTTGATATTCCATAGTCATAGTCCCATCGTTTATATATTCCCATTCTTAGTGAATCATCAGTAGGCTCCCACTGATCCTTGGACCTCCTCGGTCAGAAATCCAGGTGAAACTGGGTGATGGTGCACTGGGACGCCCGCCAGCGCCTGAGCCGTGGGGCTTTTTGCCGGCTGAGCCGTGTTTGTCGGTACCAACATATACCCAATGTATGGCACATCATGGGGAACATGATGATAAAAACCCCATGGTTTTGGAGATTTTGGAGGTAAACTTAGATAATGGTGGTATTCTCAATGCCATAGAGCATATTTTAAGGATAGTTTATAGATGTTTATACCACCCATGAGCATGGTATAACATGGTAAATTTGGTAAATTTGTGGATCCTATTGCTTTACACTGTCAGCCAATGCATGGGGCAGTTGGGGATGATGTTGGACACCCATGGGCTGGGGCTTGGATTCTGTCCATGATTCAACCATCAACAACCACGACTTTTTTGGGGGGTGAAACACCTGATTTTCGGATGATCCCATGATTTTTCTGGGAGGCGGAGTTGGAAAAAACAAAAACAGCCCGGCCCAGCTGGGCCGGTTTCTGTAGAAAAACCAGCTGAAATCATGGTGAACACATTTCAAAGAGTGGGTCAGGAATGGATAAATCGATGACATGACTTTTTTTTTCTTGTCGGTTCATACCTATTTTTGACGCACACCCAACAAATGTGTTTGGTTACCTATTTCCTTATTTTCCATAAAATCGTTGGGTCGTGTACCTCCGTTTTTAGCCCAAAAAACAAGTCTTCCCATTAGTTTCCCTATGAATGCAATTAAATCCCGACATATCCCATTGTAACCCCCATATTCTTGATAGTTAAAAGCCTAAAATCTACGTTGGTTTCCCAACGTCTCCCTGTGGTCCGCTACTGGCGCCCCGCCAGTCCTGTAGGTCCTGTAGGGGCATCGCTGTGCCCGTGACGGCAGCGACATCCCTACAGCAGCTTGGCTCAGATTGCCGAGCTCGTCCCAGGTTTTGTTCAACAGATTGATGATTGAAACATATTGAAATCCACAACTGTAGATTTTAGAACTATCTTGTAGATTTTAGTCACCAAATTTGCGGAAGAGTGAGCTGGTTCCAGGATGTTTTTTTTGCTGATATATACTTCATATTTATATAAAGTGGTTTCCCACCTTTCTCTCTATTTTGAGGTTGCTACAAGCTGATTGGTACTAAGCCAATTGATCTTACTCAAGAGATCGAAATAAATTCTTTTCATTTGTGAAAAAACATCAAACACATGGGTTCATTTGAACATTTTTGCGACAATTGAATATAACCAACATGTCTGAAAATGGGGCAGATCCACCAAATGTCTATTTCATCCAAAACAAAATTCATGATAAACCGATGGATTTGGGATGACCCGATGGGAACTAAAAGCCAAGCAATATCAGATCAAATCCAGTGGTTTATCCAACAATCCATTGGTTTATCCAGACTGATTGGGATCAAATCCATTCAAAATAATGCAGTCCCAACACCCGCAACCATCGGAAGTCCCAAGTTTGGAATTCGAGTTTGTGTGCACAGATACCAAGTCGCTGAGTGACCCCGAACTGGCGACCAGCCAAGTCTGCCTTGAGATTACACTAGCATGAACATCATTTGTGTAAGTTGATCATTGAACAGATTTCACATGAATTTACCATACATTTACATTAATATTTACCAGAAATTCTGAAGATGAAATGCTAAAATCCAACCAGCAGTTAAACAAAAATCCACCAGCATGGCATCTGCGGGGGAGGATTCTGATGCACGGCTGTGGCATGATGGGCATGGGCTGGTACTCGATCTTCGTCTACGTGGAGGGCTACGATGGCTTGGACAACGCCGGGAAGCGCAAGTTGGGGACTGGAGATGCTGAAAAAAACGATGGTTTTTGGGGGAAGTTGGGGATGTGATGATACTTTATATTCTATTTTATTCTGTACTATTGTATATATATATACTGTATACTGTTATGATCTGTTATCATTATGATCATTGTTCTCACACATTTCTCACTGTTCTTATTATTCTCACTTTTCTCATTGTTCTCGTTACTCTCATAGTCATGATGGTTATCAGTTTTATTGCATATTTTTTTGTTGTAGTGATTATTCTGTAGAGATCCTGAGATTCATGATTGACGTCATGGGAAATAGGACCATAGGAGCCTTTTAGCACCTGGGAGTCAAACATGGCAATGGGAAATCCCTTATAAGTCGAGGGTTTGAATGGGAAAATCATCGAACTAAATAGATGATTCTTTAAAACACCATCTTTGATTACCGGAGGGTAAGCCCAATGAAATCTCACTCAAATCCACTGTGGTGATACAGTAGAGGAAACATCACTATCTTTTTGGACTTTACGACTAGAGGCTTTAATTTCCCTTCATGGAATCTATGATTTAGACACGCATTCCCAATTTGACGGATCTATTTTTAACCACATATAACAGAACTATATTATAAGAAATATATCACAATATATCATACAATTCTAAGCACCATTGAAGCTCAAGAAAAAACAGACACATCACCCCAGAAATCGATTGAGGACGGCGCCTTACAGCAGCTGCGATTCCAAGTTCCAGCCTCTTCCAATAGCTTCGCGGTGCGGAGTCATGGATATGGGGAGATGGGGAGGCTGCCGACCGGGTAAAGTGTTGGAGTTTGCGAAGTGGAAAATCACCATGTGAAACATAGGTCAATTGGTCAATCATCATGTTTATCATCTATGAATGGCAATGTGAAAAATAGCTATGTTGAATTCCCAGAGGTTAATAGCTGGGGAACAGAGGATGTATATGGATGTATACTGTATTTCAGAGGATTTTGAACAACAATGGACTTTCAATATCTTTCAATACAATTCAAAAAGAAGGGAGATTTTTTGCCAGCAATGATTGGAAAGACGATGGGCTTTCACAACTAGCAGCTGGGCTGCTGGGCATTTCGACCCACTGAGGTGCAACCCAGCATGTCAGGTCTCACGAAGGATGGACTCACAGTGACCTTCACAGCTTCTGCCTCCGCAGGCGAAGTCGTTCCAAAGCTTTGTCAATGGGGATATGGGGGATTCACCCGAAGATCCACCAATCCCCACTACTTGATCATATTTCTGAGGATTTTTCTTGGCCGGAAGATTTGGACCTTTCACATCTGGCTCAAAGCCTCCAAATCCAACGGTTGAACAACATCATTTTTCTGCGGACATGGCCTTTTTTTATTGGAGTAAGTCGGCAAATCCACATTTCTCGAGAAAATCAGATGGTTGAGCTTGATACCTACGGTACCTACGGTACCTAGAGGAGGTACTAGGAAACCTTATGATTGTCGAATCCATATGGTTGTAGGATCCATATGATACCATATGAATTGGTGAATCCTCATATGTAAATACCATTGGGAGATGGATTGTTTGAGGGGTGCTCAGCTCAGTGGCTCGCAATGGCTGGTCAAAATTATGGCACCCGAAAGACCAGTCACCGCTGGCTCCATTGCTATTGAAAATGGCCATAGAAATAGTGGATTTACCCATGAATAGCATGGGTGGATTTTCCCATAGTTTTTTTGGGGACAGTTTTCCAGAGGGTAGCGAAAAACATGTTTAAAGATTTTCGACCCATACCCCAATGTGTAGGATGTCATTGGGCTGTGAAAGGCAATGGCTATGTGATGATCGCAGCGGAAGCTGACTACTCCACTTTGACCGTCGCCAACATCAAGGCACGACATGCATGACATGCACCTCCCCCATCTGCCATGTGTTCATTAAATCCCCAGCAAATCCCCGTAAAATCCTCATAAAATCCTCATAAAATCCCCATAAAACCGTCTATTTTTATGGTGAAATCCCCTTGTTTTTTCCATGTCCCGTGGATGGTAGACTCGCCAACTGGCCTAGGCCTTCATGAGTGCAGTGGGAGATGCCACATGCAGCTTGGCTGTGGACCAGTTGTAAACGTAATGGAATGGGGGTCTAAAACCAACCATTTTGCTGGGAAAGTAGTGGGGATATCATGGGATATATACATATATATAATATACATATATATATATACATATATATATATATATATAACCAGATTGTATATAAATCTTGGGATAATATATATATATATATATAAATTCTACAAACTTGATAGTGGGATTTTATATAATGTCCCATAAATTCCATATAAAACTTATATAACCAACAACAAGATAGTGGGATTTGTGGTTTGTCCATTATTTTTTGTGATTTTCCCGTGGGTTAATCCGTCAGACAGTCAGACATGGGGAATCTTCTGTTTTTTTTCTTTGCATGGATTTTTCAATGGCTCCCTCACGGTTCTTTAATACCCTCCAAATGGGAAAACCAATTATAAATGAATGTAAATGAGGTATGGTTCACTATTCACCTACTATTGACATATAATTTGGAATGGGTTTCCCACATATTCTAGATGACTGGAATAAGATTCAACATCTCCAGAAACCGCCTAAATGAAGATATGGAAACATGGCATCCTGGATCCTGTTGAGCTGAGGTAAGTGGAACGGCTTTGTGAACAACATGGAAAGCACCGTGCGTGACTCAAACAATGCCTGGCATCAGTGACATGAAATGGGATCAGTATATGATACACTATGACACTGTATGGGATAGGCATCGCCTATTTGCAATTATTCTTCATATTCTTTCCAGGTCGAGGAGTTTTTTTTTGGTTGAGTTGTGGCTGGGATGACACCACGTGGGTTCCAGTCCCGGCCCAAATCCACTGGTTGATGACATCATATTCGCCATTGAACACCTTGCCGTTCTAGGTGGATTTGCCACCCAAAAAACCATAAGACACCCACCTAGAATCCAGCAGGAAAAAGTGTTTGCTTACTTGTTTCATCTTGTTTCATCTTGTTTCATCAGAAAACATGCTCCAAAAATCATCATCGCTCATGTCTTAGAATGTCTCAGAATGTCGAGACAAGACGGATGTGTGAGTCGATTCCTGGTGGTTTTTTATCGAACAAATCGACACTTAGTGGTGCTGACAACCAGGTGGTGCTGACGGGATGCCGACTTTTTGGCGGCAGCCAGTACCGACTCTTCGTTTACGTCGAGGCCGGGAGCGTCCCAGGATCAGCCCACTGTGGTGAAGATGGTGAAGAACAGTGGTTTTTTACGGTTAAGCCATGTTAGTTTCATGTTAGTTCACTCATTGATAGATGGGATAATCCATAATAATCCATAATAATCCCAGCGATAATCCATAGTTTATGGATAAGCCATTGATAGTTTCATGGTTAATCCATGATCATCCATGATAATCCATAGTTTATGGATGTTTATGGATAAGCCATTGATAGTTTCATGGTTAATCCATGATCATCCATGACAATCCGAAAATTTTATCTGGGATGATTTTGGTGATTTCCTCGGAGTTTTGTCAGATTTCCGCAGGATGGTCAGATGCGTGATGATGGTGTCTTGGCCGAGCCCATGTCGCTGCAAGTCTTGCCGTCCAATGACTTCACAGGCCCATCCTGCGACACGCCGCGTTTGGGTGAATGGAAGCCCCAAAAGATAGCTTGAAGGTCATTTATCACAATTTTAGTCGTGTTAGGATTTTACTTTTCTATCTTTAATTTTTTTTGGGTTGCTATGTGATAAGTGATAAGTGATAACTGGCTCAAAGACAGAACATGCAGGCACTTATCCTTACCCGAGACTGGACGCCACGCTTGAGCCTCAGGAGTCAGGTCTCAGAATTTAGGGATATTTAGGTGTGTCTGAAACTAGTGTACCCCTAAACCCAATGGTTTTGCTGATCATTATCCCTATTAAATGGCTATAATTGGGAATATACCCTATTTTCAGACAAACCCATTTAGGGAAAACACTGCAGGACAGCTCCATATTTGGAGCACCGTGCCACTGAGGCCAACGACCAGCACAGTGTCCATCGAATTCGAAGCGCGGGAGGTGACTGAAATGGGAACTGATGGGAAGTGGTGGCGATGGTGGTGATAGTAGTGACAATGCTAGCAACAATATGAATAACACATAGTAACATGAATTACAATACTAATCACATCTAATCACAACTTCATCATAGTCACAACGGACAATATTTGCAGATTTTTTTTTGGTTTGCCCTCCAAATGTTGAGTTGGTGATGTGTCTATATCGACGCACAGGCTGCGGGAGTGCTTTGGGCTGTGCTGATTCCGGAGATTGTCACTTGGACTGCAAAAAAAAGCCGCCTGGAAAGTGAATTCTAGCATCAAAAAGATGCAGAAAAGTACCCTCTTGTAATTTAACATAGCTATTGAAAATGGCCATTTATAGTGGATTTACCATTAAACATGGTGATTTTCCATAGTTACGTTAAATTACCAGAGGGTAACACATCACCAGAATCATATGATTTTGTGTGGTTTCTCAATGACACGAGGTGATCGCACAAATTATTTTTGGAAAAGCATATCAACAAAGATCATTTCATCAGGAAATCCCAAGATATTTTTCAATCCCATTAGCTACGATCTATATGTTATCCCATATAAATCATCAATATCTTAGGATAACTGGAAGAGATAGGAAATCCCAAGATATAAATCCCATATAAATCCCATTCCATCTTAGCATTATCTTGGGATAATGATGATGATAATCCCATATACCCTCTGGTTATTTAACAGTTCGCCATGGAAAATGGCCCTAATCGAAATAGATGCTTTACCTATTAAAAACGGGTGGATTTTCCATGGCGAACTGTTGGTCATAACCAGATGGTAAACCATCTATAATGATGATCCCATTCCATCTTAGGATCATCATTATAGATAATCCCAGAAAAATCATCTATAGATGAATCCTGATTATCCTCCTAATTCATCATTATGATCTATAATGATGATCATGATTATCATAATTATAGATCATTATAGATCATAATTAAATAGATAATGATAATTATAGATTATCATAAACCATCTATAATGATGATCATCTATTATAGATAATGATGACGATTCCTCCTGATGATCATCATGATCCCACCATAATCCCAGTTTTCTCAGGAGGCGATCTCTGCCAGCATCGCCGGGATCAAGGTGGCCACAGGGGCCATTTGTTCCAAAGCCAGCCGGGACGCCGGGACCGGATGGGGATGGGGGATGAGAGGTGGGGATATCATGAGGATATCATGGGGAAATAGATGTACATATATATATATATAGATACACATACAGGATATAAGTAAATAAATAAATATATAACTAAATAACTAAATAAATAAATAAACAAACCATTGATATAGTGGGGATATTAACATATAAACCATTGATTTTTGCTGGGGAGATAAAAAATAATAAGGGTTTTGGAGGAGATCATGGTCACCTCGACGAGCTGATTTTTTGGGGATGGGTTGGTTCCCCAGCTCATCCCTCATCATCCATAGGACTTTGGGGTCATGGATGTCATATCATGTTATATCCCAATTTCTGGTGCTTGTACCCATAGTTACCCTCTGGTAAACATACAAAAAGCTATTGAACATGGCAATTTATAGTTGATTTACACATTAAAAATGGTGATTTCCCATAGTTTTTTGATGTTTTTTGTAGGTTTACCAGAGGATTATAGCCAGAAAAATCCCCCACTCATTCCTTGGAAACACCCAGGTCTGGCCATCACCGGGGGATTGCAAAGTTTCAGCATCGACAACTGCGCATTGAGTCTGGACGTCCTTTACAAGGCAGGGATCTTCAACAAAAGAAGAAAACGATTATGGGTTTTTGGATGATTACGGTGGATTTCCTCTCTTTATCATCCAATACACACACACACACGTGTACATATATATATATATACATACTGTATATATATATATTTATAATCAAGATGTTGTTTATGTGTGGAATATCTTTCTCACATTTTCAACATCTTCAACACATCTCGTTTTTCGGCCCTTGGGACCTGGTGGAAATTCCCAAAAAATGGCCAGGCCATGGTGTACATTGAAGACACGGGAGCAGACAACGATGGCCAAATTGGTACAGGGATTGATGTCATGGTTCCCACCAACGGCCAGGACTCCCAAATTGGGACGGGAATTTGGACGACAGTTCCGACTGTTCCGGGATGATGTCATAGTCACCACAAATGGTGACCGCGGGAGGTGGAACAGATCTCAAAGTGATGCGGGTTTCTCTGAAGATTTATATAGGTGAAAAAAACTAAATTTGATGGTTTATCAGGATTTGCCCCAATGACATGTATGAAATAGCACGGCACTGGACCATTGTGTATCAAAGCCCTGCCACATCTTGCCTCCCGCAGGAGAGCATAGGCTGAAGAACTATTAAACGGCAAATTTGACACACCCATGTGGCTCTAAGTGTGTCTTTGATGCCGATCCCTATCCGACATGTTGGACGAGGACCTGTGCGAATTGATTGGCTTCTTTTGGCTCTCCAGAATTGTTGGAGCCGTGTGTTTTTTCAAAGTGTCTCTCTTCACACCACGTTGCCATCACCGTCCTCCAGGGTCAGGTTGAAGTTGTTGACACTTGGCCTAAGGCACAACCAACACCTTCAACTCCTACCCAAAGTTGGTGATGATTATGGGCGAGCTGGTTGGATATCCAAGGGCTTGGCTGGGGCCATCCTGATCGTAACGGCGAAGCCTCAGTAAGTTGCTGCTCATTTTCCCATGTTTGTTGGCTACAGACGTTGCAACCCCATCCGCATTGCTCAGTTCGCATTAAGTCTGATAGGCCATTTCATCATTTTGATTGGCCATCTCTCTATTTTTTCTACGAATCACCCCCAATTTCTCAAGGTTATATCCAACTCCCAGATGTTGCGGCTCAGTTTCCAGCGAGTCGTTCCTTTCGTCGTTCCACCCTCCAGTTTTCCATCAAAAAGTTCCCTGCCGGGCCTATTTAGGCCACCAGCGATGGGGTGACCTTCACCTTCTCTGCTCGTTGGCCAAGCTCGGTGTTAGCAAAGATCAAGGATGATGAAGTATTTAAAAAGATAGCTATTTTTTTGGATTTTTGTTCTTCAAGGATTTCTTTGAATGGTAAAAACACTAGTTTATACATGTCTTTATGATTCACCCATGCTTTTGAGTGATCCATCCATGGTTTTTCATGATTCAAGTATGTTTCTGTATGATCCACTAGTGGCTTTTGCATAGGTTTTTATGATCCATTAGTGAAGGGTCCTCTTTCCGTAACTTGAGGCCAGCAGCATCACGGGCCGCTTGTGGGCCATGGTGTGGCGTCCCAGGCGTTTGTTCGCGGACAAAATGTCCAGCTTGGTATGGCTCCAGAGTAGATCTAACTCAAACCCCCAACATTTTTTCACCCCAAAATTGCTGGGTGAATGTCTTTCACCCACTCACAGTTGGCATGGTTGGCATGGTTGGCGTCGAAATCATCATAGGCACCCTTTTGGGCCCCTGAAAAACGACGCTGGCTCCGTTGCTAAGGTGGTTCCAAATCATGTGGGCGACTGCATGACTGTGAGGCGTTGCGAAGATCTAAGAGCCACGTGGATCTCAGATGGATATAAATGGATCCCATTTGAGCTGAATGGCTTGTAATCCCACATTTCTTTGATTTCTTATCATTTTGTACAACGTGATATGTGTCTTCGTGATTATTTCTTTCACATTTCTCATTTCGTCAGATCAACTGAGATATCTGAGATCCAAAGTGTCGAAGTCCTGCTCCAAACAGAACTTTCACATTCCAAACATTCCAAACATTCCAAACATTCCAAAGTCTTCAGACCCACAGCGAGATCAAACTTGAAGATCCGAGACACGGTGGCCCGGTGTGGCCCGGTGGCCACCAAGTCCCGCGTCCCGCCAGGGCCATGAAGTTCTTGCGGGACGCCCTTTGTAGCCGATGGCCCTCCCAACATGTGGAGCAGGGATGGAGTTCTGTGAAGCTATAGGAAAGCTATAGGATAGACAGGTGGTGAAAATGATATCCTTCTGTATTTCAATGGTAATATGATAAGATTTCGAATCATTGATTTGAATTAACTCAATGATTTCTGATCAAAGACATATCATCAATGCTGTTCATGTCGTGGTTAATGGATAATTATTGGAAGAACTGATAATGACACCGATGAATGACATGGATATCCTGAATTCCAATGGATTATCAGCATTTTGATCAACTTGTTTCCCAGCCAAACTTGCAAAGTTGGTATCTTTGTTCGTCGATGAAGCCAGTGACGATGCAGGGCTTCTGAGCCTTGGAAACAGTCGTGAGGACACACCCTCCGTTGATATATTTCTTTGGGCAGATTTTAATGCGACACCACACCGTGATTCTGATAACTTATTATGATGTCTTATGATTCTGTTTCTTTTACCCCCCATGTTGGGAATGATGGTCATTTAAGCGAGATCTATGGCATCATATGGCATCGGTAGCTTTTCATCGCCAGGAACTATGTCATCAATGACCAGACGCAGACGATCACCCTCACAGGCTGCAACATGAAAGGCGGCGAGCTGCGATGCTGGGGATGGTGAAGCGGTGAAGCCACATGGTGGCGGCTCCGATGGCAAAGCTCCATGGAGTTTTAGGGATAACATGGATTAACACATGCACTTTTGGGGATGTTTGGGGTTGATCCCTACTATTTTGCAGACAAATCTTGGAACATATGGGTTAGTATGGGTGACAATAACTGCATGGTGGTTTCGGCCCTGAGTCTGCCTATTTGCAGGAGGCGACACCTATCGGTTGTTTGTGTACGTGGAGGCGCGCGCTATGAGTAGTTGTAGGACCTGAAAGGCCAAGGCCACTTTGAAGTTCCACCGTCATCGATTGGTCAGGTCATTCAACATCAATTGAACTTTAGCCAATACTTTGTTGATTTTGACCTATTTTTTTTCGATAAAACTTTTCAATTCTCCCACTTTTTTTTCGATATTTCGCCCTAGCTTTCAGGGTACATCCAACGGAGATGATGGCGTCCTCGCGCCAGCTGTACCGTGGCAGCCTCGGTAGCTGATTTGTTGTGAAAGTTACCATCTGGTTATTTAACATGGCCATGGAAAATAATCACCATTTTTAATAGGTAAACCATCTATTTCTATGGGCCATCTATACCATGGCGAACTGTTAAATAACTAGAAGGTAGCTGGAACACATATTAATTGACTTTTTTGTTGTGAAAATTTGGGACAGAAGCGATTGTTCACCTTTTTTTGGCTGGACATCATGCAAGTGTGGTGCAGGTTTACGGTGCCTTTCACCAACACCTTCATCACGCAGCCCATGGTAGTGGATGACTTGGTGTCACCCGAGGGCTTGCAATTGACGTCACTTGACCTGTAGAAGCCATGGGTTTTCGGCTTTGGGAAGATCCAGGGTTGAAAGATCTGAAAAAGCCCAAGGTTTCCTGATTGGGGCCAGGGTGGATTGGCTCACATAACACGAAACTTGCCAGTTTAATGGGAACTTGATCATTTTTATTAATTTTTACATAGTTCACTGGGGCGGTTTATGAATTTATTGTGGGATAGCATGGGGTTCCAAAGTTTTGAGATGGAGAACAAGTCCGCGACAGCCGATGGGAATAGCTGAACTGATGGAGTGGGCATGGTGCACATGGCTCTGGGGTAACTGTGACATAACCAAGTGTCACTGCCAACTATCACTTCTTGTGCAGTGAAGTGCAACCAATCACCTGGACCCAAAAACAAAGATTGGAATCCGCCAACAAATGGGTTTGTCTGAAAATAGGGTATATTCCCAATGAAATAGCCATTTAATAGGGATAATGATCAGCAAAACCATTGGGTTTAGGGGTACACTATTTTCAGACACACCCAAATGGGTCTGGGTCAAGATTCAGTACCTTCAAAAAATGGTTGCGCAGTTCCACGACGAACAGCTGGACACGAAATACCTGACTTTTTGGAAGTCCCGACAATATTCGATCGGCATGGCACCCTTAAAATGAATGGCATCGCTATCAAGCCATCCGATTGAGGGGGTTAAATGGGTATATGATATATGATATGATATATGATACTACATGTCACTCCTGCCTTTTGTCTCAGAATTCTTTTTTTTTCACAGAGACAGACAGAACATGTGAAAACCAATTGTGGGTCAAGCCATCCCAAAACCCATCATAGATATTCATAAAGATGATAAACCCATTGAATTCCTAGTAGATCACGACTGATCCCCCACAGGTTCCAAGCCTCCGAGACGGAAGGGAAGGCTATCCATCCGCTGGATGGAATTCTCAGGGACCTGTCAGTGTTGGTTATGTTTTGGTCATGACAACATATGAGAATCATATTTCCAATTGTTATGACTACATATTTCCTACAAAAAAATGTTTTATATGGGTCAATTTCCTACACTTACTCCAATTTTGACCCATATATTTGTCGCGCTTTGATGTTTGCCAAGATGTCCTGAATATGTTTTGATCATGCTGCTGTATGATTTTTGTGCATTTTATCACACAAATGACTAGGTGCTGTGGGGAAGAGACATTTAAAGATGTTTGAGGCTTCCCGGCTTCCCAGGAGGTCAACAACCAATGAAACAAGCGAAGGCTGCTTCAAGTGACTGAAAGATGCAGGGTACCTTTCCTTTCCCTTTTTCATGTCAACCCCTCATTGTCCTGTGGACCATGACCTTTCAAAAAAAGTGCCGGGTTACCCCCAATATCCCCCGATTACTAGCGATCAATTACGGGATTTATCATGAAAAATGTGTTCAAAATGGGTAGCCCCCATCATTGGCAGCCATTCACCCCCCTTTGAGCCATCGCCAGGTTTGGGCGATGGTTGTGGCCAATATCCATGAGCAATGGGTGGATCCCAATGCCATCAAGGTTGGTGGGGTGTGGCTACAGTGGAGTGGGACGTCTGGAAATGTCGGAACTGGATGGAACCGTTGTAACCCAAGATCCCATGATGAACCAACTCCCTGCCAGATGCACCTGGTCTCCGCAGCCGTTTTTGGCTGGGAAGTTATGAAAAGACCATGACCCACAGGAAGACCCATGTTGAAAAATGTTGCCATGAGGTCTCAAGCCACGATGGTGCTATGATTGCTATGCCTGATATGACGAGCTTCTTGGAGTGATCAGAGGAACAAATCTTAATCTCAGCACAGATCCGAGAGGTACAAAAGCTCTGGGTATCACCTTGAAGATCCTATGCGAAGGAAAACAAAGCTGAGACCCAATAAAAGGTAGACACCCGAGCCGCGAACATTTGGCAGTTGAAGACACCACAACATTTGGAACACACCTAAAGCAACATGATCAACTGTTATGCTGGGAAGCAATAGTAATGATAGTCATGTGTCCACAAGTAAATAGTGCATACCCAGCAAGAGTTTTGACGTCCATAGTTGCGACCAAACATAGCTGACGCTGAACCACCGCTCCGCGGTGGATCCGATTCTTCAGTCTGGCGCGGCCAGTCCCTGCAGTTGCTGGTAGAGCCGTGGAGATGAGCCGAGCTCGAAACAGCATCGACACATCATCAACATCATCGAAAGTTGGGTTAGAAGCTGTTTTAGCCCAAATTATCAAACATGAACGTTGAGTTATAAGTTCTATAAGTTCTATAAGTTCTATAAGTTGTATAACTTATATAAGTTGTATAAGTTGTATATAAGCGTTCTACCCCAACTTTCCCAACTTTTGTCCTATGATTCAAGTGATCCAGGCCTGTTTCGCATCGCGTTTCGGCAGGTCATGGCGGGTCCTATGAGTCCCGAGATCTGGGATGAGTTGATCCATCTCAGGGAAGATCGACAGAAGATGCTGGACGACATTCTGGGGGATTGGATATATATATATATATATATAATTTATATATATATATACACATTTCCTGAAACCTCCTTAAAACTCTGGGGGATATTGTTGGATGTGTCTTCCAGTTCAAAGCTACAGAGTTTTTTGGAGTTTTTTTTTTTTTTTCTCGAGGCTTTTTTCTTTGTTAGATGTGGAGATGTTAGGAGATCTGTTTGGGGGGGATGGTCATTGATGCTGGATGTGCACGTGGTCGCCGCAGGATGCCGTAGAGAAAGCGAAGCAAGAAGGAGACGAAGGTGGCACACGTAGCGCCCGCATCCAAAGCTTCACCCAAGACTTGGAGTTTGGGTTTGGTGCATTTTGAAGCACCCAAGAAATGCAGTGAACATGAGTAAATCATATGGGTTTGTTGGAGAAAACAAAGCCAGTTTGATAGTATTCAATATAAATAATATATAGATGATTATAGATGTATGTATGATCATATTTGCTTGAGCATGGTGATCCAGAGCGCCTGAGAGCCACGGTTAAAAGCGTTTGAGTCAGAACGTCCCATCTTCCCTGTCAAAGTTCGAGGTGGTGCAGAGTTCCAATCCATGCTGGCCAATGAGATCTCTGAAAAGATCGAGGAGCGGAGATGGCTGGGAACTGGATGGCTTCGGTTGTCCAAAGGGGGCGGAGAACTCGGTATGGCTCCCAATATTGGCCCCCCCAAAGCACTGATTTTTGGCCGTGGATCTTTTTGTCCACTTTCGCAGCGTCAAGCAGGGATAGATGTTGAGATGTTGGCCCGGAGTATTTAGGGGGCATCCGCTCAATACGGATACTCACGATGACAAGCTATATAAGCTGCTACTAAATAAATGTGGTACCTCGCCCCAATGAACCGTTTTCCGGGAACATGAATCCGGGGTTGACATTAAACTTAAACCATCCATAACCATCCCATGTTTAGGTCTCTATGATATCGACCCATATTGGTTTCAACTGGGTGATATCACTTTAGCACTCTACAGTCTTAAGTTGGCTATTCAGTTGGCATTGAGGCTAAATCTGCTGGATCACTTCTTGACTCTTGGAAGCTCCTTGGTTCCCTTCGATAGAGACTTTCTCTGAAATCTTGGGTGGCATCCCCAAAGACTAGGTGACTTTGTGGGTACAAGATTTGTCCCAGGAGATCGAGGGCAAGTACGGTTCCTCTCCACCGCTGCCCGGCCTGGGCAGCTCAGATTGGTTCAATTTCACCGTCCATGGATTTCTGCAGCAACCCCTGCATGTTTCACAACCCGCAAAATGTCGATAAATATGGTACCATTTGGTACCAAACCGGGATTTTGCCTTGTTTTTTTGTCCAGGAAGTCATTACTGTGAGGATCGTAAAGATTTGGATGAAGCCTTCAACAATCCTCAAGGATGCCATAAACTGCTGGGATTCCATCTGAAGTGCCCAGGTGCCAAGGCAGTCGCCTCCAATGGCAATGCGCCGTTACCTCGGCCTATTTAGGAGTTGTTAGCTTGGAAGGCAGGTGCCACTTGAAACTGGCACCATTTGAAGGTATTTCAATAAACAATAAACTTCAATAAACAATTATTATAAATAGTAAACACCTATTTCGCATGTTGACATGTTTAAAGTTTAAACTAGTAGTATGATGTGGATTACACCAGTTACAATGGAATTTGGTTCCGAAGTCGCAAAAATTTGGTCACTACAAGGTGGGACCCCCCCCATTTTATGTTAGTTGGTTTATAACCATGAAACTATAGTTATAATATGTTATCATCACTATAAACCCAACCATTTTTGGAGTTCTGTTCACCAACTTCTAACTAAATCCCTCACCTAAATCCCATGACAAATCACCATGAACTTTTATGAAATCCCACTTTCTTTACATTCGTTTTGGTGTCCACTGGCCTAGGATAACCATCACCATCCCCGGCCCAGGCTGGTCCCGGTTCAGAGCTTCCCCCCGCGCTTCCCTGCGCCGGCATCGATTCCGATGCTCGGCGCAGATGGTGAGTTCATCCGAGGGGAGATGATGGGAGTTTTTGTTTTCGCATTTTTTATGGGGATGTTTTTGATAGTGGGGATGTTATAGGATAGGAACATTACCAACATATAATCTCATATAATCATATAAATAATGATAATATAATGATAATACTAATATAATGATAATAATAATAGTCATATGACATTTTGAGTGTCTGGAAATGGGAGTATGCTTCGGACATTGGCTGTCTTAAAAAAGAACATGAGAATTATCCAGGGCTTTTGGGGTGGCTACTTCCAGACAGATGGACATGGAGACAGATGGGGGGGTTCTAACATTGGCGACCCATGGGAAACCTCCAAAATGAACCACAATGATTCATATTTGTGGTATTTTGTGGTAAGAATCCGCCTATGGTTTTGGTTTCCCTTCAGAGAAACATCTATGTCAGGATATCAACCTGGATATCGACCTTGTAATCAATGCGTGGGTAGATGAAGGTAGATGGGCACTGCTGTTGGTTCTTCATCTGCAAATTCACAACATCGAACCAACTCCTTAGGCTATTTCAGATGACGGTTCTGTCTGGGATTATGGACTTCTGGGCTGATATGAAGCTCACTTTACATATATGATGTATACCCTCTGGTAATTAATTTGACATAGCTATTGAAAATGGTCCATTTAGAGTTGATTTACCTATTAAAGATGGTGATTTTCCAGTTCGCAAACTGTTACTTTACCAGAGGGTCTCAGAGTGCCGGACCACTGAGGAAGCTTCCACCGCCCCCTCCCGGCGCAATGTTGTCCATGCCTCCAGGCTGCGGACCTGTTTCGAAGGGAACCTGTTGGTGGTTGAAACTGGGATCACTGATTTTTTTGGGTGAAATCGTCAGTAAATATGGATTCCGGTAGAGATTTTTGTCCAAATATGTCCAAATCCAGTCCATGGATAGTCCTTTTTTGGTTTGCCGCGGATGGTTTTCCTTTCGATTCTTTGTCCCATGCAACCTTCGGCCAGGCGGCCTTCCAGGTAGCATCCCTGGTGTGGCAGGCGGACAACAAAACGGGACGTCATGCCGAAGTTTTGTGCCCCACTTTTGGGTTTTTGATGTGGGTAAAACAATGTCATAAAACACCCATGACTGGGAATGGTTTATACCACCTGTTTATGGTGATGACTGGGGGATGGTTTATGGCATTGTTTTACCCACATTAAGGGTCAAACTTGAACATCCCAGTGCCCAGGCGCAGGCTACATGAAACTTCGCAACAGTTTACAGCCAAGAAATGACTCACATCTACATCTGAGCAGTCGCCCAATATCTTGTTGGCCAAATACCTCATTGGTCTTTGTGGTCTTGGGGTTCCACCATCTGCTTTCGTGAAGAGTATTGAAATCCATGCTTGGACATGCTACCAACCCATAGCTGTTAATCCTCCTTTTTTGGAGTGACACCCCCTGTTTCCAAGTTGATAATCTCCGAACAACCCCCGCTTGTTCAATTGTTTCCTTTTATAGCCTGCGCAAATCGCATCTCAAATGTTGAATCAGGTATTGTGTAAATATTCCAGAATTTCAATGTTAATTAGATATGCTCCATTATAACCCCATGATATCCAGAGGCATGCTTTAATTCTTGGCAATTAACACCATATGTTGGCTATATCCAACATATCCAGTATATCGATTATATCCATTATAACCCTATTTATTTGTTGGTTATCATCCACTATTACTGGGGTTTACACCTCCAGCCAGTACCAGAGCCAGTACAGCGCCAGGGGCATTGGGCATGCGACCTCCGGGCTTTATGGGAGGCCGCTACCAATTGAATTTCCCAACGACATGGTTGAACATCATGTTTGGATGTGCCAAGCCTATATCATAGGTGCAATTGAAATATATTGAAATTGATGGTTCATACCAACCGTTTTCGCAGTGAAAACAATGAAGATTTCCTGATGTCATCTCAACATTTCTTGTTTTTTTTCCAATATGCTTGAGGCTTGAGGTGCTTGTTTCAACTTTCTTGATTTGGGAGATCAATTTCAAATTTCCCAGTTTTTTCGCCCCAAGTCCTCCAATTCCCAGGCTGCGGAACCCTGGGCGTGCCGCCTGTGGTGCCGCCTGTGGTGCTGCCGGTGGCGCCCTTGCGGCCTCCGAACCTCATCCAGCAGCAGGCCATGGGGGGACTGGTTTTTTTTGGTAGCACAAACCCTCAAACAGCCTAGAGGAGGTGGAGTCCGTGGAGATTTATCCATGAAAAATGCTGATTCAACCACTCAAAAGCTGGATTTCACCATGAAACATGGTGATTTCAGAACAAAACGTGGTGATTGAATGGGATATGAATGGGAATATCATGGGAATAGATCATTTGGGTCTGAGAATAGGGTATACTGACTCCCCAAATGGCCATTTTTCAAGGGGGAAAATTTGAAAACGATGATCCGCCTGCGGGTAGCCATGGGTAGCCTATTTTCAGACACACCCATTTGCTGAGTGGGTGAGTTTCTATTTTCCTATTGGTACATCCACTATTTAGGGAATCCGCAGATACAAAAATTGAATCAGATACACATATATTTGGGTAGATACTGTTTTTGACCACCTCTTTCTGGGGTCACTCTATGGATTGTGAGGTCTAAACATGACCGAATCTGTGGTCTGCTGAGAGTCATTGTGTTGATCCTTCCACTCACATGGCTGTGAAAATTTGACTTTGACAGGAAACAGCCTAGAATGGTGGATATGTTTTTTTTTTACTTTTTCCCAAGCTGCACTACAAGAGGGTTGTTCTTGGGGCAGGATTCTGACGTGATTGGGAGAGCCATGTCTGGCCAGGTTTTTTTTCCTGTCAGGTAGAGTGTTCGATTTCTGGGAAATGAGTCAAAATCTCTTATCTGCCCAAGTTCAAGCCATGAAATTCTATAGTTCCCCTCCAAAGATGTAGAAGTCTCTAGCCCGGACGTCTGAAGAGAAAGCATTCAATACTGTATCTAATATTACTAATATCTCCAACCATAATTTTAAACAGAAAGCACAAATATGTATGGATCTCGCAAATTTTGTTGGGAAAAATCATGTGAAACCATGGTAATCTGGCAGTAAACCATGGTAAAAAACCAATGGGGTTCCAGCGAATCACTCCAACGGCAGGCTATGGAATACGAGCAAACCAAGGCTGCCTCAACGGTTTTGGAGCCCGAGGTCGTAGAGTTGGTTCACTACTTCAAGATCGGGGACAGGCTGGGTGGCTGGGTGGCTGGGTGGCTGGAGCTTGGGGTGATGTTGATGGATGACATAAGTCATAGCCATGATGTTGCTGTTAGGATGAGAAAAACCTGTATGAGTCTGGTTTGAGGTCAAGATAGGTGGTTGCTGCCTTGCAGGCACGCCAGGATGCTGAATGAGCAGCTGAAGCGGCGAAACAATACCTACGAGGAGGACTGACTGGTGAAGAAACCTCTGGAAGTTGCTGAAAACTTGATCAAAGTTGGGTATTTCGATCCTACCCTACAATTTTGGAGATTTCCCGGTAAGAAACTGTTTGTAATCCCACTGCTTCAATCTTTCTGGATCAAGGCCAGGTGAGATTCAGGTTTTTCAAAGTAAAATTATGAGCACTGCCCTCTCGTAATGAAACTTGGTAATGGAAACTACAATCCAAAATGCAGCATTTCTAGTTGATCTTTCTCCATTTTCCAATCGAAAACATAAAGATTTCTCAATTCCGGTTGCAGGACATTGCCGCCTTGTACGAGATCTTGAAGGGCGCCAAAAACCCGGCGGATCTATTGATGGTTTCTATCCGATGGATGGAACAAGGTGCGCAAAAATTGCCATGGATTTTCCCTGGCAACTGTTTTTTTTTTGATGGCAGCGATTTCAAATAGATTTGAACTCGAACTGAGTATACCCCAAAGATAGATATCAAACATGGGAAACAACGATGATACATTGAATAAACTTAAACTATGGAAATCTATTGAATTCTTGGGCAATTTCACCCTCGTATCTTCGTCGCCAGATGCTCCGGGGTGTCAGGCTTCTGGCTGGATATGAGCCTTTGGAGTAAGATTTCTGTCATGAAGGCTTGATCTATTAGCCGAATAGCCCTGTTGACTGATTAAGAAAAATGGGATTTAGGTGGTTTATCGGGAATTGTTTATGTAGAAACCATAAAAACCATGGGTATTTCCTAGAAGTTTCATGGCCTGCGACTGCTCAGGAGTCTTCAGGGGGTGCTTAACTCCAAATCCCAAAGTGGAGAAGGCTCAGCATGTGATTCATGTGGGTATCAGGAAAAAGAAAGTAAACAAACAACTAAACTAGACATGTGATATTGATGATGATAACTAAACCCATGAGTATGATATGTGATACCGTACTAACATCAATACAAAGAACTGGAGTCGTGTGCCACCCCCAAAAACTGGAGTCGTGTGATATTGATGATGATCCGCCACTAACATCGCATGGCTCCAGTTTTTGGGGTACCCTGATCCGGCAGATCTCCAAGAAATACAAATTGGATGCGCCATCCGCCTGTAAATTGGCAGAGGCCGCCCTGGGTCGGAAGGGGAGGTGACCTTTGGTGATCACTGGATACGAGCCACAAAGCAATGGGACTTCCACAGCAAAATCAATAATCAACACATGCCATATTCATCCATAGAGAGACTTATAGAGACTTATTCTCTTGGTTTCTCCCCAAAATCTGGTTGTTTGTGGCAGGTCCCAGATTTCCCCGGCCTGCGAAAAAAAAAATGCAGGCCCTGGAAAGCAGAAACGATGCCGACGAGGCGTTGGACAAGATCTGCGCTGAGCCCCAGCGAACTCCCGGAACTCACTGGGAGGTTTCGAATGTTAAAAAACATCGAATCTACAGATATCTATATGGTACTAGATCTATAAATACCTGGGGGATTTCTACATCTATATCTGGAAAACATCTATAGATCTGGGATAAATATGGAAGATTGATATCTACAGTACTAGATCTATAATACCTGGGGGATTTTCCATCTGGAAAAGAAAACCGGAGGGTAGAGCCATGAATCTCATGGGAATGTTGGGGTGACACCCTGCGAGGGAATCTGAATGGAAGTTGACTGCAGATCAGAACGAACCAGAGACTGGTGATTTCAGCAATTCCCAATTTCACTGGTTAAAAACATGAGCAAACCACTGCTCTAAATCATCCAAATCACAATTGATGACAATTCACAAACTGTGTTGAAAAACAGATTCTTTCCTATCCAATTGCTTTTCCCCCCAAAAAAACTCAATCAAACTCTTTCCTGATGTTGGAAGCATATTCTTAGACTTGGAGGGAACATGTTACCATTCACCACGGCCTCCACGGCCTCCACGGAGCAGCTGGAGCAGAGGTGAACACTTGGCGGCCTCCAACAAACCCTCCTCCCTGGTCTCATGCCTCAGGATGGTGTGATGGGAACCACCACGGAACCATGGTATCCAAATATCCAAGGTGAAGAATGGGAAAACTTGGCCAGAAAAAAAGGTGAAGTGGGGGCTTTTTCCATCTATTTTCTGAGATTGAAATGGAAGCTGATGGCTTTGAACCATATTTGGTGGTTTGAGCCTACCAATCACCGGGATGACATCATCAACCAGTCACAAGATTGGATGCCAAATCCACTAACCAGTCACTAAGTCAAGAGGGTGTCCAAAGTCAAAGGAACTGCCAAAGATCACCTGGAGAATCAAGCTGGCCACAAGGTGATGATCATGCTGAAAGACATCAAGAGTGGAGCGGTCCAAATCCCCAGAAAGCCGACATGTGACATGTGACCTCCTGACTTCGGGGGGTCCCATTGCAGGGAGGTATGCAACCCAAATCCGGCAGATTCCCCAGAGACATGGCCACAAATATGGCCATCCCATCTGGTGCTGGTGATGCCCCGAGGAGATTCAAGCTTGCACCAAACAGCCAGCCATTGGCTCCTACATCCACAAGAAGGAACTGGGATCCAACCATCGCTTTCAACCTGTCATGTGGTTGATGGTGGGTCACCGACTTGGAGGTTTCGCAGTTTTTGATAGGTTTTACATCTTCATTGAGTTGGTTAAATCCCCATCTGATCCCCATTCTCCCAAACAAATTAAGAAGGGGAAGAGACATCCAGGACATCTCGGTTCTTTTTTTTCCAGAATTCTCCACATAATCCCTGATACAGGATGGTGCCCCATATATAGCTAAGTTGGTGCACACAATTCGAATGTCTGGGTCTACGAGACCTATATCTATAGATTAATGGGGATTATAAATTCACAAAAACACAAAAAACTGGTGGATACCACAGCCTGGATTTTTCCCATTTATTTCATCGCCAGGCTGTGGTATCCCCCAGTTTTTCATCCCCCAGGAGACCGAAAAGAGCCGTGCGCGCACCTCACGCAGCCGGGAGCGTGCCGAGCGCGCGGAGCGCGAGCGCGGCTTTCAGCCGCGCAGCAATCGTGCTACGTGGGAGATGCCCAGGGGATGGTGACTGGGATGATGGGGTAATCTTGGAAGATTTATGGGAATATAATTGGTGATACATTGATCAATGGGATATGGGGAAAACAAATTGATAAGAGGAAAATGGGATATGGTGAAAGGGATAAGATGTTATGGGGATATAATTGATATCATGTGGGGAAAACAATGATAAACCACCCATGACTAGGATTTGTATAATACCTATAATGCCCTATCAAAATGGTGATGGCTGGGGAATGGTTTATTATTGTTTTACAATGTTTTACCTAAATTGACATTAGTTTTGACATTAGTTGTACAGTACATATATATATAATTATATAATTATAATTATATATATATATAACCAACATATCTGAAAAAAATGGGGGGATATCCCCAAACTGGCTATTTTTTCAGGGAAACTGATGATCAAAGAGTGGATGGAATGGGGTACTGTACCATATTTTGAGACAAAGCCAAATCATTGAGTTTGTTTAGGAGAAAACCTGCACCCAAAATACGGGGGCCGGTAAGTCAATCTGAGTACAGTCACCAGGAATGTACAGTGGGATGTATAGACTATATAGATAATGGGGGTTTCATGGGGTTTCTAGAATGGGATATTATGAATGGCATGAATATATGGGATTTAATGGGATTTAATGGGATTTAATGGGATAGAATGTGTTATTATGGAAAAATACAAAATATGTACATTGCATGAAAATAGCAACCTCCAAAAAGATGCGAAACAGTAATCATGGTCTATCACTATTCTAGTAGGATTTTACCTTTTCGATCTTTGTGAGGGTTGCTATAAAGAGCTATCAAAGCCACTAGAGTAAATGAGGTGGGTTTGTAGGTGCTTATGTATACCCTCTGTTGTCGCCATGGATTTTAGCTTCCAAGACATAGTGACTGAGTCTGATGGCAAATGACGCCCCCAAGTCCATTACCCTTCTGTAATCAAATGTAGCAATGGAAAGCAATGGACAATCCCCTACCATAAATGAAGGATTTATAAAGTTTGTAAATCCTCTATAAACATCCTGAATTTCCCAGCCACCTTTGATTCCCACGTTTTTCTTCGGGATCCGATCCTTAGCTCCACCGGGAACGAGCAAACCGCAACAACGAGGAGCCGGGAACGAAGAAGTCCCAGCAGGAGAGGTGCTCGGAGAAGCAGGAGAAACCTGGGTCCCAACATCCTGGGTGAAGATGGGGACTGAAGATGTGGAACATGTGAACCCCATCCCGTTATCATCCAAAGATCCCATATACAATATATATATATATATTATATGTAATATATATATATATATATTGCGAAAGGGAACCAGGTAATATAGCCACTGTACATGCTGAGCATGTAAACAATTATGCATGGACTGCCAATCACTTGGCTCAAGTCATGCGCGAGGAAAAAAAAAGACCGTTCTCCGAACGCCATGCAGTGACGTTGCCCTGCACTACCAGCATAACCGGTACTACAATCAAAAGGGATAATCCAGAACAAGGATCAAATTGTTCACAGGTTATCAGCCGTAGGGGCTCACTTCTCCCGCCGGGAGAGTAGTACCTGCGTGCTGGTAGCCGGGCTGTCCGAGCAATTGATTGTGAACGCAAAGATCCAATCAGCTCATCATCGCAAAGATGCAAGGCGGCAGCGGAGATTCGCGCACCACGCAGTTTACCTTCAATGAGAACACTGCCATGCCGGTCGAGGAGGTCAATCAATCTTCCCCTGGTGACACGGCAGACAGTGGTGGGATACGCTCTACCCGAACTACACAGTCCGGATGGCAAGTCACGTCAAACAGACGAAGGATATCCACCCAAAGTACACCAAGATCTTCTCGAAACAGTGCTCGAAGTGATGTTGTCCGCCAAGGGCATCGACCATCTCGAGGACGAACTACTCCAAGGGACAGATCCACCAGGGCCGTAACCGACCGAATTGGTGAGGGGACCGGGGATAGTCGTGTTAAGAGGAGATCAACGGATACTTCTGTGGCTAGTGAACCTATTGCCATGATAGAAGAACTACGGGCACAATGTCAATCCCTACGTAATCAGTTGAACCACATGGAAGCATACGCTGCATCTAGAGATCAGCTGATTCATGACATCGAGATCAGATTCACTGAGTATCTTCAGGAACACAACCAAAATGTATTTGATGAGGTCAATGCACTCAATCATAGATTGTCATGTTCCGCAAATGAGGTTGCAGAATATCAAGCAGAACTAATGGTAGCATCTCAGGAAGACGAAGGTGCAACAATACGCATCCAAGACCTTGAACGCCGAGGTGCCCTAATGGAACATGGTGCACGACGTATCCATCAACGTGGTATGGAGATCCAGGAGGAGTACAAGGATGAAGTACATCAACTTCGAGGACTATTGGGTAATACGGAGGCAAGACTGCAACAACTTCATCAAACCAATGTCTTAACCACCGATATTGCCAATCGACTATACAATGAAGGTCAAGAAATGCAGACAGATTTCCAGAACTCAATCATGGAATATCGTAATCGATCCGAAATGGCATCCTTCTCTAGCAATCAACTTGAAGTGATTAGCCAACAACAATCAATTGCAGTTCATGAATTATCTGAACGGAATCAGCTATTGAGTGAAGCCTTGGTTCAGTCTCGTAAACAGGCCGAGCTGTATGAAAGCAGTATTGACAAGATCACTAGAGAATCTAGGAAGAAGGTTTTCGAGGCAAATCAGGCCAAATTGGAAAGTGATCTAAAGCATCGAAACACTGAACATGATACCGTCAGAAGAATTGCATCATACAGGAACCAAGAGGCCGAAGCAATATCACACCTGAGGCTTGAATCACAGGCTAGTGCAAACTCGATCGCAAGGGCAGAGCACTATGAAGAGCTCTATGCCAACGAGCAGGAAATGAACTGCGAATTAAAGGATGAGATCAAGTTGCAGAACACGAAGTTGCGAAGATCGTTGACTCAGGGTACTACGACCGACGGTCGTGGCCCCGATGAGATGCTTGTTGAAGATCTACGTAATCAAGCCAAAATCGCTCAAATCAGGGTTCAGGACCTAGATCATGAAGTTCATG